CACTAGTGCTACGGTTTACTTTACGGTTTTCAATAGAGTTCTTGCTTTCAAATTTTACAACTGTGATGGTCATTTTTACCTGTGCCTTTATACGTGTCATTTTTACTTTGCAATGTTATACATGTAACACTGTCAGATGCAAATATAACTACAATTTATATACAAGAATTCTGCAGTTGCTACTACAGCCGCAATGGTTAAAAGGACAAAAAATTGCAATTATACCTACAATAATTGTTGTTAAGGTTACAACAATACTTTTACCCGCGAGCATATGTAATGATTACAATATTATTTTTCTACGTGCGGGGAGGATAGATGCCCTAAGGGAGGATAAACGAAATCATAATCAATTTTTGTTAAAAATCGTATTTTCAGTCTTAGCAAAGTTAACAAAAACAGTTTTCAAGTTATCATTAAACTTATAAAAATTGACAAAAATTGTTTTTAATGGTTAACGTAGGTACAAGCGTCCCTCAATTTACGCGGTGTATCCGTTCCACGTAGATTCGATATACGCGAATAAAAATCGCATAAATAAAGTCCGTCAAGACAAAAGAAGGAATATTGGAAACGAAAGCTAGTACATATAAGCTTACAACAAATATTTATTTATATATGTGTACATGACAAAAAATAATGACGTAATTTGAGGAGAGGGGGTATTTACGTTAGAACAAATATTTATTTCTTAGTTTGGATAACAAGAAATAATTCTAAGACAACATTAAAAACTTTGTAAAACATCACCTTGAAGCCAATGAGACTTTAATACTCGACACGTACGTGACACGTGATACAACAATCTCTGTACTTTGTGCAATCCTCGCGGAACCATTTTTTACAAGAAATGCCCTAGATCCGTACCAAAAATGTGATAGTTTAGCCATCTACCCTTCATAGGCGACTATCCGGACCTTAAGGTGAACTGAAACCCCCTTAAAATCAGTCGATTCGAATACAACACTTTTTTTTAAGGGTATTAGACCAAACTGTCCGAAACTTTGACACGTTACTCCTGATCATCTAAGAATTGTCCTGACACATTCAAAATTTGGATTTTCCTCCAACCTCGTATACTAAAAGTGCATGAATTTTATGAATATTATTAAAAGATATTTCATTTAAATGTGCGCAATTTTTTACGATCAAACTACATTTTAATAAGTCTGTGGAAGCTGAATATAAACTATCAACGTCAAACTATTAACGTTTTCGAATAGTTTAGATTTCTATACAGGTTATCTAGCCTTCTATAATATATGTACTAAAAGTATAGGCATTAAAAAGATTTACATATATATTCACGGGATATTTTTATTATGCAAACCATAGATGATGTACATTTTCTATACTCATGTCCTAATTTGTACCTCCACTATAAGTATATTATATTTCATACGGTGCCTAGGAATACATCATAAGTTACCCAGTGGTAAAAAGTCATGATGTATGGTCACCAGCCGAAGAGGAAGTAAATAAAAAACCAGAATATGGGCGAAATTAACAGTTTTATCCAGCTGGAATTTAGATATAAACATTAAGTACGTATGGAAAATGTTAGGTTACATGAGATGTCTTTTTATTTTTCTAAACGTATTTTCAACGATGTCGATTAACCTTTGGTAGATGTCTACAAGAGCTATTACATATTTTGTATGCGTCAAGAAATAAGCAGATATTTGTAGATCAATAATGGACATATAATTTTCATCTACAATAGACATAGATATTTATATATATCCTTTAGATAGTTTTTTAGGTGGATGCTAGACGATACACATTTGCTATACTTATAGACCTAATTTAGACGATTAGTTTACGTATATTCGTATTACGTATATAGTTTTTTAGGTGGATGATAGACGATACACATTTGCTATACCTGTAAACCTAATTTAGACGATTAGTTTACGTATATTCCACTTGATGGGTTGCCCGGGGAGCCGAGGTCCCTTCTTCCTTGACCGGGCGACCGGGACGGGGTTGGAAATGCCCGAGTGATACCACATTGGCCCAGTTTCCGAGCAGTGACGTAGAAAGGACCATTCACCCAGGATCCGCGAGACGTCGCACCGGGCTCCGAACTGGGTCATCATTATCAGAGTATCGTGACCTCTTTCCCGCCCCTTTCTCCCGTTCGTCCTCCCTCTTTCATCCCGGGGATCTCGGGGGATCAACGCGAGGGTTCGATCGCCTCGCAATGGTCTCACCAAAATTAATCGTGCCTTTACTTCCGGCTGACAATAAGTTTTCCGTAGGAGCCCCTCGGGAACACCCAGAAAAAAAAAATTTCGTCCACTCAAAGAAATACGTACTGCGACAATAAAATCCTGCGATCACATACGTCCAAGAAAAATATCAAATTGAATAAACAAAATTATTTTAATGAATCAGGCGAAGGTTGAGTGGTACCTTATAACAGATTCGACGGCCAATTTATTGGATCAATATTTTATGAAGGTTAAAATGAAATAGGCATAATGTTGAACCAACCCTAGTAGCGAAAAATATTTGTCCTATATTTTCTACATATTTAACGAATATCGTACCACCTTGAAAGTCGTTCGTATCATTCATAAACTCATACCCCATTAAAATGATTTATTTTTCAGTAAATTAGATCAATTTTCTACCGAAACCTATTTCACGTTAGAAAATTTCATTGAAAATTTAAACGGTAAGCTACAAACTTTAAACTTATTATAAAAATATTAACCGCGACACGCGTGGAAACTAAAGTGAGGTTGAAAGGACCAAATGTTAGAAGCAATGCAAAACGGACCACTTGAGGGTAGTTTTAGACCCTAACTATGATTTCTAGACATAAGGCTAGAAACAACAGTTTGGCCCAATACCCCTAAATAAAAGTGTTTAATTCGAATCAAGTGATTTGAGGGGAGTTTCACTTCACCTTAAGGTGAAGCGAATCATGTGCGTTTTTATATTGACAGCTGTGTCGAATTATATTGGGTATTGTACCAAATGGCATATTCCACCTGTTGTTTTGGTACAATAATTATAAAGATATCGAAGTAAAACTCTAGAAATCCCCTCGATTCATGATTTCTGAGGCTCTAATTGACTGTAGAGGGATCCCCTGCGCCATCTGTGATTTCCGTACCAACTAAATTTTCACTCCGAGACCCCGTATTACAATCGTTTTGGCACAGAAGCGCATACAACACTTTTTTTGCCTTTATCCCGTTCAAATGCGAGTTTATCGATTACCAGAGTGTTCTAAATTGTCGTAAAATTGTCCTGACCCTTTCGATTCTCATATCGGAGCCTTCGATAATTGTATATCGATCGAAATATGAGAGCTCGACGCCATTTTGGTTCTGGTCTGGACTGAGTTAAAAAATTTTTTTGAAAAATTCAAATTTTGAATGTGTCAGGACAATTCTTAGATGATCAGGAGTGATGTGTCAAAATTTCGGACAGTTTGGTCTAATACCCCTAAATAAAAGTGTTTAATTCGAAACGACTGATTTGATGGGAGTTTCACTTCACCTTAACCGCCGTAATATACGTAATACGAATATACGTAAACCAATCGTCTAAATTAGGTCTATAAGTATAGCAAATGTGTATCGTCTAGCATCCACCTAAAAAACTATCTAAAGGATATATATTAATATCTATGTCTATTGTANTATAAGATAAATATTTTGTGTTACTAGGGAAGCACGCACTTTTCAATAAGTCGATTATTTTGCCACTTTCGTGTATATTAATGAACAAAGATTTGTATAATAATTCTGTACAAGAGCTTACAGTACTAAAATAGTAATAAAAAAACATGTTTCCGCCCGGGATCGAACCGGGGACCTTCCGCGTGTTAGGCGGATGTGATAACCACTACACCACGGAAACACTCTTGAGAGACTTCACAAGCAGAAGAGAGAATAGTGATATTTTCCCTACATTTATAATTCGTTATTTTATATGTAATTGTTTCTGGGACATTTCTTGGACATAAAATTAATTCAATATGGAGTTTTATGACCACATTGAAAGTTCTAAATGCGTATTCGATCTTAATTTTTAAAACTAATAAATAAACAGAAATCTAAATACAGGGAGAACATGTTGAAAGGTTAAGCCAGATATTTTGTCAAATTACTTCGAGATAATTTTTCTAATGAGTAAGGGAAAGTAGGGCAAAATTGTCATTCTAAGCTGCAATGTTCATTCATAGACAAAATACCCAGACAGCACAAACACGTAGCATAGAGGTTCATAGAATATTCCTTGAAAATATTTCAATATTAATAGGATATGGATGTACGTGCTATGTACATTTTTTGAACATAGGATGAATGCAGTTTTGGTCAGTTTTTTATATTTGAAATATATTTAACGAAATATTGTATGAACATGGAATTGATACTTCTCACACTTAAGAAGTAGCATGTCATGTATATATCTGAATGATATTTTTTGCCACGCAAATAAAAATACATAAGGTTCATGTTTCAGTATTCCATTTTTAAATTAGTGTCAACATTTGGCGAGATAAAATATTGAAACATAAGTACCTACATTTACAAAAATTCAAGTACTTACTCAAGGAATATAAATGTAAAGTATTGGTGCACGTATGTCTATTTAAAATAAAGTAATAATATATTATTATATTTATGTATTCTACATTATATATTTGAAGTTATATTATAATAGGAATTTTAAAAAAGAATCTACATTACTTCATCGCATTTCTCAACTTTTTGTTTTATNACCAAACTGTCCGAAACTTTGACGCATCACTCCTGCTTTATCGACGTTGATCAAGTTCCTCGACGTGTTTCACTTCACCTTAATTTATCGACCTGAATTAAATTTGTATGCGCCTTTCGTATCATCTTAGGAAGATATTCTTCCAAAGATAACGAGCATGTCACCCGATTACGTGAACTATGACATTGTGAAAGAACTGTTTGGTGTAATCGCTCGTAACTTCTCACTGATACTGTGTACATCGTCGAAAGCCTTATAAGCATCTCGAAGACGGTGAAGTTATCGCAGTACGCCGACTAAACAACTCGGAAAAACATCGTGGAAAGTTACGATGGAAAGTTTGAGTTTCGATCCGTCGACTAAAACGCTGTCTTTGAAGAAGAGCCAAATTCCGAAACCAGCGAAGAATGAAGTTCTAATTAAAGTAGCCTACGCGGGAATTTGTGGAACGGATCTTCACGTTATCGAAGTACGTTTTTTCCTTTCCTTCGTCATAAATTTATAGTTTGCCATATAGACACATAAACAGTGATTTACCGATTGTTCATCATTCATAAACTTTGTTGCACCATTGGCGAGAGTTCTTCTGTGTTTCTGTCAATGCTTTAAATCCGAAATTTTTATATTAATGATTTCAATAGTGCTTTACGTAAATTTGTTATNAATAGTTTGACGTTGATAGTTTATATTCAGCTTCCACAGACTTATTAAAATGTAGTTTGATCGTAAAAAATTGCGCACATTTAAATGAAATATCTTTTAATAATATTCATAAAATTCATGCACTTTTAGTATACGAGGTTGGAGGAAAATCCAAATTTTGAATGCGTCAGGACAATTCTTAGATGATCAGGAGTGATGCGTCAAAGTTTCGGACAGTTTGGTCCAATACCTCTAAATAAAAGTGTTTAATTCGAATCGACCGATTTGAGGGGAGTTTCACTTCATCTTAACCGCCCAGGCACGGAGCGGCGCAGCTTGCGGAGTCTAGGAGAAAAATTCATTCATGTCCGCCAGATGGCGGGCCCGAATGAGCGAGCGTCCTTCGATTCACGAGACAAGTAGGGTCAACGGAGCTCCAGGGATGAAGCTCAGCGCTGCCGGGAACCGGAAACCAGGTCAAGAATGACGTCATACCGTTCGGAACTGTTCATTCACCCTCGTGGGGCGAACTGGGTCACCGGGCCGAGCGAGTCCCTTCTGCATCCCCGCGACTCGTCAAACCCTCGACACTGTTTCCTTCGGTGCGAAAACGCGAACGCGTTGCTGGACTTTTAAGGTGAAGTGAAACCCCCTTCATATCAATCGATTCGAATACAACACTATTTTTTAAGGGTGTTAGATCAAACTGTCCGAAACTTTGTTACATCACTCCTGATCATCTAAGAGTTGTCCCGCATTCAAAATTTCGATTTTTTAACAACATTTTTTAACTCAGTCCAGACCTGAACCAAAATGGCGTCGAGCTCTCATATTTCGATCGATATACAATTATCGAAGGCTCTGATATGAGAATCGAAAGGGTCAGGACAATTTTACGACAATTTAGAACACTCTGGTAATCGATAAACTCGCATTTGAACAGGATAAGGGCAAAAAAGTGTTGTATGCGCTTCTTTGCTAAAACGATGGTAATACGAGGTCTCGGAGTGAAAATTTAATTGACCTGGAAATCACAGATGGCGCAGGGGGTCCCTCCGCAGTCAATTAGGGCCCCAGAAGGCATGAATCCAGAGGATCTCTGGAGTTTTACTTCTATTTCTTGATATTTATTTTACGAAAACGACAGGTGGAGTATGTCATTTAGTACAATATTCAATGTAATTCGACACAGCTGTCAATATAAAAACGAACGTCGGCAACGTAGGCATTTAGAAAAATCTTCTTTATCGACATTGATCAAGTTCCTCGACGTGTTTCACTTCACCTTAAGCCTCTGTACCTATGGGAGTTCTACGAATTTCAAATTAATATTTTCGAGACACATTCTCAGAACCCCAAACTATAAGAAAATGCAAAAAGAAAAATCGTATTTTTGAAGTTTCTAAACGATAATACCTCCTTAAGGGCCTCCATAGTCATGTGGTAAAATTTGAAACGATTCGGTACACCCAATTCAGAGAATACTTTCCCCAACGTTTTGATCTCTCGGATATACATCACACTTTCATATCATCTTAAGGTGGTATAAGGTATATCACACTTTCATATCACCTTAAGGTGATATACGTACCAAAAAGTCAGCATATTTATAAAACTATTCTTCAAACTGGCCGCACTGAATTATCTGAAACCTTAACACGTGATTATGGAGGCTCTAAGGAAGAACGCACTGCTCGTGAAATTTCATTTTTCGAATACAATTGTGCATTTATCTCGGACAAGAACCAAAAAGAGATTTTATATTACGAAAATTGAAATTTCATGAGTGGCGCGTTCTTCCTTGTCGCCTCCGTAATCACGTGTAAAAGTTTCAGATAATTCGGTGTACCCAGTTTGGAGAAAAGTTTTATAAATGTTTCGACTCTTTGGTTGGACGCATATATCACACTTTCATATCACCTTAAGGGGCGCGTAATTCTTCCAGGTGCACCTGATACCCGAAGGGCTGGACTTAGCTCAAGCGGCTCTTACCGAGCCGATATCTTGTTTAGCCCATGGCTGGGACAGAATAAATCCCGTGGACGTTGGTACGAGGGTCCTGGTGATCGGCGCTGGCATAATCGGCTTACTGTGGGCAGCTCTTCTGCACCTGCGAGGCCTCAGGAAGACGGTAACGATAAGCGAGCCTCAGGCCAAAAGAAGAGAAACGGTTAAAAAACTCGGTAACGATGTCGCCCTTTGAACTTATTCTACGAATCTTTACATATTTTAAGGGCGCTCACCACTCCAGCGATTTTGCAGGGCCTCACGGGGACAACGATTCCGAACGTATTTCTAAACCGATCGAGCTTAACGAGTGCTCATATCGAAGATGAAATGTTGACCTGTGTTTATATGGGAGCGATTTTCGATAAGTGGTCATTTTCATATAAAAAAGTGCAACGACATAATTTCTATGCTTTTTTTAACTAGGAAGGAGGTGCTTGATCAAAAATCGCTTCCAAATAAACGCACGTCTAGCCGTTGCGTGAGTTCTATACGTGCAAAATACGTACACATTTTACGCCCGTTGCTAAACACCGCCCATTATGCGTCGCGTCTCCCTCATCCGAGCGAGAAAGTACGTTTTGGTTACCTCCCACCAAATTCGATGCTACTGCCATCTAGCGGTGGAAGGCATCGTCCTCACTTTAGTGGTGAACGCCGTTAAGGTGAAGTGAAAGTCTCTTGAAACCAGTCCATTCAAATAAGACACTTTTTTTTAAAGGTATTGGACCAAACTGTCGGAAACTTTGACAAATGACTGGTAATCATTTAACCCTTTGCGGTTGCATTTTCCCAAGATCAAGAGCATTTTGGTAACTGAGAGTAGACATACGACCGCAAAGGGTTAAGAATTGCCCCGACACATTCAAAATTTGGATTTTTGGAAAAAATTGTTTAACTTAGCCCAGACCAGAACCAAAATGGCGTCGAGCTCTCATACTTCTATCAATATACAATTATCGAAGGCTCTGATAGGAGAAACGAAAGGGTCAGGACAATTTTACGACAATTTCGAACACTCTGGTAATCGGTAAACTCGCATTTGAACGGGATGAAGGCAAAAAAAGTGTTTTATACGCTTCTATGCTAAAACGATGGGAATACAAGGTCTCGGAGTGAAAATTTAATTCACCTGGAAATCACAGATGGCGCAGAGGGTCCCTCTGCAGTCAATTAGGCCCCTAGAAAGCAGGAATCCAGAGGATTTTTGAAGTTTTACCTCCAATTTTGTATAATTGTTGTATGAAAACGACAGGTGGAGTATGCCATTTAGTACAATACCCAATATAATTCGACACAGCTGTCAATATAAAAACCAACATCGGCAACGTAGGTATTCAGAAAAATCTTCTTTACCGACGTCGATCAAGTTCCTCGACGTGTTTCACTTCACCTTAATTTATTTTGATTTTGAGAATATTTTGATTCGTTCTAATCTCCATAACGTGGAACGTGTAACGCACAAAACTCGTAATTACGTCAGTAATGAAATACTACCTTTTAATATTTTGCAGGGGTGGATTACGAAGCACTGAGTTCTTCTGAATTATCTGGAAGGGAATTTGATCTAGCGATAGACTGTAGTGGGTCTGGTCCAGCGATGGAAGCGGCAGTCCATTTATTGGGACGTGGTGGAAAGTTGTGCGTTTTCGGGGTCGCCAATCCAAAAGCAAAGATGTCGATCGAACCGTTCGAAGTTAGTCATCAAATTCAAAAGATCAGCCGATTACGGGATGTGAAAGTGGTATCTGCAGAGTTAATCGTTCATGAAACTTGTCTCCGAACTGGGTGGGCTGAATCCTTTCAAACATAACAAAGTAAATGTGGAGGCTACAAGGAAAGTCCTAGCCCTCCTGAAATTTCATTTTTATAACGAATTTTAAAAATACCTATGAACAGGTTTTTAAAGAAAGTGAAATTTCATGAGTTTTAGGACCTTCCCTACAATCACCATAATCACCTTGTAAAGTTTAAAACGGATCGGTAAACCCAGTTCAGAGAAAAGTTTCATGAAGGAACTTCCTCGAAGCCACTTTCACATCACCTTAATTGAATTACAATGAAAATAATTGAAATAATACTCTCTTTTCAGATCTACATGAAGGAGCTAACCGTTGTGGGTGTAAATATCAATCCTTTCACGTTTCCCAAAGGATTGTCGTTGGTTCAGGCGATGTCCGAGAAATACTTACAATACGAGAAATTAGGAATTAAGGTTTACGAATTGTCTCGTTATCAGGAAGCATTAGCGGCCCTAACGAAAGGCGAGATCAACAAAGCTGTGTTCAAACTTTAAGGTGATATGAAAGTGTGATATATACATACCGAAAAGTCAAAATATTTATAAAACTTTTCTCTAAACTGGGTGCACCAAATTATCTAAAACTTTAACACGTGATTATGGAGGCTCCAAAAAAGAACGCGCTACCCGTAAAATTTCATTTTTCAAGAAAGAAAAAATCATTCTTTCAATTTTCATGAAAAAAAATCTTTCTTTGGTTCTTGTCCGAGATAAGTACCAAATTTTTATTGAAAAAAGAAATTTCACGAGCAGCGCGTTATTCCTTAGAGCCTCCATAATCACGTGTTAAAGTTTCAGATAATTCGGTGCACCCAATTTGGAGAAAAGTTTTATAAATACTTTGACTTTTCGGTATGTAAAGGATTTCTGGAGTTTTACTTCGATTTCTTTATAATTATTGTACCAAAACGACAGGTGGAATATGCCATTTGGTACAATGCACAATATAATTCGACACAGCAGTCGATATAAAAACGAACGTCGGCAACGTAGGCATTTAGAAAATCTTCTTTATCGACGTCGATCAAGTTCCTCGACGTGTTTCACTTCACCTTAAGGGGAAACTCTTTAATTGACGTTCCTCTAACCGACGCACCTGAATGGCTATTTTTACATTAATTCTTACAGATACACAGTACACGGTAGAAAAGAAATAGTGACTCTATTTTCGATAAGGACAGCGCTATGTAAATCGAGTCCACCGCCCTGTAGACTTTTTTGAACTTCTATTAATCGTAGGCCAAATACGTATTTATAATTCAATACGTAACTATTGCGAATCTGCCTTATATAATATGCTACCAGCATATTATGAAAAATAAGATTTGAAACTGGAGAAAAATTGTAGCGCGAATTTTTGAGTAGACTTTTAAAGAGAGAAAAAATATTTCAATAATTTTCATAAACCGGAAGTATCAGGAATTAAAATTCGAGGTTTCCTTTCGAATTCATTTGTTTAGCCTGGAATAGAATGCGAAGCGCTAGGAATACTCAAGTATTACCACTACCAACTTGACAGAAAGTAGAATCGTTATCACAAGTAAAGCGGGTCGATTCTTTCTAATCGCCGCGAATAGATTATTTATAATTTGACGTGTCTTAAAATTGAAGCCAACGGAAAATATTACCAGATGTTGGTCCTTAATGCAAAATGATCAATACCACGAAGTACTGAATATTTCACGACAATCACATAGTTTTCCCTCCACGGTACGATTTCCAAGGGGTAATGGAATAAAAAGGAACGAGACGTAATAGAAATTGGTGGCGGCTTTCTCCTTTATTAAAATCCACGATGAAAATCCATGATTAAAATGTCAGTGACGTTCAGTAAATACAAAATTGCGACGTCGTAAAAAAAGAGTCGTAGAAAACCTTAAATACTTGAGATTCTAATCAGCTGCTTATTTTGTAATTGAACTTGGACGTCTCGCTCCGATACAACCGTATCCGTGAATATGCGCCTAACGAAATACGTAGAAATATCCTAATTAGAGATACGTACACCTTAATTCGATTACAATGTACAATTGTTACCCTAACTGCGGAACAAGGTGGTTGATCGTTGCAACCAAAACGCTACAGGGTGCGTTCTAAATTCTTATCCCCGAGTATTGGTGAATTGTTCGCTACTATGCTAATGAAATGATATAAAACCGATAGTAATATTATACGAGTGAATTTTTCGAATGCTACCACGAAGTAGTTATTACGAATCGCACCAAAACTCTATAACCGACGAATAACCGTCTTCTACGTAAACTTTATTACTTAAATGTAACGTATCGATGATAACGATATTAGGGCCGATATGTCATTGTTAATTAACTTCCATTGAAATCGCACAAGTCCGAACACCCGTCACTAAAAATTATTCTTTCAACTTATAATCGAGCCGTTCATTTTGAAAGCGGCCCAAGTCCATTTGTCAATTATTTTCTCTTGACTGTAGTAACGCGTACAACTACAAGTTAACCGTCATAAACATTTTACGGTTAAGTAATTTTGAACGCATACATTTTCGCAGTTATTTCAATAATTAAAAACATTACTTTGAAAGTGGCCCAAGTCCAATCCATTATTGATAACGTCCGAAAGTGTGGATTTTCAAATGTCCGAAGTCAGGGAAGAATTGAAAAAGTTAACGTCACTTTTTGGACAGTTGGCTTTAGTTGAATAGTCGGTACGTTGAAATATTAAATTATAGAAATTATTACACCCACGGGGAAGAATGACCGTTTAATTTAGTCTTTTGAAAGATGAGCCATATCAAATTTTCTACAAGATATATCAACGATTTCAATGGATGAGAGGGCAGAGTTTAAAATCCTGGATTTATTCCCACCAAGAGAATTCGAAAATATTACACCGACACCACTTTATGAAAACATAAGACGAATTACAAGGACACGATTGACTTACTACGGTATATACTACCGGAGCACCAAGACTTTTTCAAATCCCTTTCACATACACAACATGTAGATGAGCAGTAAATTGTTTTGTAATTTATATGGTTAGATTTCCTCAATTGCATAAATTGTCTTCTTCAAGTGTTGGAAAGAAATATAAAATGAATTGAGAATTATTTCCTCAACTTGAAGCATTTTAAATGACGTCGAATGGACTTGGGGTCTTTCAAATTTTACAACAAATCCAGTTGTTAATTTTCAAAGTGGCTTAACTCCATTTCTGGGAAGAAAAGACATATTGTTTACTTAATAATTGCTATTATTTTAATAGGAATTGTAAATTTAACTCTTAGATACACCGAAACAGGGTGACGCATTGGTATCCTTTTCCTATATTTTTAATTTCATAGATACGCAAACTCTTAAATATCTCAATTTAAATACAAATGATCTTGGATTACTTTCAAAATAAACGGCTCAATTGTCATATAAAATACACTTGTAAGTTCAAGCAGCGTAACTTTTTAAAAACATTATAAAACTGCATTCGATATGCACGTTAATGAAAAATATAAACTATTTCACGAGCAAGTTGCCGGCGAACATTGACAAATGTTTAATTTACGCGAACCGGAACAAAATCGTGACCCGATAAAAAAACCAGGTTTAACCGTTTGCATTACAAGTAGCAATTCATCCAATTGAATTGATTGGAAAAGATAATTAAATGAACTATTCTAATGCGCGTCGTTGATAAATGACGAGTAACGTTATATCAACTTAACAAATATCAATCCCTACTGTGGATCTAAAAATGTTCATTCTCTTATGCCTTATCTCGTGTTATAAATGTTAAAGGTACTGCAATTAACTTAATACGCTACCGTTGATGTAAAAACTATTTAAAACATCTCTTTTTTTTTTCCCATATCGGTGTTAAAATTACGAAAGTCAAAGTAACGGACGGAACGGTAGAAAAATAATTTCTCCCTATTCAACAAATGTAAAACGATCTCGATAACGTCGAGATTACTAAATAACGTTAACATTGGCAAAATCATTTGGAACATAACGAATCTAACGGTATAATCCTGAAACGAAGTCCCTCCAGCGTTCTTACTACAAGAGCATTATTAGAAGAGTAAACTCTAGAAAGAAATGAGCGTTTTCGATTTAACACTAGGTTTACGGGACCCGTCAATTTGACGGAATTCAAACTTCAAAAAGAAATACCGAAAAAACCATAGCATTCATTTTAACCACTTTTGTATCGTAAATTAATCATTTCATCCAATGAATTTGTACACGCAATTATTTTTTCCTAAGCCTTCTAATTATTAAAATCTGTATGTGGTATATCTATCTCTACGAAACCCGTCAAATTGAGGGACTAGCTAATTTCATAAACAATCCATATATATTTGCTTCGTTGCAGGGAGTGTAAGGCGAAGATGAGAGTGAAAGTTTGCATTGAAACTGGAGAAATAGAAGGATCATCGAATAGTGAAGAGGAAAACTTCTTGAAAGGGTGTCGTAGCAAGAAAAGGATGCGCATTCTTTCTAGTTCCGACTCCGAGGATGAGAGGACGAGCATTCCAATAATTTCCGTGATAATTTTTAAAAGAGGACTTTTTACTTATTAATAATTTATTTAAACGTAAAGCCTCGTGTTGTTTAATACAGACTTAATTTGAATAAATCGATTTTTTAAAGAAAATGCGTGTTTTCGTTTACCCGTCAATTTGATGGATGCTCGTAGAAACAGGTATATAAAAAACGCCCGTAAACCTAGTGTTAATAAAACCACCTTTCATTGAACTACAGTGATCCATTTTCGCATTTACATTCAAGCTGATAAGAAATAATGAAGCTCACTTTTTAAAAACATCGCCAGTAAACGGTTGCGAGCAGGGCTGGGTAATTCCCCATTTTTCGAGACTCTTCACGTCCATTACGTAACAAAGTAGTTTACCGGAGAAAACCGTAGAAAACCAGGAAATTACGTTTCCAATATGAGGAATGCCGCAGATGGACGATATACGGCGTCTGCTAGGTATAAACGTCTTTTAGCACGCATGTAAACACGGAAATATTATAAGGAACAATGGATTAATTTGGCGCTTTTAGGTTTTCAATATGGCGGATTCCACGGATGCATGATATATGTATTCCCGAGGTTAACGTCTTTTAGCGCGCATATAAACACGTAAGAATTCTTAAGAAATAATGCATTCGGCGTTTGTGCTCAAGTTCTTTCGACTTAACTCTGTTTAATATGAAATTTCTAAATAAAAAGAAAAGAGCGCAATGTACTTTGCGCTCGCGTAGAAAACTTTGGACGTACTATACGTTGTAATATACACGTAGAGAACCACGTATATTACATGACGTATTATACTTACCCAACCCTGGTTGTAAGTACCATAAAGTGATTACGAATGTGGCAGTGAAAGTAACCGTTGTACTCAATTATCTACCGTCAAGTTGATATAAAATGTACTCGTTTAATTTACATTGTAAAATAAAGGATTAAAAAAACAATCGTTTACTTATCAGAAATTGGACTCGTGCGATGTCTATAATGGCCAATTCAATCGCAAGTAATTCAATATCAAACATGTTAATAACATTAATATCCGAGTATCCCTTCGTCAAGTCAGTTGTACTGATAATGACAAGAGATTAACGCAGGACAATCTGCGTTCACTTTTGTCGTAACGCATTTTTACGCGTAATTGGAATGTTGGTACTCGACGCAGCCAACTCTCGTACATTGTTGGACCCTAGTGGCGATACAAAACGGGTTGTTACATTTGTCTCACTTGTCCAATGCAAGTAACTAGAAAAATAAACGCACGATAACTTCAATTAGACGTTAAACTGCAGCCCTTAAGTGTTTAGAATCTAGAGAAAATGGCGATGCCCAACAATGCGAGTAACCATTTAGATGCGATGCAACGACGTGCAGCTGCCCATTGTAGCCCTGGGTAATTAATATTTGGCATAGAAATTTCTGAAAAAGAAAAACATATTAATAGACACAGGCTTATACGCAATGTAATCGGCAAGTCAAATCTTCACATCCGGCTGATGAACGTGATACATCAACTGAACATTATTAAGGGGCCATGCCACTGTGAACGTCAAAAAAATTACACATTGTTGTAAATCATTTTTGTCTCAAAAAGTACTGCGTATAATCTCACAAACTTCTTTTTTTCCCCATGAAAGGTCTAATCTAGGAGAATACAGGAAAATTTGTCTTTTTAGTAAAAAATACATATTTATTTATTTATTACAAACGTAGAGTAGCAAAAAAAATTGTTTGTTCCTGGCGCAGGTGATTTAAGCCCTCCTGGTGATCTGAAAAGAAAAAATTTAAAGATTCTTAATCTATAAAGCCGTCGCTGTCGCATGTACTTCAATTATTAATTTATATCGTAAAATAACAAAATGACGACGTTTTTTGCCAAAGTCTTTTATAAAAATACGTATCTTGCGCCATAATTGACGCAAAAGTTTGAATAAAAATTGAAATTTTACCATGACTGAGGTACAGACGATAGCGACGGCCTTACAGATTAAGAATCTTTTTAAATTGTTCGTTTCAGATTACCAGGAGGGTTTCAATCACCTGTGCCAGCAACAAACAATTTGTTTTTACTACTCCACGTTTATAATAATAAATAAATAAATATGTATTTTTTACTGAAAAGAGAAATTTTCCTCTATTCTCCTACATTAGACCTTTCATGGAAAACAAAAGTTTGTGCCATTGTATGCAGTCCTTTGTGAGAAAAAAAAAAATTGAAAAATATGTAATTTTTTCGACCTACACGGTGATATAGCCCCTTAACATTTTAGACATAGATGCATCACAAACATTCGACAAGATTTTACGAAAATACACAATTTTCCTCTCCTATCATATTTGTTATAAGAATCTAAAAAAAGTTTTACTCGCAACGGTTTAAATGAACAAAGATTTTCCGACATTATCAATGATAATTTTTAATAACAATCAGAGATACACTCTGACAATTAACCGACTGATGATAGATAAACATTTCGTTTGTTAGTGTTTCTGAAAGCAATTATATCGTAATATATCCAAACAGACGTAAGATTGATAACCATTTTTTTCAATGAAAAATATAAAATATTAACACAACAAAGCGCAACATTACAGCAATCATTCACTTTTTACATAACTACTAACGTAGCACAAATACTCATTAGGGTTAAGGCCCTAGTAGAGAGTCGTGAATGATCTTTGCGCCTCTTACGTCAAATATGCGAAGCTTAACCCTCTATGGGCCCGTGTAACTTTCAGGTCATATTTTAAATGAAAAATTTTCTTTTCATTTGTATATATAGGTTCCTAATTGCTGATTTTTCGTTACCCCAATTTTTTTTTATTTAATGAAAAATTCGCCCCATAGAGGGTTAATTGATTTTGACCATTCCTGCAGATGGCGACACTAGTAACACTATTTTGACCAATTTTGCCAACATGCTTTTTACTACTTCTTACCGTGCAATGAACACGGGATTTAAACACATAGTTTGCACGTACTTGAAGTTTTCGAATATGTAACAAAAGTGAAGACAGACGTTCAAGTCTTTGAATTGTTTACTTATATGTTACTATGTTAACTTAATTTGTTACCCATTGCGAATCATTAGTCTATCGTATGTAAATCGGCGTTCATAGTGATAAGTGCACGTAAATTCTGTATGGAATATCGTACAAGAAGGTTCTTGGGTTCTCCGATGTAGCGTGCATTTCTTCTTTTTTTAAAGATATTGGATGGAATTGTCCGAAACTTAGACACATAACTCGTGAGCACTTTTTGGAATTATCCTGACACTTTCAACATTTGGATTTTTGAAAAAAAATTTGTAACTTGGTCCGGACCAGAATCAAAATGGCGTCAAGCTCTTATATTTCGATCGATATCCAATTATTAAAGGCTCTGATATGAGAAACGTAAGTGTCAGGACAATTTTACGACAACTTAGAATACTCTGGTAATCGATAAACTCGCATTTGAACGGGATAAAGGCAAAAAAAGTGTTGTATGCGCTTCTTTGCTAAAAATACCGTAATACGAGGTCTCGGAGTGCAAATTTAATTGACCTGAAAATTACAGATGGCGCAGGGGGTCCCTCCGCAGTCAATTAGGGCCCCAGAAGACGCGAATCCAGAAGATTTCTGGAGTTTTACTTCGATTTCTTTATAATTATTGTACGAAAACGACAGGTGGAGTATGCCATTTGATACAATGCCCGATATAATTCGAGACAACTGTCAATATAAAAACGAACGTTGGCAACGTAGGTATTTAGAAAAACCTTTTTTACCGACGTCGATCAAATTCCTCGACGTGTTTCAGTTCACCTTAAGTTAGTCCAAGGCGATTCTAGAACCATCTCAAAGAAAAAACTAAGGCACGCGCTGAATCAAATTCTCGCCACCACTCACTGGAATTTTTCTATAGTGCCGAAATAATCAATGGATATTTAAAATGTATCAATCGGTCCGTATCCGTGACGATATTATGTCTATGCTTTAATACGACGGAATCATAAACTTGTCATTGGCCTTGGCGGGTCGATTTTCAGCATGTGATATCTAGTTTGTAGAGCATTGTCCGCTAAGAAATAACCCCCTGACACATTTCGTGGAGGTCTACTTTTTTTCCAGTGCTAGTCTTTGCTGGAAAATGCCATGCGTTTCGCAAGACATCAGCTGGGAATGTCATGCGATTTTCTCGCCTCTGACGTCATTAAGGCAGTCGCACCGTGTGGTGGCTGTATGTATTTTTCGCCTTTTTGTGAATTCTTTTCTAACTAACCATGAAAATATCCCATCTTGGAATTTTTACTATATATTTATTAACATTTGCAGTCACTCAGAATTTTTTGAAGCTAAAATATAGATTGGAGTCGACTTTACAGCGTTCGAAAGACACACATGTGAAAAATAAGTAGGTTGATGGCTGACATGATTCCGGCTGTTCCGTTCATCGGAAATCAAAAAATGAAATGGCATTTTAATCCGTAGACCTGTGGCTATAACCAGAACTAAGATTAAATAAAAATATTCAAATTATATTTTTGCCACGGTTTTAAAAATTAAGTCCCAATTTTTGTCTTTTTTCCACTTTTTAAGCTTGCTAAAAAAAAAAAACTACGACAGATATCACAATTAACCTGGTTCGAGCGAGAACTATAAGTGTACTGAAAATACCACATAAATCTGAGCAAAGTCGATTCAGGAGTTTTTGAGAAATCGTGTCAGCCAATTTAAGAAATGCAGTTTTTAAATACCCGCCGCTCGAACGCCAAGCCAAAACTAAACTAACCGTTCCTGTAGCGTCTCATTTAACAGAGGAAGGGATCTCCAATGAGTTTAGTATCCCCTCTACATGAGCATTAGTCAGAAAGGTCTTAGGTAGCGGCCGAATTCATTAAATTCATTGAGTTCATCACAACGAAGGCTCCGGTGCTCCACCCCTCTCTCCGAACACCTGCTTCCCGTTCTACGTCTGCACCTGCCCAACGACTTCGAATATTGAAAAATCCTTTATTCTACATATTCAAGACACATTGTAGAAGGCAAACAAAATATTTTTCAATTTTGTTGGATCTGTCACACGGTACGACCGTCTTAATTCAAAATCTAGTGGGACTTTAAGGTGAAGTGAAACCCCCTTCAAATCAGTCGATTCGAATACAACACTTTTTTTTAAGGGTATTAGACCAAACTGTCCGAAACTTTGAAAGTGGACTGGCATTAAGGTGAAGTGAAACCCCCTTCAAATCAGTCGATTCGAATACAACACTTTTTTTTAAGGGTATTAGACCAAACTGTCCGAAACTTTAACACGTCACTCCTGATCATCTACGAATTGTCCTGACACATTCAAATTTGGGATTTTTGGACAAAATTTTGTAACTTAGCCCAGACCAGAACCAAAATGGCGTCGAGCACTCATATTTCGATCAAAATACAATTATTGGAGACTATGATATGAGAAACGAAAGGGTCAGGACAATTTTATGACAATTTAGAACATTCTGGTAATCGATAAACTCGCATTTGAACGGGATAAAGGCAAAAAAAGTGTTGTATGCACTACTATGCTAAAACGATGGGAATACGAGATCTCGGAGTGAAAATTTAATTGACCTGGAAATCACAGATGGCGCAGGGTGTTCCTCTGCAGTCAATTAGGGCCCCAGAAAGCATGAATCCAGAGGATTTCTGGAGTTTTACTTCGATTTCTTTATAATTATTGTACGAAAACGACAGGTGGAATATGCCATTTGTTACAATACCCAATATAATTCGACCCAGCTGTCAATATAAAAACGAACGTTGACAACGTAGGCATTCAGAAAAATCTTCTTTATCGACGTCGAGCAAGTTCCTCGACGTGTTTCACTTCACCTTAAGACATCACTAACATTAATAATCATACTTGAAGTTTCTGGTCCGGAACACGAGCAAGTATAAAAAACAATAACAGGCTTCCGTAAGATAGGTACTATGGTTATAATATGATACAACTTACCTCAACATTGTTGCAACAATTACAGCTAAGGCTATCAAAGGTCCTGAAGAAATTGGAATTACGCCTGATCCATAGTGGGCTTGACCACAAGCCGGTGGACAAACAGGAATAATGGTTTCTGCGCAGACAAGCAAGGAAAAACTACAACATGCTACCTATGGTACAAGTCTATACCTTCTACACACTTAACACCAAGATAAAAACTAAATAATTTCTTTAACAACTACTAGCTTTCATATCATCGAACATGTATCATAAATCCAGCAAACAAGTACAAATTTCGTACTGGCGCATGCTTATTGTTTTGAAGGGACTACTTTTTACACGCTCTTTTAATTACACATTACATTTCATCGACACACATTACGTTTGCATTAAACAAACATTCAGGAGAAAAATACTAACTGCGTTAATAATATGAAACATATAAATAAATCATTTAAACAGATATAGAATTCGGTGTCTTGATAACAGTATATTTTACAGTATTTAGCAAGCTACGATGTACTCATTCATGAAATTGACTCATACGTAATAAGTATGTAACACCAAAAACGTTAAAGGATTTTTATAAAGTTCATAACATAACATTACATTGGAAACAAAATTGAAGAAACTCAGGATTGCTTTTAAAAAATAAAAAATCGATAATTTAAAATCATGATGTTCTAAGATATCATTAATTATTCAATTAAACAACTCATTTAAAAGATTAAGTTAAATCAGTATTATTGAATATCTAAGATAACTTATTTTTACTAGTTGAAAAACCACGGGCCACGATCTAATAATTCTCATTTTGAGCGTAGTAGCATTATCCGTAGATGTAGATATAAAATGTTTCCTTCGTATGTAAATTCAACTATTAGGAACAAGCTGGGCAAGGAAGCATTTAAATTAGTGTCTTCGTTTAAACATTACAACAAGTAAGCTGTTTAATGATCACCGTTTGTTTGGGAATAATATTTTCTTATTTGAACATTTAAAGAATATTGATTATTGTATTCTAGCAAATAACATTGCAATTAAAACTTTTTATTTTACTTTTTAACCCTAAAAATCCTAGTGATGTGATCTCGTCGCTGTACTACACTTTTAGATATATTTTTTTACAAAAGTGGTTATAGAGACGAAACATGTAATGTTAATGACGCGCTGTAATTGAATTGTAGCGAAACACTAATGATTATAATGTGTATCGCGGTCGCGTGTGGTACCCTTTTCTGATACAACAGCGCTAACATCGCGATTGTGCTCTGCGGTACCCAGACAGTTAAAAAGATTTATAAAATGAAAACCAGTTGATTAAAACCAATGATTTTAATCGTGATTTTAAACAAATGATTTAACTCATCTCAACCTTGAATGGAAATACCGTTGCACGAGTCATATGGTTTCGATAACTTGTAATCAAGTAAAGTTATGTAAGAGTGTTATGATAATCTTAATAAAAATTGGTCTTTATTTATTAAGGGTATAAAATATTGTTAATTATCTGAAGAATTGATAGAAATTTTCCATGCAACTTACCGAACAGTTCAACTTTGGTCTCGGCGGTACCCAATTTGTTGGCAGCCCTGCAGACGAACTCGCCATATTGTCTTTTCTCGATAGTAATCACTCGAATCGTTGTATCGGTGTACTCATCCGCAGTTGCGAAATGCGATATGCTGTAATGCTGACTATTGGTCAATTGAACGTCATCTTTCAGCCAAACTATGGCCGGCGGAGGATAGGCCTCCACGTGACACTCCAAATCCATGTCGTACTGCAAAGCTTGACCGAGTCGAGGGCGTGGCGCTGTAATCACTGGCGCAAATTCGACTTCAACGTTGATGTTGCGCCTCGCTCCGCGTCCAACACCGTTTTCAGCAACACAATAATACGTTCCTCGGTCTTCCTTCCGAATAGCTGATATCTTTAACGTGTTGCCTCTGAAAAGCAATTAAGTCAAAATCATTACACGAAGAACCAGATTGCAAAGCCAGAAATTCCTTACATCTACTGTGTTTATAAAAATAGCAAGAAAATCTACATACATTTTTTAATAAGCTGCAGATGGCAATAATAAGCAGAGAATCTAAGAAAATTCGCACAATACCGTGAAAAATTACAGTGACTAGTTAAATCACTTTCTTTAAAGGTAATGTTTTATATTTTAAGGCATTATTAAAATTCGGATGTTAAGAGTATGCTGAACGTTCTATTTCCAAAAAGCAGTTCTCTTCCACAAAATAAAAAATGGTCCTCTCCAAAATAACATATAATTTACGGATTAATGGAAGTACCATCCAAATTATACTGAAATTGAGAACAAAAATTGTAAACTCATATAAACGGTAATCCCCACTAACCAATTAATTAATTTTGTTTCGGCTTCATATGCTTTCTGCAACCATATTTAACATATAAAAAAAAATACTCTTCTGTCCACCAACAAGACATATATAATTCGTTCTTAAACGTATGTTATTTGACTATTCATAATTAAATATAATACTGATATCCGTTGTAAAGAGTGTTTATTAAACGGAGTTTTTGATTTTGGAGGTGGAAAAAAATTAAATCGAATTCGAATTAAATTCATATTCAGAAGAATAATTTCTTTCCCACAGAATTATAATGAAATATTCGTTAACTCGATGCCATCTAAAGATACACTATAATGCTTGAAATAGAGAGTTAACAAATTAAATCTCCCGATTGCAATAAAAAGCACTCAAAGCATCCTTGGAGTGTAATTGATAATGACCGTCTGAACAGTTGGTTACGCTCTCTATCTCCAAGTGGTTAAAATAAAAAGGCTTAATACAAACGCAATGGCCGAATTGAATTGATGACCTCAAGTCACAATGATACCACAGGAACATAAAATTAGACTTAATTATGGCAAAAACAGCCAGAGGAAACGAGCATATAATAGGCAGAGATCGGATGGAATCCGAATGCAAGAGCAAATACGTTTATCACTGATACTCATCATAATGGACAGATGAAGTGACTTGAGGTGATATGAAAATTGTCTCTGAAGCGTTAAAATATTTATACAACTTTTCTACTAACTGGGTGCTTCAAATCATTTGAAACTTTAGCGCGTAGTTGTAGAGGCCCTAACAAAGAACTGATTCAATTTCATCTTTCAAAAAACATTTTTTTAATTTATTACAAACTAGAACCAAGAACATATATTTTTTATATTTTACAACTTCTGAAAGCTTAGAATTGAAAGCAAAGGCTTTCACATCCTAGACATAACAATGTAGAACACCGTAGTAATCAACTAATTCAGATTTATGTGAGAAACATCGAGAAAAGTTTTATAAATGCGTGTAGTAATATTCTCGGATATTCCATGAGCAATACGTTTTCTATATACGTTCGTATAGCAAAAATTTAGTTACCATTAAAAGTGGCAGATGGCGCGGTTAGTCGATTAGAGTACCAAAAGTGTTGACTCCAGGAATTTCTCGAGTTTTACATCGATCTTTTTATAATCATACTACTAAAATGACATATGAAGTATTTTATTTCAAATAATTTTTAATATAGAGGGTAACAGACATCAATATAAATATAAATGTCAGTAATGTAGCTCGCCAACTTGTTACCACTCGATTATCCAAAATGACCACATGAGTACCACCAAAAAGTATATAATTAGGTTTTATTTTATCGACGTCGATTAAATTTCTCTACACCTTATATACCTTATGTACCTTATATATTCCGTAAAAACATTTACCTTTAGCAGAAATATTTCTCCAAAAAAGAACAATAAAACGCGATGAACACTAAGAAGAAGAATCGTTATTTATGAAAACTTGACAAAAATAAATATATTACGGTGGTCTTCAACACTTCCCCACCAAACACGGTTACATAACAGTAATATACCCATTATATAACGTTTGTGACATGTGATGTAACACATATGACATATAAGTAAGATTTGTATTAGTATTTCTTCCGCAGCGATATAACACTGATATAAAACAAATAATGCAACGTATGCATAACATATCGGTAACATGTCATATGTTATGTTATTATTATATACAATAACTGCAATGCTTACAAGTTTATAACAATGTTACCGAACGGTAATACTTCGATATTATATGATATTAACCCTTTGCACTCGAGAGGTGCCTCTCAGGCACCGATGGCAACTGAAATGGTAAAGTTCTCGAGTACAAAGGGTTAATGTATCTTTTGAATAACATTCGTTCTATACCACGTTATTCCAATGTTATGTAACTGCAACATAGTGTGTTTGGTGGGTCGTTACAATATTTACAATTGTTTCGGTGTAAATTCTAATAAAAACGATTGCTGGAACCTGTGCTTGAAAAACTAAAATACAAAAAATTACCTGTAGATGGAGCCACCAGTGGGCAAAATGGCGTTGTTCTCTCTGCGCCAAGATATCCTTGGAGTTGGAAACCCAAAGGCATAACATTCCAGCTGCACGGGTTGACCTTCGCTGACAACAAGGGAACGCGTGGAATTGTCGCTGATAATTGGCGGTCTGCGGACTTGTAATTCTACTTCGGCGGAGATTTTGTTGTTTACTGAGATTAAGACCTGGCACTGGTAGAACCCAGCGTCCGTTTCCTGAATATCCTTGATCTGAAAATTGTATGAAAAAATATACGTTAAGGTCCTTACTTATATCTCACTTTTAGCGCTAAAAGACGTATTTTAGAGCACTGTTAAAAGCGACCCTCCTCGTGTCTCGTTTTTAAACCACTTTTATAGAAAATCCTTAAGCGCGCTCACCACTCCAGCGATTTTGCAGGGCCTCACGGGGACAACGATTCCGAACGTATTTCTAAACCGATCGAGCTTAACGAGTGCTCATATCGAAGATGAAATGTTGACCTGTGTTTATATGGGAGCGATTTTCGATAAGTGGTCATTTTCATATAAAAAAGTGCAACGACATAATTTCAATGCCCTTTTACCTAGGAAGGAGGTGCTCGATCGAAAATCGCTCCCATATAAACACACGTCAACATTTTATCTTTAAAACGAGCACTCGTTGAGCTCAATCGGTTGAGAAATACGCTCAAAATCGTTGTCCCCGTGGAGCACCTTTTTCAGGATTTTCAAGTTTCTCGCGAGGAATTTGGGCATTCCTTAGCAACCGTTGCCGACTCTAGGCGGAGCGTCCAACTTGCGTGTGCGTGCGGCCGAGGGTCACACACGTTTCGGCGCCTAGTCCAGAGGCGTCTAGCCGTTGTGTGAGTTGTATACGTGCAAAATACGCACACATTTTTCGCCCGTTGCTAAACACTGCCCATTATGCGTCGCGTCTCCCTCATCCGAGCGAGAAAGTACGTTTTGGTTACCTCCCACCGAATTCGATGCTAATGCCATCTAGCGGTGGAAGTCATCGTCCCCACTTTGGTGGTGAACGCCGTTAAAAGAAGCCATTAAAGGCGTTTTTTAGCAGCAATACCTCCTCATACCCCCTTTTAAGCTTCTTTTTGAGCGTTTTTAGGATATAACTGAGCGACGATTCCCTAAAAGTGGGGAGGGGGACTTTTAAACCGTTTTTAGCTGTCAAAATCATACATCAAATTTTGACAGCTTTAAGTTGTTAAAATCATACATGAAAAATGGAATGCATTAACATTTTTCACAGAGCAAAAGCTCGTGAGGTGAATACAGGGCATCAAATATATACCAGGGACTTTTGAAGTCGAGTTTATGTCGTTCTGGGCTAACCAAGAAATTGGGCTTTGGTTCCGGCTTTATGCTGCCAAACTCGCTTCCATTTTTGCGGCAAAGTTCAGCAGACTCAGAACCTTTGGTATACAAAGAACGCACGCACTGGGCACGCGGAACGCAGTCGTTACATTTTATCGACGTTGTCATATTACATTTCGTAAAAGTGACCTTTTAACTAAAAGTGGTCATAAAAGAAGGTAGGAGTTTAGGCGTCTTTTAGCAGCAATCCGATCTTTAACTAAAAGACGTTTAAAAGCACTGCTAAAAGTGAGATATGAGTAAGGGCCTAAGATAACAATTGAGATCACCTTATATACCTAACGAATTAAAACTGTTATCTATCTGTAATTCTATAGTGATAATGCATTAATAGTTCAAACTGAATCGTCTAACAAACGAGCTTCTTTATTCTCAGGTTTATGCAGAAATAAACAAATGTAACCACTTCGGCACTTGCAAATGCAAAGTTAGTTACTGTAGAAACATTTATCTCATTAAATTCCACTAATTATAGATCAGTCCTGCAACATTCTAATACAAAGGTCGTTACTACGTTTTATAGCCATTATTTTTAGAAATAATAGCACTATAAAAATCCACCTTTTTCAACGATTTTCCTTGACCTTCCATTTATAACTGTGCGACAATTCGATTCATGTTTACCATAAAACTAGAGACATAAAAATCTCAAACGCTAAACTGGTCTAAAGAAAGTTAAAAAACAATTCTTTTTATTTATCCCAGACTAAAACCAGACAATTTTTTTCTTCGAAACATGAAATTTCATGAGCGTCGCGTTCTTCCTTATGGCCTCAATAATCACACGCTAAAGTTCTAAATGATTCGATGCACCCAGTTTGGTGAAAAGTTTCATAAATATTTTTACGTTTTATATATATATATAGAATGACCCTTTGGTATCATCATAAGGTAGGTAAATGGTATAAAACAACGAAATTTACCTGCAAATTGTAAGTAGAGGATGCTTTATCGTGTCTCAAAGAGAATCTACTATCTCGCACGATCAAAGCTGAGTTAGTCGAAAGTGGTAATTGATCGTGACCACTTTCTCTCTTGTCTTTTATCCATAAAACTGGAAAATCTTGGGCATGCTGGACCGAACACTGAAACTCAACAGTTCCACCGATGTCCTTGATTTGCTCTTGTGAAATATATGATATTGTAGGAGTCCTCTGACTCGTAACTGAAACAAGAAAAGACAATAAATATACATTTTATCAGAACCTCTTTGTTCATTTTTATTACGTCGAATTAATCTTCAATATTTGCACGTCTGAAATATTAAATGAAATATAACATACTTAAATATGTCGGCGCAAATTTCCGGCCTCGTAAAGTAAAACCTAAAAATACTATCTTCTAATATGTCAACGACCTTACGAACTTAATTTTCTGCCTGAAATTATCCCTAATTTGAAAAACTGATTTTCAATCTTTTATCCATCAATGTCGTTACGCGCGAGTACACTGATTGTCCTCATTACAATGTATCTTTACGAACTGAGGACATTCCAACGAAGCTTATAAAAAACCTAATTTTATTTTCTATGGTTTTTATTCAAGATTCTAAGCATATTATAAGTTAACGAACCAAATGTAGCCTACTCGACCCTCAAAAAACATCCTAATTATTGGTGATAAAATAATGTTTATTTTCATTAGTTAATTTGTTAGACTCTCTATATAAATACAAACATCAATAACATAAGTATTAAAAAAAATCTTTTTCACGGTCGTCAATTAAATGCCTCAATGGGTTTCACTTCACCTTAAGCATTAAAAATATTTAACTTCATTTAATTGAATTGAATTGAATTGAATTGAATTTAATTTAATTTGATTTATTTTCAGAGTGTATATGTTATGGACTATGTAATAAATGTGGGCAACACAATTCTCAGGCATTATGCATACATTATTGAATTTTTACAGTAGCAAATCAATAACAATTTTCCTTTACCATTGGACTGTCTCCAGGCTCGTGAAAATTTCAAAAAATATTTCATTAACAGTCAAGAAATTTAATTTTTTTTAAACTATCCCTCCTTATATAAATGCATGTTTTAAATGTTAAACCATCTCACCATTTTATTCATGTCTATGGCATCAAATAAATCAATTTTCTCAGTTTATAATATTTCAATTGAAGTTAATAAAATCGTTTTAGATTAGAATGGAACTTGTTTGATGAGAATAGAATAGGATTCCTTTACAAATATTTAAAGAAGTAAAAACGATACACTTAATTATTGTAATTTTATAATTTCTATAATCATAAATTAGAACATTATAATATTAGCATTTAAGTCGGTAATACTTTTAGTCTGATCCACGTAAAACTTAATGTTGTTTTAATCAAATCATTTAATTTTCTTGATTAAAATCAACTTCAGTTTGTATTTCATATTAGTGGATTGGGTCTTATTTAATGTATCTAACATTGGATTGAAAAGAATTCATTACAGACAAGTGATGAATAATTCTATTTTCAAGTCTATAGCTGGGTACATATCTAAATAGGAACACGTACGAGGCAAGACGAGGCAAAACGAATGTCTCGTACTTAGATGTGTACATAGTAATGTTCAACAAAATCGTTCGAGGCAATGAATGTTCTTAAATGCTTCTGTTCTTAAATGTTCTGCAATGCATATTCTCCCTATTAAAATTCATTATGTTATATAAAACAATATTTAGATTACATATTATTATACTTCAATTGCTACTGCAAAAAGACACAAATCATTTTGTGACGATATGACCTAACATATTGTCAGTATTTTTAATGTACCTAACAATTCACGAGATATCAATGCGAATAGTACAATGAATTATTGTGGAAAGAAATTATTTCCAGCAACATCATTATTCATAAGATTTTAATAAATTTCTGCCATAAACAAAAATTGCTTCAAGAAAATGTACATATACCCAATTTCTTTACATCTATATAATTATTAAACTATAGTCGTACACTGGCTCCTTATTTCAAAAACACCTTGTACATTCTATGTATATATTTCTAACGGAACAATTAAAAATATTGTCACCCTTGAACAAATGTAAAAGTAAAACTCCAGACGAAGAAATTATTTATATTTAATACGACTGTATAAATCCATGTAATGTCGGAATCAAATTCCAATATCGATACATCGCATCGATTCTTAATACAAGATGTTGATTACAGAATACCCCATTATTATCGAACACTCAAATATAAAAATTTAGGTCAGATCATGCATTTACAGCATTTAAACCACAAACTCAGTGTCCCTAATATCAGAAATTCATTTACTTCCCAGGGCAGGAAAAAATCATCATTTATAACCAATATGGATGTAAAAAAAATTGTTTCAATCCATTAAAATTGTTCAGACATTAACAAATTATTTGTACAAAAGTCCACGGCCTTTAAATGCATGCCAATCTGTACTATACTTAAATTATAATGTAACATTCGGACGAAACTTAATCATTTAAAAAAAATCGATTGCACATTCTGTGAATTGAAACAGACTTATGCAGCATATGCAATTTCAATAACCCTTTGACTTAACCCTTCGAAGTAGGGACAGTAACGCGCGGGAATGCTTCAGATTAATTGCAGCAACCTAAACCTCCTAAAATATATTACCTAATGAAAGAAAAAATGAATATGAAATACGCCAAGTGAAAAGCGTTGTAAAATATAACTTTTAACAATTACCCGAACCAAGAACGGCGAAAGCAAAAACAACGCCAAACAGCCTCATCGTGACACTCGCGACACACCCAAGCGAGTCACAACAACGACGCTCACGATACAGAGATGCACGATACTTACAAGATGGAACTTTCAGGTTGGAAATTTAACGGCGCTCTCAGCGCACCAGATGTCAAGAAAGCGAACGACGAATGAAACACGCATCCATTGTTGCCAACTCTGAATATGTTCCACTGAAATATATGGTAACCTGGGCGTTTATTACGTATTTTTAACGAGAGCGCTCACTTCTCACACTATCATCTCACGTGAGTTCGTCGAATTACGTATTCGCTAGAATCTATATCTAATAGATAATAAATGTCTTTTAGCACATATATAAACACTAAAATATTTTAAGGAACAATGTATGAATTTGGCGCATATATTCAAAATGATTTACAATTTTATGTTTTCGATATGGCGGATTCCACAGATGCATGATATATGTATTGGCGAAGTTAACGTCTTTTGACGCACATATAAACACATAGAAACTGTCAAGAAATAATTAATTTGGCGTTTGTGTTCAAATTCTTTCGACTGAATCGTGTTTAATATCAAATTTCTAATTGAATTTGTTATTTTCTATTTAAAAAGAGAAGGACGTAATGAACTTCACGGTCGCGTAGAAACTAGGGACGTATTATACGTTGTAATATACACATAGAAAAGACGTATATTGCATGGCGTATTATACGGGAAAGTGAATTAAACGGTTGGGTAAAACCCTGCTCGCCACGCTTAGGAATAAACGGCGAAGCTTATTCTAGAGAAAGATAGATTTGGATGTCTCTGCATCCTCGTCGCACAGAGTCCAGTAAGCATTGGTGCGACGAAGATAAACGATGGCCGGCTCTCCATCATTGTTCCACCCTTAGAGAAAATATACCTGCGCTTGTTTAAGCGATTCGTGCCCATTATTTGTACAGTCCGAAAGGAAAGTTTAGTGGAATGCAGGGAAGTGATTTCTATATTCTATGAATATTTTATGCTGTCTGGGAAGAATATATGACACTTTCATATCACCTTAAATGTGTAATGAAGACTCGAAAGAAGTTTAATGGTTTCGCCTTATTTCCGGCCTCTAAATAGATTCTTTAGATATTGGGTATCGGTATCAGAAAGCGATCAAGGACTCACTAACAATAGTACACGCAATACTTTATATAACAAAAGCATGGCTTCCGCGTCTTTTTGCGCAGGCGCGGAGTACGAATACAGATACTTCTTCGTCCTAGGACGTTTTGACTCCCTGCCGTTTATTTTGAAAGTGGCCTAAGTCCATTTGTCAATTATTTTCGGTTGCCCGTAGTTACATGTACAACTTGAAGTTATCTATCGATAAAGCATTTGAGGTTAATTATTCTCCGAGTAAATACGATAATTTTGGACGCATAAGTTTTCAGAGTTAGTTCAATAATTAAAACCATAATTTTGATAGTGGCCTAAGTCCAATCTATATGCACGTTCTAAATTTGGGTATTCACAATTTTCATAACGATAATGTACGTTTGGGGTGAAACTATTGCATCAACAGGTGCTCAAGAAATAGCTTCATGCATCCTAGAACATGTGAAAAATTGAAGAAGTGAAAGACACATTATAGCTTACAGTGACATGTCTGCAGGACAAAATAGAAACATTAAAGTAGCTTTAATGTGGCTAAAAATTGTCCAAACCGTTGAACATAATGTGGAAATCATAGATCATAAATTTTTAATATCAGAACATTCGTTTTTACCAAATGATCGAGATTTTGGCGTGGGAGATATGTCATTAAAAAAAAAATAATTTACCGTTCGTCCCCCAAGATTATTATAATATTATGAAAAACTGCCGGAGAGGCAATAACTTTATTCTTAATGAAATGAAACAAGAGGATTTTGCATCAACAAAATTATTAGAAGACGCAATTTTTAAAAGGGTAAAGAATTCTAACGGAGAATCGGTAAACTGGTTAAAAATATGTTGGATGCGTTTTGTCAGAAATGAATCATATAACATTTTCTATAAGACGTCAATGAATGAGAATTAAAATTTTAAAGTCCTGGATTTATTACCACATCGGGGTAGACCAAGAAAGTTCGAAAATATTATATTGGCACCACTTTATAAAAATATAAGACAAATTGCAACAGCGAAATTCAAGGACATAATGGACCTACTATATATATACCATCGGAACATCATGACTTCTTCAAATCCCTTTCACATACACAAAATGTAGATGAGCAGTAAATTGTTTTGTAATTTATGTAATTAAAAAATGTTCCGAATTGCATAAATATTGTTTTTGGAGTGTTGTAAAGATATATAAAATAAATTGAGTATTGTTTTTTTCAATTTGAAGCATTTTAAATGATGTCAAATGGACTTGGGCTCTTTCAAATTTTGTAACGAATCTGGTTGTTAATTTTGAAAGGGGCTTAACTCCATTCTTGGGAAGAAAACTCATATTATTCACTTAATAATTGCCATTATTTTAATAGGAACTGTAAATTTAACTTCTTTAGATACACTTAAGCGGTATGACTCATTGGTATCCTGCACATATATTTTTATTTGCATTGAAACGCAAACCCTTAAATATCTCAATTTAAGTATAAATGGACTTAGGCCACTTTCAAAATAAACGACTTATTTATACCCTACATTGCAGAAAGACCAACATTAGGCACCGAGAACAATCTCGAAAAGACGTGTAAACCATGCTTGAATTATATAAACACCAATACACAAAAGATAAAATTAAGGTGATGTGAAAATGGGGTCAAAAAGTTCTCGTTCATGAAACTTTTCTCCGAACTGGGTGTACCGAACGGATTCAAACTTTACAATACAAAAATGGAGGGTATAAGGAAGGTCCTGAAACTTTAATTTTATTTAATTTGACATAGTTGCTTTTAAAATTTGTTATAAAAAATGAAATTTCACTAGGGTCAAGACGTTTTTTATAGCCTCCACATTCACGTTGTAAAGATTAAAACGATTCAGCACCCCCAGTTTGGAAAACAGTTTCATGAACGATCGACTCTTCAAATGTTACTTTCACGTCCCCTTAAACCTAGATACTAATCCTATAATATATGTGTAATAATTCACGCATACATCATTAAATCAAATAATGAAGAAAAACTCTCAATCACGTTACATACCCCTACGACACTGAACAATGAAATAATGGACAGGTATGTTGAAAAATATGTTAGGAAACTAATGCTTGTAACATTATTTATTAACTAGTTGCCTTAAAAGTGTTATGTAGAAATTTTTAGAACCTTGTGCCATACTTCTCATGACATCGTAGAATAATGATTTTGGTTTTAGAAAGTAGGCAGCCACATTCCTGAATTTTTTTACTGTGCGACCGGTACTGAAACCATGTTTATAAAATTGATTTACTTTTCTGCAGCCACTGCGCGTCAATTTTGATTGTGTAGTTTACAAACACCGGTTTTCTTTTCAATGAATGAGTATCCCGGAAGGAGACGAGACCGTTTCCTCTTTCGTTGCCTTTGTGCTCGGTTCCGTAGGCGGTACACACGTGCATATCCGTATGTTGTCCTGCGAGTAACCATAGAGATACGAAAGCCCTGTATACTAACCTATCGTAAAAGCAAGCCGAAGAGACACAAGGACATAAGACATGCAAAAATATGCGTACGTTATCATAAAGCTCGCAATGATGCCCGTGAGTCGCGGTCGTTAAGGTGAAGTGAAACACGTCGAGGAACTTGATCGACGTCGATAAAGAAGATTTTTCTAAATGCCTACGTTGCCGAGGTTCGGTTTTATATTGACAGCTGGGTCGAATTATATTGGGTATTGTACCAAATGGCATATTCCACCTGTCGTTTTCGTACAACAATTATAAAGAAATCGAAGTAAAACTCCAGAAATCCTCTGGATTCATGCTTTCTCGGGCCCTAATTGACTGCAGAGGGACCCCCTGCGCCATCTGTAATTTCCAGGTCAATTAAATCTTCACTTCGAGACCTCGTACTACCATCGTTTTAGCAAAGAAGCGCATACAACACTTTTTTTGCCTTTATCCCGTTCAAATGCCAGTTTATCGATTACCAGAGTGTTCTAAATTGTCGTAAAATTGTGCTGGCCCTTTCGATTCTCATATCAGAGCCTTCGATAATTGTATATTGATCGAAATATCAGAACTCGATGCCATTTTGGTTCTGGTCTGGACTGAGTTAAAAAATTTTTTTGAAAAATCCAAATTTTGAATGTGTCAGGACAATTCTTAGATGATCAGGAGTGATGTGTCAAAGTTTCGGACAGTTTGGTCTAATACCCTTAAAAAAAAGTGTTGTATTTCAATCGACTGATTTGAAGAATGTTTCACTTCACCTTAAGGTGACGTGAAAGTGGCAGAAAAGAAGTTTCGTTTATGAAACCTTTTTATAACTGATTCTACCGAAACGTTTCAAACTTGACAATGTGAATATGGAAGTTATAAAGAAGGTCCTCACGCCCATAAAATATCTAATCAAATCTTTTCAAATATTTGTTTATATATGTTTGCAAAATTTTTTTTTTTCTCTTTTCAAACATTTGTTTATATATGTTTGCAAAATTTTTTATAAGAAATGGAATTTTATGTGTTTCAGGACGTATCTTAAGGTCTACACACTCACGTTGTAAATTTTAAAACGATTCGGTACACTCACTTGGTAGAAAAGTTTCATGAATCCTTTCATTGATCCTTCGGATGCTATTTTCACATCCCCTTAAGGTGAAGAGAAACTCCCCTGAAATCAGTCGATTCGAATAAGACCCTTTCCTGAAGGATATTGGATTGAACTCTCCGAAACTTTGACACATAATTCGTGAGCACCTAGGAATTATCTTGATACTTTCAAAACTTGAACATCTGAAAAAATTATTTAACTCAGCCGACCCGAACCAAAATGGCGTCGAGCTCTGATATTTCGATCAATATACAATTATCGAAGGCTCTGATATGAGAATCGAAAGGGTCAGGACAATTTTACGACAATTTAGAACACTCTGGTAATCGATAAACTCGCATTTGAACGGGATAAAGGCAAAAAAAGTGTTGTATGCGCTTCTTTGCTAAAACGATGGTAATACGAGGTCTCGGAGTGCAAATTTCATTGACCTGGAAATCACAGATGGCGCAGGGTGTCCCTCTGCAGTCAATTAGGACCCGAGAAAGCATGAATCCAGAGGATTTCTGGAGTTTTACTTCGATTTCTTTATAATTATTGTATGAAATCAACAGGTGGAGTATGCTATTTAGTATAATATCCAATACAATTCGATACAGCTGTCGATACAAAAACGAAAGTTGGCAACGTAGGTATTTAGAAAAATCTTCTTTACCGACATCGATCACGTTCCTCGACGCGTTGCATTTCACCTTAAAGAAGGGTGAACGTGCAGACCAAAACAACCTATAACCGCATATTCAACAGTGATTTATTATACAACGATTACCCTCCAAACACGGCTACGTAACAATAATATAACCGTTACATAACATTTGTACAATGTAACGTAATATACATATAACATATAAGTATGATTTATAGTACTATTTCCTCTGCAGCTATATAACACTGTTATAAAACGAATAATGTATATAATATATAAAATATCGGTAACATGTTATATGTTATGTTAATATTATATAACTGCAATGCGTGCAAGTTTGTAACAATCTTACCGAACGGTAATAATTCGACGCTATATGATATCAATATATCTTTTGAATGACATTCGTTATACATCACGTTATTACAGTGTTACGTAATTATATTAGTTACGTAATAAAATAACATAGTGTGTTCGGTGGGTATTAACATAACGGCAAAGTCGCAATCACGTTCTAAACAATTCGTGCAACACCTCACAGCTGTTCATTGTTGAAAGTTTTGAAAATGAAGGAAACTTTTCCACAGGGTCACTCGACGTAGACTTAGAAGAGACAGACTTAGAAAACGAACGATTATTCGGAGGAAGGCGGAAAGGTCGATCCTGTTGTGGTTTAAAGAAGAAGCTCTAATCGGTCAAACCTAGACCCCGTACCTGTAGGTTGTGTGTAAAGTAGGCGGGCAGTGTGTCATTTATAATTGAGGAACAGACCACCAACGCGAGGTCGCCACGGCTCAGAACGATCAAAACTGATCGATGTCCGTTTCCTGCAATGACTGTTCGGACACCGCGAAAGTAGGAGCCCTTGCACGAGCCGATACGTCCGTTTCCGACCGCGAAGGTGGACGTCTTCCGGAAGTTCGGTTTCCCGGATCGGACATGAGCGGCGACCTCTTCCGACTCGAAGATGAGACCCAGGTTCGACTTTTCCATACATTTTCAACTTTTCAAGAGTTTCCAAGAGCTTTAGAAAGTTCTCATGCCCCCCAGACGCGCCTAGCCGTTTTAGTGCCACGTGGGCGATCGCACTTTTCGCATACTGTGGTGAACTGTGTCGCGGTGTTTGGTTCCGATCATCAATTCGCATCTCATGGCACAACCCGACACGGATTTTTAAGATCAAGTGAAACACTTCGAGGAACTTGATCGACGTCGATAAAGAAGATTTTTCTAAATGCCTACGTTGCCGACGTTCGTTTTTATATTGGCAGCTGTTTCGAATTATATTGGGTATTGTACCAAATGGCATACTCCACCTGTCGTTTTCGTACAGTAATTATAAAGAAATCGAATCGGTTTAAAATATAATCAAGTATCCTAAACGAAGACTTTGTTTTTTAGGTAGTTATTAATTGCAAATGAAACACAACTATCGAAACAACTGATGCCGTGTACGGATTTATTATTTATCACAGACAATAAGAAGTGGAGTCGGTTCTAGTTTTTAAAATAGAACATTCTAACATTTTATTATAGTATCGGTGAAATTATTTCATTATTAAATTGATAAATTAGATATTCAGGAAACTTAGACATTTCGATTATAAACATTTTGGAATCGTACGGAGAGAACGTTTTGATTAAGGTGAGAAACCACATTAGGCGATTCAAGAAATCGCATTTCTTTTTATTGCATAAATTGTTAGTATAACGATTGGAGATTATGTTCCCAAAGTTTCTACACGAAAATCGAATTTGTTCCGATGCTGTGAGCGCAAAAGGAAACGCCGTTTAGTTCGGCGCTCGACCGCACAGTGGCGCACAGCATGTAGANTAGAAATTATTCTATACTATTATGGTAGTCGCTGTAAATACTGATTTCCCTATTATTTTCCAGAATTCACACAGTCGAAGATCCAGTCGCAACGAAAACATCGGTAACGAGGAACAAAGTCCATCCTCGTCAAGAATTAGCAGTCATGGGATGTCAATGACGGTAGAAAGGATCTCCAGATCCGAATCTCTAGCGTCTCCTCAGGAGAGAATCGAGGGTTGCAAAAGTAATGGCAGTCCCGACGGTATATCTCAAGCAACATTGCATGACAACACCAATGCGTTGGAGGGAAACGAGACGGCATGCCAAAATCGACGACCCTCGGATGTAGAAAACTCTTCAAAATCGATCAGCCTCCAAGTCAAAAGGAAAATGTCAAGAATCGACGTCCACCCAGCCCAACTGATGGCTCGAGACGCCTTTGGTAAGCTATTAACAAAGGAAATGCAACATATTTTTAAACCAATTTGTATAAAGCGAATAGACAATCATGGCAAAGGCTGAGAACAAATATCATTGTTCTGCCCGGCTAGTTTGTCTTGCAGTTGTTGTATGAATCCCGATTGTGTTTGCAAGTAGAATTGGAAAATGGGATATTCATCCAACTGCTCACGTGGTGAAGGAAGGTACCCGAATGAAGAGTGAGACTGTCGCGAACAAAACAACTTAAATTCATTATAATATTGAATAGACGAATGACTTATTGAATTTTGTCAGCTCTTCACGCGTGAATAACGATAACCGACAATCATGGCAAAGGCTGAGAACAAATATCATTGTTCTGCCCGGCTAGTTTGTCGGGCAGTTGTTGTATGAATCCCGATTGTTTTTGCAAGTAGAATTGCAAAATGGGATATTCATGCAACTGCTCACGTGAAGAAGGAAGGTACCCGAATGAAGAGTGAGACTGTCGCGAACAAAACAACTTAAATTCATTATAATATTGAATAGACGAATGACTTACTGAATTTTGTCAGCTCTTCAAGCATGAATAACGATAACAGTTGCAGAGATGATGGTGAAGGCTGACGAGAGACGTTGAATTATCGAGAGACGGAGACTGACAGATTTACAGAAAAAATACAGGATTCCTCCTCCTCCCTTAAGAAGACCGCTCCGGTACTTCTCGATCGGTGCTAAAGATACTTATAGTATCTTGTTCTAAACCTATTCTTAAAAAAAAAAAAAAAACTCGTAAGTGATTGTAAAATTAAGTCATTTATAAAATTATAACAGTATGTTATAAAATCATCTTTTTATTTAAAAGTGTATAATAAATGTATATCGATTCACTTTTAAGATACTAAATTCGTAATTTTAGTACAACCATATACACTAAAAGGGCATGCATTTTATGAATATTATTTAAAGATATTTCATTTAAATGTGCGCAACTTTTTACGGTGAAACATTTTTATAAGCTGTGAAAGCTGAATATAAACTGTCAATTTAACGTTTTCGAACAGTTTAGATTTTTATACAGGTTATCTAGACTTCTATGATATATGTACTGAAAATATAGGCATGAAAAAGATTTACATATATATTCATGGGATATTTTTTTTATACATGCCATAGATAATGTAAGTTTTTTATACTTATGTCCTAATTTGTACCTCCACTATAAGTATATTATACTTCATATGGTACCTGGTAATACATCATAATTTACACTGTGATAAAAAATCATGATGTTTGGTCCCCAGCCAAAGAGGAAGTAAATAAAAAATCAGAGTATGGACGAAATTAACAGTTTTATCAAGTTGGAATTTTGATATAAAAATAAGTACGTGTGAAAAATATCAAAATTCTTTTTATTTTTCTAAACGTATTTTCAACGATGTCGATTAACATTTGGTAGATGTCTACTAGAGCTATTATATATTTTGTATGCGTCAAGAAATAAGAAGATATTTGTAGATCGATAGTAGATATATAATTTTCATTTACAATAGACATATATATCCTTTAGATATTTTTTTAGGTGGATGATAGTCGATTAATTTATGCATATTCCACTTCATGGGTTGCCTGGGTTATGCCATAGTCCTTTTCTTAGAACATAGTTCTGATGGGGATCCGTCGTGTGGCGCCTGTTGCACGTTCCCTCTTGTAGGGCAATTCGGTGAAGAAACGGTCACCTTTATGTTAATATTATAATGCCCGATATTCATTTATCAAACGTAGTAAGGATTCATTAATCTTTTTTCAAATAATTAAAGAAGTTTTTTATGCACGTTGGCGCGATTGCTTAACTTGCCCCAGATACGGGAGACGTTTGAAAAGGTACGTTTTGGTTACCTCCCACCGAATTCGATGCCAATGCCATCTAGCGGTTGAAGTCGTCGACCTCACTCTGGTGCTGAACGCCGTTAATGTTTTTTCAGTAAATTTAGAGCACACCAAGCTTAGCTCTTTATTTTAAGTTAACTAACAAATAATTATTCGGAGTATACTTAAAGTACAGACGATGACTAACAGTTAGCGCGACGACCAGAGTTTGTCAGTCAATTTGCCCCAAACGTTATTTTAACAATTGAAAGCATGTTCACAAATAATAAATAATTTTATGTAAAAATATACGCCCAGCGATGCAAAGTTACATAAATGCTCTTTTTATAACCCATATTTTCAAAATGATAAACGTACTACACCGTATTAAAAAAGGAAAAATGAGGAGTGAACGGATTTACTTCCCAACCCAGTTTTTCTGTTTTAATTTTTTTATGAATAAGCGAAGCTTTGATGAACTATGTCAAGTGTGAGCAAAAGTGTGGGACACAGGAAGGAATGAAAGGAAATTACGAATGATGTCAAGTAAAAAACGAAAAATGTATTAGACATTGGTCAATTTGCCCCGTAGAAGAACTTGCCCTGGTCTCCCCTATTGGAAAACTAAAAGAGACATCTCGGCAATGAAACCAAGAACGGAATGAATAAAAGTCCATTTATCCATAGACCAGGACACAATGGTACCAGAATACATAATGCGTTCCGTCTATTTCTAGATTCTCTCAGAGTAGCTACTAATGCCCATTAATAATATAACCTTCGACCATGCGTACAACTACGTGGTTACATACACATAGGCTTGAGTCAAACGATCTTACGCGATACGACTTTTAGTTCTATTTCCGAGTTGAACTACATGGATCATTATTGATCTATGGAGAAATGAACAAACTCGTCCTCTACCGCGATAGACGATGGATGTACTGCACGATAATTCACAAATTAATTATCCTTATTTTAGGAAAGAACGCGTTTAATTAAATTTTGACGATAGATTTACTGCACGATAACTTACAAATTAACTATCCCTATTTTAGGAAAGAACGCGTTTAATGAAATTTTAACGATGGATTTACTGCTCGATAACTCATGAATTAACTATCCTTATTTTATAAAAGATCACGTTTAATGAAATTTTAATGATGGATATACTGCACAATAACTTACGAATTAACTATCCCTATTTTAGGACAGAACACATTTAATGAAATTTTTACGATGGATATACTGCACAATAACTCACGAATTAACTATCCTTATTTTAGGAAAGAACGCGTTTAATGAAATTTTGACGATGGATTTACTGCACGATAACTGACGAATTAACTATCCTTATTTTAGGAAAGATCACATTTAATGAAATTTTGACGATGGATATACTGCACGATAACTTACAAATTAACTATCCCTATTTTAGGAACGAACACGTTTCATGAAATTTTAACGATGGATATACTGCACAATAACTTACGAATTAACTATCCCTATTTTAGAAAAGAACACGTTTAATGAAATTTTGACGATGGATATACTGCTCGATAACTCATGAATTAACTATCCTTATTTTATAAAAGATCACGTTTAATGAAATTTTAATGATGGATGTACTGCACGATAACTCACGAATTAACTATCCTTATTTTAGGAAAGAACACGTTTAATGAAATTTTGACGATGGATTTACTGCACGATAACTGACGAATTAACTATCCTTATTTTAGGAAAGATCACATTTAATGAAATTTTGACGATGGATATACTGCACGATAACTTACAAATTAACTATCCCTATTTTAGGAACGAACACGTTTCATGAAATTTTAACGATGGATATACTGCACAATAACTTACGAATTAACTATCCCTATTTTAGAAAAGAACACGTTTAATGAAATTTTGACGATGGATATACTGCTCGATAACTCATGAATTAACTATCCTTATTTTATAAAAGATCACGTTTAATGAAATTTTAATGATGGATGTACTGCACGATAACTCACGAATTAACTATCCTTATTTTAGGAAAGAACACGTTTAATGAAATTTGGTACTGTCGATATTAATATTTATAGTAATTAAGAATTCGTCAAGATAATGTCAAAAATAAATAAGTGAAGATTTTCAGTCTTTCTACTTGATGTTAATTAAAATTGTTAGGTTATTTTTATTTTGTCATATCACATCTTTTACTGCGATCACTACAGGCAATTTAATCATAAACGAAGTATGGTTTCGGGACATATCAAGTACGTGAATTTCAACCAAGATAAGCAATTGTATAAATACAAATTTCGTTCATACCTCAAGATCGGCGGAAAAACAATCCAATTTCAACCACAAATGAGTTATTATTTTCACACTTCAAATAAGTTATTATTTTGTTAATACCTCCTTTTCTTTACGTGTAAAAAGAATAATTTAAACAAAGTTTAGACAAAAGTTATTTAATTCTGAAAAGGGCATGTGATAAAAAAATCGTGTTACTCATGAAACTGTTTTCCGAACAAAATATAATATGTCGTATCTTTGAAGAAAAAGAATAAGAAAGAAAGAGGGAGAGAGAGAGAACGACTTCATAAATATAATTATATAAATATTAGAAGTACATCACCTCAATTATCACAGTATAGATCGTTGCAGCAAATATTTGTTAAAGAATTAAAAAAAAAAAATACTATTTTGGAAACATGGAGCAACTATCCATTTTTGTTCAAATCACAACTATAAGGCTCTGCAATTCAATACCTTCTCCATTCATTGCAGAAACGTAAAGGTACCATTTGTATTGTCATTTTGTTATCGATCGTGTTCAATAATCGGAAAGAACGTGGAAAATTATCGACGAACTATAGACTTGCGACGTTTAAAGAACTCAATGCTTTTTTACCATTGAAAAGTTTAATACGTTATTGCATGAAGTACTAAGGGCATGGTATTGATCAGGAAATGATAACATCACGAAGCATCGTTGCGGTTCAATATTATTATCAACGAGTGCTTAAAATAATTCATACTAACGATGATTACAAAATACCGATAACTATAAATAGACTGTGGTTCTCCATCGGTTCTGCTCGTTCCGCACGCGATATTGTAGTACTTCCTTTAAAGCTACAATCTTTCTAATTTGCACCCTAATTCAATTCCAGAAATACATAGTTATTAGAAAAATAATGCTCTCTGTTTACACAGTGGGTGGAAGTTCTCGCGCAGTCTTAAAAAAGAAATAACCGATTAACTATACCTTTCAATTTTGTCTGTGGATTTGTCAACATGAAAAAATTTTTGCGCATACAATCACAGTGGAGCTCTCATATTTCGATCGATATACAATTGTGCCCATAATTATGAAAGTGGTCTAAGTCATGTATTTTTTGTTTCGAAATTACATTGAATTAATTTAGTTTGAAATAATGTGGCGTGAAATAACTGATAAACTTTTTTTTTTCAATTTTGACTTAGACCACTTTCATAATTATGGGCATAATTATCGAAGACTCTGACATGAGAAACGAAAGGGTCAGGACAATTGCACGACAATCTAGATCACTCTGGTAATCGATAAACTCGCATTTGACGGGATAAAGGCAAAAAAAGTGTTTTATATGCTTGTATGCTAAAACGATGGGAATACGAGGTCTCGGAGTGAAAATTTAATTGGCCTGGAAATCACAGATGGCGCAGGGGGTCCCTCTGCAGTCAATTAGGGCCCCAGAATGCATGAATCCAGAGGATTTCTGGAGTTTACTTCGATTTCTTTATAATTAATGTACGAAAACGACAGGTGCAGTATGCCATTTAGTACAATATTTAATATAATTCGACACAGCTATTAATATAAAAACGAACGTCGGCAACGTAGGTATTTAGAAAAATCTTCTTTTCAAAAGATTTAAGGATTTAAGGTGAAGTGAAACACGTTGAGGAACTTGATCGACGTCGATAAAGATTTTCCTAAATGCCTACGTTGCCGACGTTCGTTTTAATATGGACAGCTGGGTCGAATTATATTGGGTATCGTACCAAATGACATACTCCACCTATCGTTTTCGTACAATAATTATAAAGAAATCCAGGTAAAACTCCAGAAATCCTCTGGATTCGTGCTTTCTGAGGCCTAAATTGACTCTAGAGGGACCCCCTGCGCCATCTGTGATTTCCAGGTCAATTAAATTTTCACTCCGAGACCTTGTATTACCATCGTTTTGGCACAGAAGCGCATACAACACTTTTTTTGCCTTCATCCCGTTCAAATGCGAGTTTATCGATTACCAGAGTGTTCTAAATTGTCGTAAAATTGTCCTGACCCTTTCGATTCTCATATCGGAGCCTTCGATAATTGTATATCGATCGAAATATGAGAGCTCGACGCCATTTTGGTTCTGGTCTGGACTGAGTAAAACAATTTGTTTGAAAAATCCAAATTTTTAATATGTCAGGACAATTCTTAGATGATCAGGAGTGACGTGTCAAAGTTTCGGACAGTTTGGTCCAATACCCTTGAAAAAAAAGTGTTGTATTCGAATCGACTAATTTGAAGGGGGTTTCACTTCACCTTAAGAACAAGAGGACTCTCTCTGTCTCTCTCCCTCTTCGGTACAAAGGTTACCTAAGTCTAGAATGTTTCTGACGCACGCGTGGTTTATATAAAGAAAAAAATACAGCAAAAACCTACCTAATGTAATATTTACAATAATTATGACGCTTATTAACATGTAATTAGAGGAGTAGGTTACGTGGGACGTAACAGAAGCCTTCATAAAAAATTCATGACAAAGGCCAAATTTGAAGAAGCAGCAGTTCAAAAACTTCAAATTTATTTCTTCCTGTACTTTATAGCATCGAAGTCGTTTCAATTTGACAAGATACGATTTAAATGATCGAAGTAACCTTCGTTATATAAAAAATAAACTTAATAGGAACATTGCTCGTACTCGTGCTAACGCTCACAAAACAAACAAATGTTTCGAAAAATTTTTTGTTTGTACGAAAACAAAATAATTACTTTACTATAAAGAGGATATAAATATTTTTCATTCCATTAGACTTCGATTACAAGATTTTTAAGAATGTCATTTTAATGAAAGGAATAAAAGCCACGTCTATTGAGAAAGATAAGCATAATGTATGATCGCGACATGTAGGGAGACAGATAGATGTCGCGTGTTGGAAAATCTATAGAAATACTCAAGATATATATGGAAAGACCCTCGTTTTTTATTAAAAAGGGCCACGACGTTACCACGATCAATATGTCAACCAATGTCAGCGTATCGCGATGTCGGTGAGTCACGATGTCTGGATAAAATATAATATGTTAGTTACTTTTTTTTTTCTAAATTCCAAATAACAAATTTTAAACGGCATATTGGATGTTTCTCATGTCAAAAATAGGTTTTGTTAACACGATGAAACTCGGTCAGATCTCAAACCAAGCACTGATATACATATGTACACAGGTATGACCCGTAGAGGCTCTTATCAGAGCCGACTTTTTCTCAAGACAAGAAATGAACGGCGGTTCGACGATAGGGACTCTTATACTCAAAATATCTCATAACACCTACGTTTAAACATATATTTAATGAATGGTTCTATAATAATGGTTCTTTTGATCAAGTTAATCGACGTGTTTCACTTCACCTTAACGCCCCTGCTACCTACTCATGAGCCGCGGGTTCAAATCCCGTCAATAGCAAAAACATTTTTCTGTGTCAAAAACAGCAGGACTTGTCTGCATAGCTGTACTGAACTGAAGGGTCAGGACAATTTGACGACAATTTAGAACACTCTGGTAATCGATAAACTCCCATTTGAACGGGATAAAGGCAAGAAAAGTGTTGTATCCGCTTCTTTGCTAAAACGATGGTAATACGAGGTCTCGGAGTGAAAATTTAATTGACCTGGAAATCACAGATGGCGCAGGGGGTCCCTCCGCAGTCAATTAGGGCCCCAGAAGGCACGAATCCAGAGGATTTCTGGAGTTTTACTTCGATTTCTTTATAATTATTGTACGAAAACGACAGGTGGAATATGCCATTTGGGACAATACACAATACAATTCGACTCAGCTGTCAATATAAAAACGAACGTCGGCAACGTAGGCATTTAGAAAAATCTTCTTTATCGACGTTGATCAAGTTCCTCGACGTGTTTCACTTCACCTTAATGTACGTGTGCTCCACAGGCCCAAAAGTACCACCAGATTCGCGACAAGTGACTCCTTCCGTCCCGGGTACACCAGTACCTTCGGAGTCCGAGGACAGTGAACAGGAAGCAAACGAAGCGATTGGTCAAAAAGATCCAGAAGATGAGGATAATAAATTCGGAAGTGATCCCGACACCCTATTTTTCCGGTAAGCCTTTTGTAAACTTATTTACTTCGAGAATGATAAATAAGATGCGATGAAGTTGAAATGGTAAACAGCTAACGAAATATACTTCGAGCAATTAAAGAAATAAAACGAAAGATAAACTTATTATTAGGTACGTTATTGTATTACTATTTCATAAGGGCGATTATTAATAATCAAAGAAAGAATTAAAAACTCTCTTTAAGGGGTTACACCACTTTGACCCACCCAAAAATTATGGTTTTTCAAGAATTTTTTTTAACAATTAAAACGTATTTATCCAAATTAAAGTACAGGAAGGTATTATACTATTATTAAACAAGAAAATGCTTTTTTGTATTTTTCATATTTACAAAAATGGCGGCTTGAAAGGCGATTTACCGGAGCGCTGCGNCTTTTTTGTATTTTTTTTATTTACAAAAATGGCGGCTTGAAAGGCGATTTACCGGAGCACTGCGAAAATCGATGATCGTGAGGCACGATACTCAGTCCAGGTTTAAGTTAGAACAATAAATGAAAAAGAATAAGTTTCTGTAGCCCAAAAGCTAGCGAAATACGTAGCCGTTTTCAAGAATATGCATTTTTCACAAAGTGGCATCGATTTGAAAGGAAAGATACGTATTTTGCCCTAAATTTCGTTAATTAATGTTGCATAAAAAATGCGAATATCAATATATTGAAAAAACCATACGTATTTCGCTAGATAAACATATCACGAATAAAATTAAAAAAGAATCAAGACGATTGATTGAAAATTGGCGGTGCTAGAGTGCCCACCGATTTTTAAAATGCAGTTTTAAGAAAAACGCGTTTACACCTATATACCTGCCCACCGCACGATCACCGATTTTCGCAGTGATCGGATTTAATAGTAGTATAATACCTTACTGTACTTTAATTTGGATAAAAACGTTTTAACTCTTAAAAAAAAATTCTTGAAAAAACTGTAATTTTTGGGTGCGTCAAAGTGGTGTAACCCCTTAAAGAGTGTCCGCCCGCTTAGAAGAAACAAAGATCGCTGTATTGATCTTACACTTAGAAAAATTTCATTGAACGAAAGAAATATTTCTTTTGACAGTACTAAAGAATTATTTTGTCAATCCAAACAGTAATTATTTCACTGAAATAAACTCGAATAAATTGGATGCTACCTTTTATTCGGAATTATTACAATTTATTAGAGTTTATTCGAGTAAAATAATTATTCTATGAATTAACCAAATATTTCTTTTGTACTATTCAAAGAAATATTTCATCGGTTCAATGAATTTTTTTTCTCAGTGTACAACTGGAAGCAGCACCTTAAATATCATAACAGTCCTTAAAGACTTGAACGTACATTATATTTTACCAGAACTAAAAGAAATCCACCTGTTAAAATCATTTACATTAAGCAAATATGTTAACCACGAAACACAGAGTTTATGAAACTTAATAACTGAAGATAATACGATGTCTTGAAATAACAATAGTAGATAATGTACGCAAAATAGACACTTTACGGATTCAAGAATTACTACAGAAGGGATATATACCTGTATTGTACGTCTCATACACATCACTTTGAAAAAACTTAGTGAGACATGTAGAATGACAAAACCATAACTCGAACATGTCTCGTACACGTCACTTTAAAAACACCTTATTGAGATGTGTAGAATTGATCAGGAAAATAAAATTAATTTACTAATATAGGTACAGATTTTACTGCATTGGCGACTACATGACAAAACCATAACTCGAACATGTCTCGTACACATCACTGTGAAAACACCTTACTGAGATGTGTAGAATTGATCAGGAAAATAAAATTAATTTACTAATATAGGTACAAATTTTACTATATTGGCGACTATATGACAAAACCATACCTCGAACATGTCTCGTACACGTCACTTTGAAAACACCTTACTGAGATGTGTAGAATTGATCCGGAATATTAAATTAATTTACTAATATAGGTACAGATTTTACCGTATTGGCGACTATATGACAAAACCATAACTCGAACATGTCTCGTACACGTCACTTTGAAAACACCTTACCGAGATGTGTAGAATTGATCAGGAAAATAAAATTTATTTACTAATATAGGTACAGATTTTACTGTATTGGCGTCACGCGAAAAACTTCTCAAAACTTTGTTTTCTATTCTTTATAGGGATGGTCGAAGAAGAATAGACATGATTCTAGTTTACCAAGAAGAGAGCAAAGGTGTCATGACAGAGCTGGAAGCGCAACGAAAGGAGCAAAGACGCATTTTCCAACAAAATCTACTGGGTGAGGGTTTGCAACTCGAACTCGAACCAAAGGAAGCCTCTTTTGATGGAAAGACTTACTTCCTTAAATTACACATACCTTGGAAAGTTAAGGTGCAATATGCTCAAGTCATGAACTTGAAACTGCCTACAAAGAGATTCATCACAATCTCCGTCAAAGCTTGGGTACGCAAAACTCTCTTATACCTAATTAATAGTTGCAAAATTTTGTTTTTCATTTCTTGATACCAGGGAGTTTGTTCGAAAAGCTTGTGAAAATGTCAATCTCGATTTTAAGGGGGAATTTTTATGTAACATTTAAAAAAATCAATTTTTTGTTTTCATCGATCGTAGGTACATCTCGGAAATATGAACACAAAATTTTAAGATAACAATATTAGTTAATTACAGCTATATTTTTCATTTTTATTCCAAACAGTAGACGTTTGTCAATTTTGCAAATATTCTTGTTGAAATAAGTTCAAACCCAGCGTAAACTATCTAACTTTAAGAAAATATTTTGCTTTTAGCATTCAAATGAATTTTTTTTATTACACTGTCCGCCGACATCCGCTGTACTATCGGAAATGACTGAGATAACTATATCATGATTCGTGATATATAAAGAAAATTAAGAGAAAAATCTCTTTGAACTTTAAGGATGATTCTTTATATGTAAAAAAAAAATATTCGAATATCGAGAATAGTTTTCTTATAAAATATTCATAAAAATTGTTAGATTTTTAGGCACCCTAGTAGCACGAAATATGTGTCCTATATTTTCTATATATTTCCCAAAAATTCTTCGATTTGAAAGGAAAGATACGTATTTTGCCCTANGGGCAGGTACACAAGAATCGCCCCTAAAATAAACTATAATAAATAACTTTCATCGGCGAATGTTCTACTTGATTAGTTTCCGGTAATTGTTTATTATTGAAATACTGATGCCATTTGTAAATAAAAGAGTACCCTCTCTACAGAGTACAGAGTGTACTGAGTAATGATACAGAATAAAATTAAGCTGTACAGAAAATCCATTGTGGTTGATGCGTTAAAATTACGTGATACTGTAAAATAATGTCGTGGAACTACATGTCTCTAAATATATTACAAAATTATTATTTATAAAAATAAGAACAATATTTTTATTTATCTTCTAAACATATATACACTCTTAAATTATGTTTCCTTTAAATTTAAATAGCAGTCAACAAAGAAAGAACTAGTAAAAGATCGTTGCGATCCGGAATTCGTCTTCGAATTTAAACATTAAATACTCGCCTGGTCAATTTTCCAGTTTCATATTTCATTTGAATATCTGCTTCTTTAGGGCGATGATGCTTCCAAAAGAAGGGCGAAAATATGGGAAAAGTGGACGAGATGGGTGGAGTGGATGCGGAAATTGCATACATGGGACACTAATTTGTATCCGGAAGAACCAAGTTTTTACGCTAGCACAGATTCGGGCGATCGCGAAGAAAAGTAAGATACTAATTATACACATTTAGAAATGCAGAATAACTGCCTAAAAGTAATACTTAAGGTGAAGTGAAACACCCTTCAAATCAGTCGATTCGAATACAACACTTTTTTTTAAGGGTATTACACCAAACTGTCCGAAACTTTGACGCATCATTCCTGATCATCTAAGAATTGTCCTGACACATTCAAAATTTGCATTTTTTAACAAAATTTTTTAATTCAGCCCAGACCGGGACCAAAATGGCGTCGAGCTCTCATATTTCGATGAATATACAATTATCGAAGGCTCCGATATGAGAATCGAAAGGGTCAGGACAATTTTACAGCAATTTAGAACTCTCTGGTAATCGATAAACACGCATTTAAACAGGATAAGGGCAAAAAAAGTGTTGTATGCACTTCTATGCTAAAACGATGGGAATTCGAGGTCTCGGAGTGAAACTTTAATTGACCCGGAAATCACAGATGGCGCAGGGTGTCCCTCTGCAGTCAATTGGGGCCCCAGAAAGCTTGAATCCAGAGGATTTCTGGAGTTTTACTTCGATTTCTTGATATTTATTGTACGAAAACAACAGGTGGCGTATGCCATTTGGTACAATATTCAATGTAATTCGACACAGCTGTCAATATAAAAACGAACGTCGGCAACGTAGGCATTTAGAAAAATCTTCTTTATCGACGTTGATCAAGTTCCTCGACGTGTTTCACTTCACCTTAAAGGTCACGGCAGCAATTGCTTTCGAACTTACAATTATTACTAATTTATGACCGAGTACTATAGTATTTAAAACTGTCATAATCAGGTCTTGAAAGTCTTCGTCTTCAATGCTACCCCTTAAGGTGATATGACAGTGTGATATATACATAACAAAAAGTCAAAATATTTATAAAACTTTTCTCCAAACTGGGTGCGCCGAATTATCTGAAACTTTAACACGTGATTATGGAGGCCCTAAGGAATAACGCGCTGCTCATGAAATTTCTTTTTTCGAAAAAAAAAAGGTGTTGTACTTATCTTGGACAAGAACCAAACAAGATTTTTTTTTTCGAAAAATGGAGGGTCGGGATAATTTTACGACAATTTAGAACACTCTGGTAATCGATAAACTCGCATTTGGACGGGATAAAGGCAAAAAAAGTGTTGTACGCGCTTCTATGCTAAAACGATGGGGACACGAGGTCTCGGAGTGAAACTTTAATTGACCTGGAAATCACAGATGGCGCAGGAGGTCCCTCTGCAGTCAATTAGGGCCCCGGAAAGTACGAATCCAGAGGATTTATGGAGTTTTACTTCGATTTCTGTATAATTATTGTATGAAAACGACAGGTGGAGTATGCCATTTGGTACAATACCCAATATAATTCGACACAGCTGTCGATATAAAAACGAACGTCGGCAACGTAGGCATTTAGAAAATCTTCTTTATCGACATCGATCAAGTTCCTCGACGTGTTTCACTTCACCTTAAGGGGATGTGAAAGTGGCATCCGAAAGGTCAATCGTTCATGAAGCTTTTCTACAAACTGGGTGCACTGAATCGTTTCAAACTTTACAACGTGAATGTGGAGGCCCTAAGGTAGACCCTAAATCTCATGAGATTTCATTCTTTACCAAAAATTTTGTAAATATCTGTAATTAAATTTTTAAAAAATTCAAATTTTGTGGGTGTCAGCACCTTTTTTATAGCTTCCATATTCGCATCGTCAAATATGAAACGATACTATGTACACTCAGTTCGGAGAAAAGTTTCATAAACGAGACCTCTTCACGTTACTTTCACATCACTTTAAAAAAGCGTAAAACGTTGTAATATGCGTTTACGATGCCGTATTAGTTGTAGTCTGACAAACAAAAAAATATTCTTAACGTAATTTCATATTCATCTGCGATCTCCAAATTGACGTGGTTCAATTTCAAACGATTCAGTATATCCAGTTCGGAGCAAAGTTCTATTAAAAATGTAACGCCTCAAATACCATTTTCACATCGGATCAAAACAAATACAGAAGTGATTACGAACGTAATATCAAAAATCCTTCGGTGATTAAAAATCTATAATGTCACATTTTTTATTAATGGTATTGAATATTTTTTCAAGTATCTTAAAACGATTAAGTTTTTGAATTTTGTACATTTTTTAATGAACTGACGATAAGATTTGCGATTAGAAGCAAATACATAGTTACAAGTCTCTTATATTTGATGCCGAGTGACATATTTGAAGAAAAATAAGATTTCTGGAAATTTGTCGAGCGCTTTAAAGAGTACCGCTTAAAATAACTTGTTAGATGTGACTTTGAATTTTTAGATGTTATTTTATATTTTTCCCTAGATTCACGATAAAGGGCAGGGACACTTCGTACACTCCTGCGCAACGCTCGTTGATAGTAATGCAAATCCTTCTTCGTACAAAATACGACGAAAGTCATGAAAAAGCAGGAATAAGAAGACTTTTGGCCGACGGTACATACATTGATTGTTTTCCCTTACACGAAGGACCTTACAACAAACCCACCACAAATGGTGAACATTTAGACAGATACTTGCTCTATCTGGTATGGGCCAGACCATCTCAGTGGTGAGTATTAATTACACTACACACGGATTTGCATGCCATTACGTCACGTACAATTGAGCCGCTCAGTGCACACATCGACTAACTCCACTTTTTGAAAAATCTTAAATTCAGATGTCAAAGCACTTGGTATAGTCATAACTTTTTATATTTATAATATCTTTCCTGATTAATAGAGATTAACACCATTAAACGGCAAAATTTTTTTGAGCATTAAATAATAAGTAATTTATTTCACAAGCCATTTTGATTAACTCCATACTCTAATGTAAATCGTAGACGAATACCTGGCAGTATAGTATTATTGGATTATCTGTTGCTGCCGTACATCGACGCTTTTTTTTTAATCAGCCGAATATGCTTTCCCCCTTTCAACGATATGAGTAATAAAATCGCATCAGCAAACAGATAGAGAGAAGCGCAATGCAGACGGTAGTTGGTATAACAGTGATCTCTCCCGCTGAATGTTACCGTATACTTCACCAATATTACATGGACTACATATTTTTTGGTCTTTTCAATATTACTCCCTGATTGTTTTTAAAGAACTAAATATTATACCGTTATAATCAAGATGAGCGAAACTCCCTGATTGTTTTTAAAGAACTAAATATTATACCGTTATAATCAAGATGAGCGAAACTAATAACAATGTGGATGTGGAAAGCAGTGATGATTCTTCAATACGATTTATCAGCAGAAAGTCTGGGGCAAGAAGATGTTTATCGTGTTTTTCGGATTCATCTGATTGTAACGGTACAAATTCCCCAACAAACGCATCGATTGGGAGGAAAAGAAGTCGTAATCCTGATAAATGGGCACGAAATTTACAAAAGCATAACGGAACGAAAGGTTCGGCATACAGGAATAGGGGAGGAAATTTAATGCCTGCAAAAACATTTGTTGATATAAAATGCAGACGATTATTTTTTGGCTATTCTTTCTTATTAATTTTATATACCGTTAGATGAAAACTATAACTGTATTTATATATTCTACATTATATATTTGAAGTTATATTATAATAGGAATTTTAAAAAAGAATCTACATTACTTCATCGCATTTCTCAACTTTTTGTTTTATGGAGTTAATCAATGTGTGCACTGAGCGGCTCAATTAACACTATTTCTACCACGATTTTCTGTATACCTATTTCGATCAAAAGGTTTTGATGAGCTGGAGGAAAATGATACCGCTAAATAAATTTAACAATTATTATACGAAAACTCAAAACATTAATTGAGAAAAAATTATTAAACTTTGAAAATAATTTCAAGTTAAAATTTTAAAAGGTCACTTTTGACACCTTTGGTAGAGATAGTGTTAAGCAATTCAGATAGAAAAAAAAGTTATTCATTCCCACCAAACACACTATGTTACAATTGCATAACACTGGAATAACATGATATATGACGAATGTTATTCAAAAGACACATTGGTATCATATAACGTCAAATTATTACCGTTCGGTAAGATTATTACAAACTTGTAAACATTGCAGTTATATAATATCAACATAACATATAACATGTTACCGATATATTATGTATACGTTACATTATTCGTTTTATAACAGTTATATAGCTGCGGAGGAAATAGTAATACAAATTTTACTTATATGTTATATGTATGTTACATTATATGCTACAAATGTTATGTAATGGTTATATTATTGTTATGTAAGCGTGTTTGGTGGGTTGTATCTTGGAAAACAAAACATTCGTAATATCATTTAAGGGAATTCGGGACTGAATTTACTTTATAATTGTTTTAACAAAAAAAAATTATTATCTGTCGCTCCTTTTCATTAGTAAGGTACGACACTGTCTAAAATATTAAATCCTGCATATAAAAACTAGAAAGAACATTTATTCACTGAGGAAATCAGTACCATTTGATGTCGCGAATTTTGAGCATTCAATTTGCGAAGAAAATCGATTTCTTGAATTTTTCTATTTCAATCCAATGTTTCAAGTATCTCAATCGAAATATTTGGAAATGTTTAGTTAACATTGAAAAATTGTGTACGTCGCAGTAAATTAACATAATCACATGATATCGGTTATTATCAATATCAGATTTCTATATTATAATAAAATTAAAAAAAGGTGTCCAAACATTTGATTTCGACATTATGCCACATCCATGTACATTAAATGTACGTTAAACACAATTGCTAATCAGTTATATTTAATTTAAACGTTACGATACCCAAAATAATCAGCCCATCCTGATTTCATTTCTGTACTGCTAATATCTAGTATTGAGTTACACAATGTTGAATCGGGAATAAACGAAAAAAGAATGTAGGTTGTTTCAACAATGTTGAAACTAGGGGTTTAAGGTGAAGTGAATAAGACAACTTTCTATAAGGATATTAAATCGAAATGTCCGAAACTTTGACGCATGATTCGTGAGCACATAAGAATTATCCTGACACTTTGAAAATTTGGATTTCTGAAAAAAATTATTTAACTCAGCCCAGGCCAGAACCAAAATGACGTCGAGCTCTCATATGTGCCCATAATTATGAAAGTGGTCTAAGTCAAAATTAAAAAAAAAATGAGTTTATCAGTTATTTCACGCCATATTATTTCAAACGAAATTAATTCAATGTAATTTCGAAACAAAAAATATATGACTTAGACCACTTTCATAATTATGGGCACATATTTCAATCGATATACAATTATTAAAGGCTCTAATATGAGAAACGAAAATGTCAGAACAAATGTACGACGATGTAGAACACTCTGGTAATCGATAATCTCGCATTTAAACGGGGCGAAAGCAAAAAAAGTGTTATATGTGCTGCTATGCTAAAACGATGGTAATATGAGGTCTCGGAGTGAAAATTTAGTTTACACGGGAATCACAGATGGCGCCGGGTGTCCCTCTGCAATCAATTAGGGCCTCAGAAACTATGAATCCAGAGGATTTCTGGAGTTTCACTTCGATTTCTTTATAATTATTATTTGAAAACGACATATGGAGTATGCCATTTAGTACGATACTCAATACAATTCAACACAGTTGTCAATATAAAAACGAACGCCGGCAATGTAGGTATTTAGAAAAATCTTCTTTACCGACGTCGATCAAGTTCCTCGACGTCTTTCACTTCACCTTAAACGATTTCACATAATTTCAGCTATATGGGAGGGAGTTCAGAAATTGGTCAGTACCTCTCGTCATATAGAATCAAAATACCTAACGTTTCATTTTCATTTCAGGTACAAAAAACAGCCTCTGTGGTTGGTCAAACGCTATTTTGGTGAAAAAGTAGCACTTTATTTCGCCTGGTTAGGCTTTTATACAAAATCTTTGTATCCGCCAGCTGTAGTCGGGCTTTTATGTTTCATATATGGCCTCGGAAGTATGGAGGGAGTAGATAATATACCAAGTAAAGAAATCTGCGATCCAAAAATTGGTGGTGAGCAATACGCGTCTAAGTAACAAATAGACGGAAGTCCCCACTGCAAATAAATTTATCTAGGGTGAAACCTATTTTCTCCGGGATTGAGAAAAGTCATACTTATAAACATTGTGAAAATATCTACCTTTCTGACAGGTACAGGAAAAAATGAAACACAACATATAAATACAGCTTAAGCGTGTCATTAATCATACCTGTGAATACGTATTATCATTTTACACTAAATACTGTTTTAAACGATGTTTTGACGATTTTCGAAAAGCACAGATTAGAACCAAAGTTAGTCGAAGCAACTTCATAACCTTAAACCATCTCGAACAATTTCCACTGATTGTACCTCTTCAATAATTGTTAGTCAACGTAAATCATATGTAAGAAAAATGCCAATTTTAATAAAACAGTCTCGATATTACTGACAGGTATCGATAATAATATGCTTAAACTGAATTTCAATGTAGTGTTTAATTTCTTTTCTGTACCTGTCTGACAAATGGGTAGTTTTATCGACCTCAATAGCTACGGCCCCCCTTAAGGTGAAGTAAAACCCCCCTCAAATCAATTGATTCTAGTAAGTCACTTTTTGTTTATACTTATCCCACAAAAATGACTGAAAACTTAGCACATAACTCGTCAGCACGTAAAATATATCTTGACATTTTAAAAAGTTGGATTTTCATACAACATTTTTTTAATATTAGCCAAGATCAAAACCAAAATGTTGAGTTCTCATATTTCGATTAAAGTACAATTACTAAAGACTCAGATGTGAGAAAGGAAAATTTCATGACAATAACACTAAAATATAGAACACTCCAGTAATCGAGAAACTCGTATTTAAACAGGGTAAAGTCGACAAAAGTGTCTTATGAGCTTCTACGATTTTACTAAGGTAGTACGAGGTCTCGGAAAGAAAATTGTTGCCACTGAAACGACAGATGGCGCCGGGTGTCACGCTGTAGTCAATTAGGGCATAAAAAAACATGAATTCAGGGTATTTCTGAAGATTTACTTTGATTTCTTTATAATTATTGTACGGAAACGACATATTTAGTACGGTACTTAAGGTGAAGTGAAACATCCTTCAAATCAGTCGATTCGAATACAACACTTTTTTTTAAGGGTATTAGACTAAACTGTCCGAAACTTTGACACATCACTCCTGATCATCTAAGAATTGTCCTGACACATTCAAAATTTGGATTTTTCAAAGAAATTTGTTAACTCAGTCCAGACCAGAACCAAAATAGCGTCGAGCTCTCATATTTCGATCAATATACAATTATCGAAGGCTCCGATATGAGAATCGAAAGGGTCAGGACAATTTTACGACAATTTAGAACACTCTGGTAATCGATAAACTCGCATTTGAACGGGATGAAGGCAAAAAAAGTGTTGTATGCGCTTCTGTGCCAAAACGATGGTAATACAAGGTCTCGGAGTGAAAATTTAATTGACCTGGAAATCACAGATGGCGCAGGGAGTCCCTCCGCAGTCAATTAGGGCCCCAGAAGGCACGAATCCAGAGGATTTCCGGAGTTTTACTTCGATTTTTTTATAATTATTGTACGAAAATGACAGGTGGAATATGCCATTTGGTACAATACACAATATAATTCGACCCAGCTGTCAATATGAAAACGAACGTCGGCAACGTAGGCATTTAGAAAAATCTTCTTTATCGACGTTGATCAAGTTCCTCGACGTGTTTCACTTCACCTTAATATTATACGGCACAGATATGTGTATAAATGCAAACGTCGGTAACGGAGGTATTCAGAAGAATCATGTTTACCGACATCGATGAAATTTCTTGACGGGTTTCACTTCACCTGAAACTTGTATGTGACGTAAGTAGGTTATTTAAGTGATGTAAATATGAGTACATACAATTCACAGGAAACATTACGCTGTGCCCTCTTTGTGACAAAGCATGTCCATATCAGAAGCTTGGCGATTCTTGTCTTTTCTCTAGACTGACATACTTGTTCGATAATCCTGCAACTGTCTTCTTCGCTATTTTCATGTCCTTTTGGGGTGAGACTAATATTAAATAACCGTTGATAAGATAAGACCAAATTCTTAAATCTAAAATTTCAAACGCCTATCCCTAGTAGCACAAAATATTTGTCGTATATTTTCTATATATTTAACGAATTTCGTAAATATATAGCAGACATAAAATATTTGTCGTATATTTTCTATATATTTAACAAATTTCATACATTTCGTAAATATTTAGCAGACATAAAATATTTGTCGTATATTTTCTATATATTTAACGAATTTCGTACATTTCGTAAATATTTAGCAGACATTTGAAATACTTGCAAAACGTTTTCTTTAGAATGTTATCTTTACAATATTTGTCTAATATTAGCTTCACGTGTTTTCATACTTTTTTAACAGATATACAAAACATTTCCTTTCATTTGAATATAAGTATTTTTTAAATGTTATCTGCCGAATACATTATAAACGTTTTAAAAATATTTAAAATCAAAATCGCACGTTTAGAATATTATCCCTATAATATTTATATAATATTAGCTCCATGTTTACATAATATTTTTCTACCAGATATACAAAACATTTCCTTTCATTTTAATACAAGTATTTTTTAAATGTTATCTGCCGAATACATTATAAACGTTTTAAAAATATTTAAAATCAAAATCACACGTTTTGCTCCCATAACGAAATAGCGGAACGAAAATATTACAAATATTTGTCGTGTTTTTTCATACCAAATGAAGTGTCTGATAATAATCATGAAGTAAAAAATGTATTTTTATTATGCGTTAATAAATTATTGAAACTAAATATGTCATTGAGATTCTGCACGAGTATTTCAGATATCTTCGAATGAAATCTACAAGACGTTCTAAAAAATCTGTCGCTTCTGATATTTAGCAAAGATTACAAAGAAATCTTTATAAATTATTCTATGCTATTAGGGATTTGTACGCAGTGATAATTATTTTATGTAATTATATATCGTAGATTTAATAATAATAAATTCTGTTCTATTCGTAGCGACTACCTTTCTGGAGCTGTGGAAGCGACATCAAGCTGTACTTGTGTGGGAGTGGGATCTTCAACATTCCGAGGGAGATGAAGAACCTAGGCCAGAATTTGAAGCGTCTGTCAAAACCTTTCGAATTAATCCAGTTACTAGGGAAAGAGAACCTTACATGTCGGTATGGTCGAGAACACTCAGATTCATGGCCACGGGTTCAATGGTATTGTTTATGGTATGATTACTGTACAATACGAAATAACTAGGCTGGTAATAAAAATAAATAGATACCAAAATTATCGAATCTAAGAAGGGAAATCACATTAGGTATTTTTAAACTTTCTTTAAGAATTTTTTCAAGGCGGACAAAATAATTTGTTTAAATTGTGGGATCATTTTATGAATGTTTTAAACTACATCTCGAATTTCTTTTAAATCATTACCGATGGAATTATTCAAGTTGTAAGCTGCCGTTCATCGAAGGTCGTAATCAGAGTTGGCTATTTGCGTGCAATGTGGAGGTCACAAATTCGATCTAAAAGCAAAATGGTATATTTCCTACATTATTAACATGTTTTCCAAGAATATGAACCAATTGCATCTGAAAATGTTGAAAAGTGAATGTTTTAGGGGTATTTGAACAAAAGTGTATCAATTTTCACCATTTTTTTGCAGTTGTTTTGCCATAAAAAATACATTAAATTATGATATCATCGTGAAAGTTAGTTCGTGTCCTTTGTAATTAAATAAAGAAAGATATCATCTTTTTTAATAACGATTCGTCAATAACTTTTTGACCTAGAGTGCACGCAAGTCGAAAAAAAACTCATCGTTTCGGGAAAAATACGTTTGAAAAAGAAATTATCGAAAATTAGAAATTCGAAACAGTAATCAAATAAGTGCTTACCGATCAGCGATCAGCGATTCCAGCACCATAGAATAATTCTTCTTCTGCTTCATAAGCATCATTTAGAGCCTGCATTTCCTCTTTTAAGGTGAAGTGAAACCCCCCGCAAAGCAGTCGATTCGAATAAAACATTTTCTTTAAGGGTATTGGACCAAACTATCCGAAACTTTAATACGTGACTCGTGATCATCTAAGAATCGTCCTGACACATTCAAAATTTGAATTTTTCCAAAAAATTTTCAACTTAGCTCAGACCAGAACCAAAATGGCGTCGAGCTCTCATATTTCGAGCAATATAGAATTATCGAGGGCTCCGATATGAGAATCGAAAGGGTCAGGACAATTTTACGACAATTTAGAACACTCTGGTAATCGATAAACTTACATTTGAACGGGATAAAGGCAAAAAAAGTGTTGTATGCGCTTCTTTGCTAAAACGATGGTAATACGAGGTCTCGGAGTAAAAATTTAATTGACCTGGAAATCACAGATGGCGCAGGGGGTCGCTCTGCAGTCAATTATGGCCCCAGAAAGCACGAATCCAGAGGTTTTCTGGAGTTTTACTTCGATTTCTTTATAATTATTGTACGAAAACGACAGGTGGAATATGCCATTTGGTACAATACCCAATGTAATTCGATACAGCTGTCAATATAAAAATGAACGTCGGCAACGTAGGTATTTAGAAAAATCTTTCCCGACGTCGATCAAGTTCCTCGACGTCTTTCACTTCACCTTAAGGGATTACCTGTGCGACTGCTCCATTCTACTTGCTGTGCGCCACTGTGCGGTCGAGCGCCGAACTAAACGGCGTTTCCTTTTGGGCTCACAGCATCGGGACAAATTCGATTTTCTTGTTGAAACTTTGGGAACATAATCTCCAATCGTTATACTAACAATTTATGCAATATAAAGAAATTCGATTTTTTGAATCGCCTAATGTGGTTTCTCCCCTTAATCAAAACGTTCTCTCCGTACGATTCCAAAATGTTTATAATCGAAATGTCTAAGTTTCCTGAATATCTAATTTATAAATTTAATAATGGAATAATTTCACCGATACTATAATAAAATGTTAGAATGTTCTATTTTAAAAACTAGAACCGATTCCACTTCTTATTGTCTGTGATAAATAATAAATCTGTACACGGCATCAGTTGTTTCGATAGTTTTGTTTCATTTGCAATTAATAAGTATCTAAAAAACAAAGTCTTCGTTTAGGATACTTGATTATATTTTAAACCGAACAAGGAAATATCTCAATCACACGTTTGCAAACATTTGTTGCCTAATGTTTATGATTGTCTGTTACAGATATGTATTGTTTTGGGCGCAGTTTTGGGAACCATAATATATCGAATTTCTTTGGTGTCTGTGTTTTATGGAGGTGGAGGATTTTTTCTAAAAAACCACGCCAAGATCTTTACTTCCATGACCGCAGCTCTTATCAACTTGGTCATCATCATGATACTGACACGAATATATCATCGTCTGGCGAGGTGGTTGACGAATATGGAGAATCCGAGGACGCAAACGGAATACGAAGCCAGTTACACGTTCAAGATTTTCCTTTTCGAATTTGTCAATTTTTACTCATCCCTAATTTATATAGCTTTTTTCAAGGTATGTAAGTGTTAAGAAAATGCTTTCACTTTCGTCATTGCTTATTATATCAGGATCACGAAGAATTGCAATATGTGGAAAAGCCGCACTAAACGTAAAAAGGTGTTTTCTACTGAAGTACATTTTTCAGTAAACACCTACGGGTCCCAAAAATCTGCTCGCAATATTTCTGCATTTGGAAGAATCAATTCAATGGTGCCGCATTATCTCCGTGAATGCTGAAATCAAGAAGTTCGATAATGCTTAGTACCAAATTACAATTTCGATCACTATACAACTAATTCCATATTTGAGCCGTTTCCCAGTAGCACAAAATATTTCACCTATATTTTCTATATATTTAACGAATATCCTATATCTTGTAAATATTTAGCAGACATTTGAAATATTTACGAAACGTTTACTTTAGAATATTATCCCTAGAATATTTTTATAATATTAGATCCACGTGTTTTCATAATATTTTTCTACAAGATATACGAAACATTTCGTTTTATTTTAATACAAGTGTTTTTTTAAATATTATCTGCCGAACACATTATAAACGTTTTCAAAATACTTAATATCAAAATCACAGAAAAGTGAAACACGTCGAGGAACTTCATCGACGCCGGTAAAAAAGGTTTTTCTAAATACCTACGTTGCCGACGTTCGTTTTTATATTGACAGCTGTTTGGAATTATATTAGGTACCGTACTAAATGGCATAATTCGTCCGTCGTTTCCGTACAATAATTATAAAGAAATCGAAGTAGAACTCCAGAAATCCTCTGGATTCATGATTTCAGAAGTCCTAATTGACTACAAAAGGACCTCCTGCGCCATCTGTGATTTCCGTGTCAACTAAATTTTCACTCCGAGACCTCGTATTATCGTCGTTTTAGCATAGAAGCGCAACAAAACACTTTTTTGCCTTTATCCCGTTCAAATGCGAGTTGATTGATTACCAGAGTGGTCTAAATTGCCATAAAGTTTACTAAATTATCCTGACATTTTCGTTTCTGAGATGAGAGCTTTTAATAATTGTACATCGGTCGAAATATGAGAGTTCGACGGAATTTTGGTTCTAGTCTGGACTAAGTTAAATCATTTTTTTCAAAAATCCAAATTTTGAATGCGTAAGGACAATTCCTCGGTTATCACGAATCACGTGTCATAGTTTCGGACAGTTTGGTCCAATACCCTTAAAAAAAGGGTTTTATTCGAATCGACTGATTTTGAGGGGGTTTCACATCACCTTAATCTGTTATCAAACAAAAACGCAAGCGTAACATCCTACTCAGGCTTGCAAGATTAATTTGGCGCATGTCTCCTTGAACAAATTTATCTATTGCACTATAATTGAACCCAATCAAACCGACTTCTTGATTGTTTTACAATTAATGTGCGTTTAAGGGGATGTGAAAGTGGCATCTGGAAGCTCAATCGTTCATGAAACTTTTCTACGAAATGGGTGTACCGAATCGTTTCAAACATTACAACGTGAATGTGGAGGCTTCAAGGTAAGTCCTGAAACTCATGATATTTCAATTTTTTATACAATACTTTGAAAACATCTATAAACAAATTAGGAAAAAATTGAAATTTAATGGGTGTCAGGACCTTCCTTATAGCTTTCATATTCACATTGACAAGTTCAAAACGATTCGGTACACTCAGTTCGGAGGAAAGTTTTATTAACGAGACCTCTTCGCCTTAAGGGGATGTGAAAGTGACATCCGAAAGCTCAGTCGTTCATAAAACTTTTTTTCGAACTGAGTGTCCCAAATCGTTTCATACTTTAAAACGTGAATATAAAGACCCTAATGAAGGTCCTGAAACTCGCGAAATTTCATTTTTTACAAACTATTTTCAAAATACCTATAAACAAATTTGGTAAGAATTGGAATTTCATGAGTTTCAGAACCTTCCTTATAGTCTCCCTATTCACGTTGCAATGTTTCAAACTGTTCGCTAAACCGAGTTGGGAGATAAGTTTTATAAACAAAACCTCTTCGACGCCACTTTCACATCACCTTAAGTATCTTTCTTCGGTACTCCGCTTCCTTCAGAAATGTACAACGTAAGTTGTTTCTATTTCGCTTCTTTAGGGTAGATTTTTCGTTCATCCTGGGGACACGGATGCTCGTTCTTCGGAATTTTATCGAATAAAGACTGATGTTTGCGACCCGGCTGGGTGTCTCTCCGAGGTGTGCATTCAATTGGCGATTATAATGATCGGCAAGCAGTGCTTTAATAATTTCTTAGAAATTCTCAACCCGAAAATGTGGAACTGGTGGCGGAAAAGGACGCAAGTCGCCGCGACGAAGGACCACGATAGAGAATACCCGCGATGGGAAAAAGATTACCAACTTCAAGATCCTGGAAAACTCGCCTTATTCGACGAGTATCTCGAGATGAGTAAGTACCACTGAAATTAATTGTTGCCTAGCGGTGTTCCACGATCCTAAAATATAAGCCACCGGCACAAAATATTTGTCCTATATTTTCTATATATTTAACGAATATCCTATATTTTGTAAATATTTACCAGACATTTGAAATACTTGCAAAACGTNATGTTTATAAATTATTGAAATTAAATATGTCATTGAGATTTTCAACAAATACTTCACATGCCTATTATCATTTCTAATGGTAATTACTACTGCACCGTTTAGGCGTAGCGTCAAGGGTACAGTACCTATTGCCAACATTGCATTTACCATTTCATGTGGTCCGTCTCATCGTTTTTGTACTTCATATTAACACAATGTTTTACCTATGTCGCTATAGTAATTGTAACCAGTTTATTTTTTTCCGTGTTGCTTACCGAAATCACGTGGAGGTCACATCTACCTTTTATACAACGATATAGGCGAATTCTGAGACAAGCTTTCAATACATTGTTATTTAATTTTCAGTTCTCCAGTACGGTTTTGTAACATTGTTCGTCGCAGCCTTTCCCTTGGCGCCCCTCTTTGCATTGTTAAATAACATCGTTGAGATTCGACTGGATGCTTATAAAATGGTCAAAGAAGCCAGGAGACCATTGGCCGAGAGAGTCGAAGACATCGGTGCGTGGTTTGGCATACTTCGTGGCGTCACGTATGCTGCAGTGGTATCTAACGTATGTAAAAATGTGCAATTTATCGTTTTCTCAAAAGTTAGCGTCATGATGAAATTATCTAAGATCTCGAAGCTTGTTACTCCTTCCGGGAAAATCGTGTGTCCTATTCCTACATTCAGGCCGAGAACTACAAACGACGAGCAGCAATCGACAACCAACACGCAGAAAATTAATATTGTAATCATTACACATGCTCATGGGGAAAAGTATCGTTGTAACCATAAGGAGAAGTGAAACACGTCGAATAACTTGATCAACGTCGATAAAGAAGATTTTTCTAAATGCCTACGTTGCCGACGTTCGTTTTTATATCGACAGCTGTACCGAATTATATTGGGTAATGTACCAAATGGCATACTCCACCTGTCGTTTTCGTACAATAATTATCAAGAAATCGAAGTAAAACTCTAGAAATCCTCTGGATTCATGCTTTCTGGGGCCCTAATTGACTGCAGAGGGATCCCCTGCGCCATCTGTGATTTCCAGGTCAATTAAATATTCACTCCGAGACCTCGTATTACCATCGTTTTAGCATATGAGCGTATAAAACACTTTTGTTGCCCTTATCCCGTTCAAATGCGAGTTTATCGACTATCAAAGTGTTTTAAATTATCGTAAAATTGTCCTGACCCTTTCGATTCTCATATCAGAACCTTCGATAATTATATACTGATCGAAATATGAGAGCTCGACGCCATTTTGGTTCTCATTTGGGCTGAGTTAAAAAATTTGTTTAAAAAATCCAAATTTTGAATGTGTCAGGACAATTCTTAGATGATCAGCAGTGATGTGCCAAAGTTTCGGACAGTTTGGTCTAATACCCTTAAAAAAAAGTGTTGTATTCGAATCGACTAATTTGAAGGGGGTTTCACTTCACCTTAAGACACAGCGCGAGAAGCATTCGGGTCGTGATATGCATCAGTTGCGCGACAGTAATAAATACATTGCTGCACGTTACTTTCTACATGTATGGACATGTAATGGGTACACTAGCGAACGTTATCATATACAGATGTTATGTGGTAGCAATTGCTTCAGTCGACGAGTTTATGCGGTCACGATTGTAAATATAACTGTCGCATTGTACTGTAATCATTCTTTGTAATAATGTGTATTACAATGAAATTCTATATTTGACATTTTTAGCAGAGTAATCGTTACTTTGTAGAACTGCTGTCCTTATATTTACCAGCGATTGCTGTTACATCTATCCCAATTGTAGTAATTATAAGAACTTTTTTCTCTCCGTGTAATGATACCGCTGGAGTTTTTCAAAATGATGATCGGGACTGCAGAAAATTTGCTTTGCTCATTGGTTGTCGCCTGCTACTCGTCGTCATGAATATATGGATCGCTCACTCTCTGTACTTTAATATGGCTCCGAATGGGTCTAACAGGACTTTTCTACTATGCGTTATTTCTCTCTCTAAGGGTTGGAATAAAATTATGATTGATCCCTAGGCGTTCGTCATTGCTTACACATCCGACTTCATTCCAAGGAGCGTATATGCTTTTGTATATTCACCCACAAATGATCTGGTTGGTTACATCGACAGCTCTTTGTCGGAGTTCAACACCTCTGACTATCGTGAAGATATGATAAGCGATACCGACGATACAAACCCGCCAACTTGTCAGTACAGGGGATACAGGAATGGCCCGGACCACAAAGACGATCCTTATGGACTTAGCTCCCAATATTGGCACGTATTTGCAGCTCGACTTGCATTCGTCGTCGTCTTCGAACACGTTGTAAGTCATTTTCATCATTCTTTCTCGGTGACAATATACGCTTTCGAGTTTTGCTTACATACAGTTTGGGAGTAAAAATACGAAATTCCGTGGGTGTTAACCCGTTAACCGGGTACGACGAAATTTTTTGTCATCCCAGGAAAGACACCTCATATGGGCATAACGGCATTTTTCGTAATGGAAATTTTTAACGTAATATGGTGAACGAAGAAAAACGTCCCCGTTGTGTAACGAGTTGTACAATAGTTAATTCCCCGGTTAAGAGGTTAAGACCTTCCTTAGGGTCAGTATTTTGTTAAGGTGAAGTGAAACACGTCGAGGAACTTGATCAATGTCGATAAAGAAGATTTTTCTAAATGCCTACGTTGCCGACGTTCGTTTTTATATTGACAGCTGTGTCGAATTACATTGAATATTGTACGAAATGGCATACTACACCTTTTGTTTTCGTATAATACATATCAAGAAATCGAAGTAAAACTCCAGAAATCCTCTGGATTCAAGCTTTCTGGGTCCCTAATTGACTGCAGCGGGACACCCTGCGCCATCTGTGATTTCCAGGTCAATTAAATTGTCACTCCGAGACCCCGGATTCCCATCGTTTTAGCATAGAAGCGTATACAACACTTTTGTTGCCCTTATCCTGTTCAAATGCGAGTTTATCGATTACCAGAGTGTTCTAAATTGTCGTAAAATTGTCCTGACCCTTTCGATTCTCATATCAGAGCCTTCGATAATTGTATATCGATCGAAGTATGAGAGCCCGACGCCATTTTGGTTCTGGTCTGAGCTGAGTTAAGAAATTTTTGACAAAAATCCAAATTTTGAATGTGTCAGGACAATTCTTAGATGATCAGGAGTGATGCGTCAAAGTTTCGGACAGTTTGGTCTAATACCCTTAAAAAAAGTGTTGTATTCGAATCGACTGATTTGAAGGGTGTTTCACTTCACCTTAAGGGTTGGGTAATTTGAACACATACGCGTTTCATCCCTTTTCTTTGGGGTTAGCAACACCGGGCTCGCGTATAACGAACTCTCTTGGACGATGCCGCTGGTCTTTAATCTAGAAACTATTTCCAACATTATCGGATTTTTCAGGTGTTCGCGTTGACAGGAATAATGAGCTACGCAATTCCTGCCGTTCCACGTTCCATAGCAACGCAAGTACAGCGAGAACGATTACTAGCCCAAGAAGCTAAATACGAGAAAGGTTTGAAGGGAAAACAAGAGGAAGACGAACTGTTGGCCATTCTGAGGGAAACCAGTGATTTAGGTCGACCCTACGGGGGCCGAGGAAGCTTTGGAAGACGCGTCAGCAAACTAAGCGACGGCGTGGATGCTTACGTCGATTTCGGAGGAAGACATAAAAGATAGTGATACTTGAACGGTATGGGAAATAACGAGAAAGGTTTGAAGGGAAAACAACAGGAAGACGAACTGTTGGCAATTCTGAGGGAAACCAGTGATTTAGGTCGACCCTACGGGGGCCGAGGAAGCTTTGGAAGACGAGTTAGTAAACTAAGCGATGGCGTGGATGCTTACGTCGATTTCGGAGGAAGACATAAAAGACAGTGATGCTTCAACGGTATGGGAAATAACGTAATACATGTAAAATGTTGTACATACATCCGCATACAAGTCAGGTTTGTTAATTTCAATAAGTGAAATGAGATGTGCGGAACGGTTAGTTCTACTAGACTCGTAGTAGGGGAGACCGAGATCAATGATAACAATTTTTACGTTTTTATTTCTACAATTAATTGTAAGAGCTCTTTATGATAGAAACTTGATCCATATGATAAGCAACCCTTCCCCCGAAAGACAGCCTACATTTTAATGCTACAAGTTCCTATAAACATCAGCAATTTTTATATTCTCTACTACATATATTCGTTACAGTTGAAACCGTTGCAGGGTACGGTTGTAACCCGCTACTTTAAATTTAGAAATTATGTTGTCAAATTTGGATTCAGCGGCCACGAATACCGTTAGAAACTTATTTTTATAAAAATTCAACCCTTTATATTGGATCCGCCATCTCGAATCTTAAAGTTCTGTTACCAGATTTGAATTAAGCTGTTATGAAAACCACGACAAACCGTTTTTTTTTAATTATTCACAAAAACACATAAAACGATGGTAATACGAAGCTTTGGAGTGAACATTTAGTTGACTTGGAAATCGCAGATGGCGCAGGGTGTCCATCTGCAGTCAATTAAGCACTCAAATTTCATGTATTCAGGGAATTTCTGGAGTTTTACTTGGATTTCTTTATAATTATTGTACGAAAACGACAGGTGGAGTATGCAATTTGTTAGAATACCCAATATAATTCAACACAGCTGTCATTGTAAAAACGAACGGCGGCAACGTAGGTATTTAGAATAATCTTCTTTACCGACGTCGATCAAGTTTCTCGACGTGTTTCACTTCACCTTAACTCTTTGTTTTTCAAATCCACCTCTGTAATTAAAATAACGACAATTTGACTGATTGGGGACGAATTCGAGGCACAGAGGTTTAAAAATGTGAATTAGGTTACTTAACCGTGCCAAATGCGGCTACAAATGGCGATGAGTGTTCAATATTCTATGTTGGCTTCATTTTGTGCAATGGACAATTAAATAGAAAGTGTACTTATTCGATATAATAAGGATGAATCTTTTAACATAATTTGTAAGGTTAGTTTTGCATTATGTAGTCAATTTGGTGTGTTATACATCGATGTAATGTACAGAGCACGATTTCAATTGTTTCGCATTCAAGGAATGATCACATTGCAATACTTTACGAATACATGTTATATTCAATTAAATTTTATCGAGTTAGCGGTCAACTATAAAGAATACAAAGTAATTTATTTTTGTTGAGTCACGCTAAGATAAGAAAATAAACGAATTGAGTCTTTAATTAGGCGAAGTAGTGATATATTTCCCTCCCAAATCGGAAAAGAGAGATCCTTAAAACTGGTAACGTATACACGTCCGTCTTTCGGTACAAAATGATATGCAGTAGAAAAAAAAAACCTTTTCTTCCTTGTAGACAACTACTGAAAAAGTAATGTAAATATTATTCGTTTAATATTAGAAAAAGTCTGTGAAATATGTAAGAGTTGTGTAATACATCACACACGACACATTCGAATATAACATACGTATATTATACGTATATTATACGTATATAATACGTATATTATACGTAGTCATATACGGGGTGTAACAGAAATGGTGGTCGCGGTATTTTTCGTATCTTAATTACATATACGTACACTATCGGCATTAACATAAAATATATGTACATTACACGTGAACGCGTCGTGTAGGATGTTGAAACCCTAAAAATTAAAAAAAATATCAACTTGAGCAGATTTGTGTAAAACAGTGTAATTCCTGAATTACCTCCAATTTCTATAAATATTTTCTGTGATTAATAACTATTATTAATAACACTGCGATCATTAAGCCATCGTACTTACCGAATGAATTGAGCACCCTATCGATTACATTTACTACATTTCACGAAAGGTAGGTAAAAATGGTTATGATTTTTGTCTATGCTGAAAAAAAAAAACAATCCAACCTCATGAATTCGTTGTTAAATCCATCGAAAAACAAACGCAAGAAATAATCATTTGACATTTTTATCGGACTATTATAATAACCTAAATTATAAAGAAAAAATTGCGTTTGTAAATGATCACGTTAATACTTCCTGATTTACCTACATGCACGAAAACAAGTACGAACAAATGTATCAACACATAAAGGGAATAATCATTCTCGGCAGAATTACTACACAATATATTCTTTATTTTACACGATTTTTCAATGTTTCATTTCCCCTCTTCCTGACGTCCAACATTATTACAATAGCTATCAATAGGATATATTCATAATAATATACATGTACATATTTATTTCGTCCTATTGATTCCTTTATTATATATAATTATATAGATATATTGGCCTATGGTTCGGAAAACAACGGGAAGACGAACTGTTGGCAATTCTGAGGGAAACCAGTGATTTAGGTCCACCCTACGAAATTTGTTTAAAAAATCCAAATTTTGAATGTGTCAGGACAATTCTTAGATGATCAGCAGTGATGTGCCAAAGTTTCGGACAGTTTGGTCTAATACCCTTANATAGATATATTGGCCTATGGTTCGTTCGATACTGCACTTTCTTGCATCTGTTTATACCTAAAACGTCTAGTTACATAACGTACATACCCACGGTCAAAATGTATCACAGTTGTGTTGGGGATAAATGGGAATTAACATTATTGGAATTACGGGGCAATAGAAGATACGGAGATCGATTGTAGTCTACTCAGCTGAACTCCTGTAGTGATAGGAGCCGTGATTAGGAAAAGCAAAAAGCACAAATCTGTCGAAATAACAGGAAATCGGAGACGCCCGACTTTTTGCTTTGGACAGTCAACAACGGCTCAGAATGTTTCTGGGTTTCACGTTTTCGTTTCTTATTGTGTTCGTGAGACATCAAATGTTACTAATAACTGAGTGCGTCATTTCTGAATGATTGTTAAAAAGAATTTTGCTCTCGCATTTCCTGTCAAAGGTATAAAATACCCAATTTCATTTAAGGGTTGAATAATAAATGAAATAAAAATTCACAAGTAGAAAAACGTTTAGGATCCGACTATTTGCGAGCATTATAGAATGCTTATTTAGATTAATTACGCTGAAATTACAAATGAAACGGACATAGGTCAATGGACTACGACTCTGTGGTGAAAAAGCCGTCGATAAACAATCGCCAGTTCAAGGGAATACCATTTATAAACTACGTGCAACAACTATATACGAGTATAGATTATCTATTCAAATTGTGTACGTATATTTTGGGAATTGGCATTTTCTAATTAGGTAATTATCCGCCTGGTTATTGAAATAATCTAACGATACCGTCTAGATTTACCAGAAATTAATGGTTATTATTTATTGTTCATTCGGCACATTATGTTTCTGTGAGTGCACGTCCATGTAGCAAGCATACGATGTAAAAACATTGTAAACCCAACGTGTGAACTTACTGCAAAGTTGTAAATTACTACGACGCAATATTTTTCTAAAAGTGATATTAAAAAACGGTTCTGCATTCAACTTTTGCATTCCTTTCATACAAACGGTACGTGTCCGTTTACTGAGCGTATTGGTGCAAAAATATTAATAACAATGATAACGCTTATTATTCAAGGTACTCGAAAAAACATGAATATGAATTAAAATAATTATATTCTGCGATTCCAAAAAGAAAAAATCAGCTAAAGTTTCGACAGTAATTAGAAATCGTGCTCAATTTTGCAATTATGTGTTGGAATTTAGAAGCCATTTGAAGAAATTTACAAATGGTTTATTCGAAAAGCATAGATAAATGAAAAAAAAAAACTACAGTTCATATGGCCATGGATGAATTCACATTTTATTAATGAGCAACTTTCTGAAATATTTCGGGTTAAAGAGCTAAATGCGAAAGTCCGTATTATAAGTATTTTATCGAAGTAGTTCTCGTTATTTCCACGGATAAGTCAAGTATTATTAAGACATTTCAAAACCGCTTTGTATAATTCTACGACTGAATTTGTCCGTTACACAGGGCAAGCTAATTAAGAATGGGCTAATTACGTCTTACAAGATTGCTTCGCTAATAAAATTCAATTGAAAAGCCGCACATTTAAAGAATCCTGAAGAATTATTACTATGACATTAATAAGATCTAAAATCCAAGAGAAAAATTCCACTCAATACGTTTGGGAACTACAGTAATTGGATTATTATATTCAAGCATTTTGTTCTGTCCGATGGCAGAATATTGCGTCTAATTTAAATGATTTGCATCTCCATAAATGAATTTTTCATCCAATATCGATGATCAAAATAAGAAGTGCTATTTATCTTTCTTCATACACTAAGAAATTAGAGTAATCTTTTAAGTTGATAATTGTTGGACATTTTTTTCTCAACGGTATAGGATGAATTTTTATATTAACTTCAATATGAGCGATATTTACCCGCATTAAAAAATGTAAACGATCAAACTAATTTAAAAGATCTGTACGTTATTACAAAATTTATACCCACTATCAGCCACTATCGGCGGTACCATTTGCGTCTCTGTTATCATTATTATCATTGTTTTTTCCCCATTACTACAAAATGATGGTTTCATAAGACACGTCTTCCCGCGAATGTGCGTTCCGATTAAACTAATCAATTTCAATTGTCAACATAGCAGAGTCATAAGAGTAATCTAAATCGAAGAAAAGGACGGATTTCTTCATTGAAAACATTCGAAAAGATTTTCTTGGTAAGCAGAGAAAATACTCATTCGACTTACCCAACCCTGAATAAAATTGTCACATGTTTTCATTTATAAACTATTATTCACTGAATGTTCTATCAACTTTTAATGTGTTATTAGATAGAATGGTAGAAAGTACCAATGAAACTTCTTTTTTTTTCTTCAATTGAAATCGGTTTGAGATTGTTTTCAGTTACAGCTTAAATAAAATGAACGAGCTTCTGAAATTTATTGCGAAAGGTTGAAAATATTCAAGCTGAACTTATACGACCTCAAAATTGAATACAAATATACCTCCGTAGATCCACTGGATTAAGTATTTTTCGTGAAAATTGTTAAAAATACTTGAAATAATTGTTAGTTTCTGATAAAATTATTTACCCGTATTCCCGCAACGTTAGAAATAGATTTATCGCGCCAATTTCCCAAAAATGTTCTCTTGCCGAACATCGTACACTCAAAAAAAGATCCAATAGTAATTCCGAAACAGTGTCAATTTCTCGGCGAACAAGATTTTGCAACGATTACCCAACATATTCACTAAATTTAGAAAATATATATTTTACTATTTTCATATATACATCAAATGACATTAAGAAATTCTCTTAGTACAATAGAATCCTATTACAGACTGTTGGCATATTCAATTTAAACAATTTCCACATGACATGTTCCTCTAAGATGCAATACTGCCGTAAACTAAAAACTAAATGAGATAAAGATTTTTTTTAAATAATTGTCCAAAATGGTTTTCATTATTTGTTCAAGTTGAATCCTCTTAACGTTAACACCGTCTTCACCACAAAGTGCACTTATGCTGCTTTGTTTTACAGTCAGATCTGCCACGTCTTGATAAACATCCACATATGTATTTCATATTTTATATTTTTTGCGATTATATTGAATGTATATAAAAATGCCCAATCAGAATTCAGAGAATTCCTGCTTTCGAATTACCGAAGACAATGGCTGAAGTATTTGAAAATCTAGATTTAGCGAACAATGAAGGCAATATTACGGTTCCTCTCGACTTAATTCGACTATCTTTGTACAACTTTGACTAACTTTACATTCTCGAATTTCGTTATGCTTCGGACATTAAGACCTCGAGTGGAAGATTGCGTTTCTAAAGTAAATTGCTTCGGTGATTACGTTCCTATTTACACGTTTATTATTTACCTGCCTATATATGAAAAAATATCTAAAAATATATTGTACAATTAACAGTATTCTGTTTCGCTTTGAAAAAATAAACCTTTAACGAACTAGCGCTGTCACTTCCGTATAATATTCGTAACGGGTGATATAATCAGCGATATCGTGTCATTTCGTCGCCTAAATATTAGACTCGATTTTTCCAAATTTACCAATTGACCAACGTATGCAACACACGTATCATTTGAAATATCGCATGTATCAAATAATGTACAAGCATGAATCTAATACATTGCGTGATACACATTATATTGCTTGCACAATTAAACGATCATGTAGGAATGTTATAATTTTGCATATTATATACAAATAATTACTTAGACGAAATTCCTAATATCAAAATTCATCTCTAAAATGGGTTTGAATCGGTAACAATACAGGATAAAGAAACATAATTTTTTTTTTATTATAACAACTAATTATTGTGAATCTCTGAACTTTTCAAAATCTCTCCGAATCATTTCCATGTAAAGCAAGAATGGAAACATCCGTGATAAAAATAGGAAGCAAAGATAAAGGTACGAAATATACTAATTTATTAATTCAATGTCCGTTAAGAACATTTCAATGGTCATTGTTCAATCGTGTAATCAGATGGCAAACATAAATTCAAATGGATTGCAGAATTTAGACCACTCGGTAATTCAACCTTTTCTTTTTTTCGATTTTCCTCTGTTATTCACACGGAAACTGTTGATAATGTTTCCGGTGCCAATTGTACATTACGTGCATTATATATAATATGCAATTTTATTACATTGTTTACTTTATCGAGGCGACGATTTGACGTCAACAAGGTGTTTCTATTGTAGGTACACTCTTAAATTTCATTCTCTTATAACAAAATCGGATGTACCTAGAATTTCCGTGTTTGTCTAAAATAGTACAATTTTTAAATTAAAACTTTACAACATTTAAGAAAGTCTGTTTTTTTTCTTTATATGATTATCTGCACATATTGCAAAGGTTGTATATATGAACAAGAAATTAAATACAACTCTTTATTACTTTAATATCTTCATAACATCACTGACGTTTAAGAATTTATGGTTTTACTCGTAAAAGAATATAAATAATGGAGAGTGAACTTTTTTAAAACATAAATTACTTCTTTTTATGTATCAATTACGTACAATAAATGTATTTCAACACTTTGCTATCTTTGTTAAATATTGGTTTCACGGAACCTATTAGAGATTTGTCTTGAGCACAATTCTTATGCAATGTAAATAATCACTATCAATTAGAAAAATAATTGGTTCGATTATTTTGTTATTATTAATAAAGTTGTACCTCACCGATCTATATACTAACTGGATTGCTGATACCTATTTGTTTTAATGTTTTAGATGTAAAGGACAAAAGAGACATAATTTACGTGGAAAATGATGCGTATTGCATATTATAGGAAAGCTTCAACTAAAATAAAACGGTTATCTTTTTTCTCACAAGTATTTCTATAAAAATGGGAATTATACTTTTCCAGTAAATTAATTTTACGCCTCTTATACTATTTACGTTTGAATGACGCGTTTTTTTAACGCATGCGCAGATACTACAATATTAGTTTACGTGCCCATGACTAGAGGGCTTCGGTCGCTTCAAAACGTCACGCCATTTTATAGGATATCAGCTATCCAGTTAGTATACAGATCAGTGTTGTACCTGTACGGATAGCTCTCGTAGTGCTAATATTTTATATGAATACAATATTCATTTGTTGCCTTAAATGCATGGGAATGAAGGGGGCCATTATAGTGGCGCTTCGTAACTAAAGGGTTAAAGAGTTTCAAGAAAACCAAAATATGCATACAGATACCCTTCGCATCCACTGATTTATCCAAAAAATATGTACTTTCAACTAAATGCGCCTTAAAAAATACTGCTATCACTTAAACGTCATTGTATGAATCGTTATAACGGTACCGTTATATAGCAAAATTAATGTTCAAACTCCAAAACTGTGAGAATAATGAAATATTTCTACGTACACCAGATTCGGTTGTCTTAAATTCACATTGATATTGCAGTTACTATTCCCTGGGTAATTTAGTATATCGGAAAATACATTTCATTCGGTTACAAGGCAATGTCCATATACATCACCGAAGCGTCATTGCTTCGGTTGCAATAGTCCACCTTGATAAACTTTCCGAGTAGACTACAAATCGATCTCAGAACAATTTCTTATAAGATCTACAATGTCATAAAGAAGGACTTAGCTGGGCCCTGGTGGGGCATTGAAATTAAACATGGTCGTTGGCGGACGTCCGGGCAATGGTTTCGGTGGTAGCCTGGGAGTCACCGATCCTAAAACACAGAATTGACAATCATTTGAATACGCTTTGTCTTATTTCCAAATTCTAATATCACGTGCTACTAACAAGGAAAGGTCCTATCAATCAGGTTGGGGATTTTAAGGTGAAGTGAAACCCCCTTCAAATCAGTCGATTCGAATACAACACTTTTTTTTAAGGGTATTAGACCAAACCGTCCGAAACTTTGACACATCACTCCTGATCGTCTAAGAATTGTCCTGACACATTCAAAATTTGGATTTTTGGAAAAGATTTTTTAACTTAGCCCAGACCAAAACCAAAATGGCGTCGAGCTCTCATATTTCGATCAATATAAAATTATCGAACGCTCTGATATGAGAAACGAAAGGGTCAGGACAATTGTACGACAATTTAGAACACTCTGGTAATCGATAAACTCGCATTTGAACGGGATAAAGGCAAAAAAAGTGTTGTATGCGCTTCTATGCCAAAACGATGGGAATACGAGGTCTCGGAGTGAAAATTTAATTGACCTTGAAATCACAGATGGCGCAGGGGGTCCCTCTGCAGTGAATTAGGGCCCCAGAAAGCACGAATCCAGAGGATTTCTGGAGTTTTACTTGGATTTCTTTCTAATTATTGTACGAAAACGACAGGTGGAGTATGCCATTTGGTACAGTACCCAATATAATTCGACACAGTTGTCGCTATAAAAACGAACGTCGGCAACGTAGGCATTTAGAAAAATCTTCTTTATCGACGTCGATCAAGATCCTCGACGTGTTTCACTTCACCTTAAATTCATCATAACAAAGTCTCCTGTGCTCCACCCTCTCTCGGAACACCTGCTCCGTTAAGCGTCTGTAACAACCCACCGACATCAAATATTGAAAAATCCTCCATGCTTCTATAATATTCTAGATATATTATAGAAGCAATTTGGCGAGTAAAATATTTTTCAATTTTTTCGACCTATCACACGGTACGACCGTCTCGATAATATGCATAATCAGTGTACTTACCATTCGGTTGAGTTGGCGGGGGTAGTTTAGTGGGGCTAGGACCATTGAAAGACATGTGCCGACGTGGATGCGCAGGAGTGGGGCAAGTACCTTCCAATGTCGAGTTCCGCCTCGCCAAGAGCGATGAGCAGCTCGGATTTAGGGCAGAGGGAAGGCGTGGAGGAAGTGCCGCGGGGGGTAAATCCCTCCGTGGCGGCAATGGCGGCGGCGACGTACCCTCTCGGGGTGGAAGCATGGGTGCATTCGGAGCTTGTCGTGCCTGAAATCAAAACATCATCTTACCCTTAAAATAATTTCAAGCCATGACTACCTCAACATTATTTTATTTCTTTAACGGTGATAGAGGAAACAATGTACGTACAATATTCATTGAGTTAAAAGGAAAATCTACATATAAAAGAATGCAGAGTAACGCAATGGACGTTCGGTACAACGACGCAAGGAATGTTATACAGACATCGACGATATTTCACGATACATCGATACCATACATGATGCTTAAGGTGAAGTGAAACCCCCCCGCAATTAACTCGATTCGAGTAATAAACTTTTTTTTAAGGGTATTGGGTCGAACCGTCTGCAACTTTGACACGTGGCTCGTAAGCAACTAGGAATTATCCTGGTGCCTTGAAAAATAGATTTTCGAAAAAAAATGTGTTAACTTAGCCCAGACCAGAACCGAAATGGAGTCCAGCTCTCAGATTTCGATCGATGTACAATTATTGAAGGCTCTAATATGAGACACGAAAATGTCAGGACAATTGTACGACAATTTAGGACACTCTGGTAATCGATAAACTCGTATTTCAACGAGATAAAGACAAAAAAGTGTCTCCTCGCTGCTATGCTAAAACGATGTTAATATGAGGTCCCGGAGTGAAAATTTAGTTGACACGGAAATCACAGATGTCGCAGGGTGTCCCTCTGCAGTTAATTAGGGCCTCAGGCACAATAAATCCAGAGGATTTCTGGAGTTTGACTTCGATTTATTAATAATTATTGCACGAAAACGACGGGTGGCGTATGCCTCTTAGTACAATATCCAATATAATTCGACACAGCTGTCAATGTAAAAACGAACGTCGGTTACGTAGGTATTTAGAATAAGATTTTTTTACCGACGTCGATCAAGTTCCTCAAAGTGTTTCACTTCACCTTAACAACTTCGAATAAAGTTAAATCGGACCATTGTATCGTACATGCACAATGAAAAATGGCATATAATATGCCTTTATAAATCATTGAACTGTATGGAATGAAAATTATTTGACATATCTCTAATATTCTGTTTAGTGCTGCCGCGCTGAAGAAAACTACTCCTTCTGTTCATCATAGTGCACCTGTTGTGGAGACTCGCTGATAGAACTTTCTCGCCTTCTATGAGATCTGGGTGGTAACGGTGGCGGAGGTTGGCTAGGAGGTACGTGACTTGGTGACGGTGGCAGAGGCATAGGAGCCCCAGGACTTCCACCCGAAGACGATAGTCCTGTTAAGGCACCCATCACACCTATAGTCCCGGAATTGAAACCAAAGTGAGTGGTCTGAGGTTGGTGGTGTGGAGGCGGTAGATGTCCAGGGGACCCCAGCTGTGGACTGCTTCCTGGTGAACCGAGAGTCAGCCCCGACATGCTTAAGGGACCTGGCGATCCTGGAGGAGGGCCTGTTCCTGTAACAGTGTCAATGAAAACCTAACATTACTTAAATCTTAAGATGATATGAAAAGCGCTGAGGAATTTAATCGACGTCGATGAAATAAATTTCATCTATACCCTTTTGGTGGTAACACTGTTTTAAATACTTAAGTGGGATCATAAGCTGGCGCGTCACGTTACCGACATTTATATTTATGTTGAAGTCGCTTTTACAGTCCACGTTGAGAATTATACGAAATGAAGTGCTCCATATGTCACTTCGGTAAAGTAATGATAAAGAAATCGATGTAAAACTGTTGAAATTCCGCGAATTCATGACTTTTTAACTTTAACGGACCAACGTCGCCATCTGTGACGTTTAGCTGCAACTAAATGTTTGCTCTAAAAATACGTATTAGCCCCAGGAAAAGCCAGCATTCTCTTGTAATCGTTGGTGAAACTATTTTCCATATTTTCCCATATGACTCTATAATATTCCATTCCTATAGTATTCTAAATTGTTCTAGTTAAAACCTGAAACTCTTCATTTTCGATTTTAAGCTTCCAAGAAGAGTAAAATCTCAAAAACGTGCACAAACCACGTCATGTTGGTTCTAGTCCATGATAAATTAATCAATTTTTGATAAAACATGAAATTTCGTGAGTTTTGGGACCTACTTTAGGGCCTCCATGTTTACGTGGTAAAATTTGAAACGAATCGGTACATCTAATTCGGAGATTACTTTCACCAACGATTTGATTTCTCTGATCAATATATGTATACATACCAAATAGTCAAAGTATTTATCAAACTTTTCTCAAAACTGGGTGCACCAAATTATCGAAAACATTAACACGTGATTATGGAAGCTCTAAGGAAGAACGTGCTACTCGTGAAAATTAATTTTTCGAAAAAAAAAAATCTTATTTTGGTTCTTGTCCAAGATAAGTACAAAATTGTTGTTGAAAAAAAGAAATTTCATAAGCAACGCGTTATTCCTTAGGGTCACCATAATCACGTGTTAAAGTTTCAGATAATTCGGTGGACCCAGTTTGGAGAAAAGTTTTATAATATTTTGACATTTCGGTACGTATATATCGCACTTTCGTATCACCTTAAAGAATTAACTATAAATAGCGTTAACCTAGGAAATAAATAAGGTAGACGTTTCCATAAATAAATCTAAGACATTAAATTGTCACATATATTCAATTTTGTTTCTTTCCTATTGAAAAAGATCATTGAAGAAATTTCAGTTGAAGCCTTAAACAGTGGATATCCATCTGTATTCGATTTTCACTTTGAACCACATTTCGGCCCAAAGGTTCCATTTTAAAACCATATTCTGATCATCTCTATTCATAAAATTAACCTGTACCCTGTGCAGTTTAAAGTAAACGTATACATCACCTCCTAAAAGCACGGGAGCAAATACACTATGATCACCCGTGTGCGGTGCTGTACTTTGCGACATGTGTGGCGGTGTTTCCGGTAAATCAGGAGGTGGCGGAACTTCCGGCGTTGGATCGTGCAGCCTCACACTGGAAGCTACTGCTTGCAAAGGCGCAGGTAGTTTGCCACTCAGACTTCTAGCCTTGATCCCCGGTGATTTTAAGTTTAGATCGGGGTACTTGCGTGGCTGTGAAAAGAATAAACGGTATTATATATAATGTCTGCAGTTAAGACTGAACATTATTGGGTGCGAGGTGCAAAGGTGTCAACGAGGACATTTCCCTTGCCTAAAGCTTGAGCGAATTTCCGCTAGGAGCACTAGTTGTACGTCATACGTCACTGCGCCGTAAAGTAAACGCAGGGCGTAACTCGGAAAGACAACCTTGTAGGATTTCCCGTTAGATGCAATACGCCCACACATCAACGACAACACCCAAAACTTATAAGTGTCGAGGTCTTTTGTTATGTAGTACAATAGATATCTGTTTTCTCCTGAACTTCTTAGTAACAAAGTTTTTATTTCTTTAAGTGAAGTATGACATTTTTATTAAGACCCGGCGCCCAATAATTACGGCCGCTTACACCCGCTCCCATAGAACCCTTTCAACCTTCCCCGCCAAAGTTTTGGGCTCTAAAGCAGGGAGAATTTCACTATTTACGCTACCCCAAAAAACATGTCGAGTTCAAGTGCCAGTTATCAGTTGCCATCACATACGAAGCAGTACGTCAGATTGTCCGTCGATCATTTGTGCCCATAATTATGAAAGTGGTCTAAGTCATATATTTTTTGTTTCGAAATTACATTGAATTAATTTCGTTTGAAATAATATGACGTGAAATAACTGATAAACTCATTTTTTTTTTAATTTTGACTTAGACCACTTTCATAATTATGGGCACATTTGTCAAGGTTCAGTTGTCAGACTTCGGTCGTCCGGTTATTGTCACCCTGTCGGCTAGTTAAGCCAAAATTCAAAGTTAGTCAAAGTCAAAGTCAAAGTCAAAGTCAAAGTCAAAGTCAAAGTCAAAGTCAAAGTCAAAGTCAAAGTCAAAGTCAAAGTCAAAGTCAAAGTCAAAGTCAATGTCAATGTCAATGTCAATGTCAATGTCAATGTCAATGTCAATGTCAATGTCAATGTCAATGTCAATGTCAATGTCAATGTCAATGTCAATGTCAATGTCAATGTCAATGTCAATGTCAATGTCAATGTCAATGTCAATGTCAATGTCAATGTCAATGTCAATGTCAATGTCAATGTCAATGTCAATGTCAATGTCAATGTCAATGTCAATGTCAATGTCAATGTCAATGTCAATGTCAATGTCAATGTCAATGTCAATGTCAATGTCAATGTCAATGTCAATGTCAATGTCAATGTCAATGTCAATGTCAATGTCAATGTCAATGTCAATGTCAATGTCAATGTCAATGTCAATGTCAATGTCAATGTCAATGTCAATGTCAATGTCAATGTCAATGTCAATGTCAATGTCAATGTCAATGTCAATGTCAATGTCAATGTCAATGTCAATGTCAATGTCAATGTCAATGTCAATGTCAATGTCAATGTCAATGTCAATGTCAATGTCAATGTCAATGTCAATGTCAATGTCAATGTCAATGTCAATGTCAATGTCAATGTCAATGTCAATGTCAATGTCAATGTCAATGTCAATGTCAATGTCAATGTCAATGTCAATGTCAATGTCAATGTCAATGTCAATGTCAATGTCAATGTCAATGTCAATGTCAATGTCAATGTCAATGTCAATGTCAATGTCAATGTCAATGTCAATGTCAATGTCAATGTCAATGTCAATGTCAATGTCAATGTCAATGTCAATGTCAATGTCAATGTCAAAGTCAGTCGGAGTCAGTCAGACTCAGTAAAAACGCGAATTAAATCCAGGATCTAGAACCAGAGGCCATTCGGCATTCAGGAGCTCGACCGCCATCTTAACCCTCTATGGGCCATATTTTTCATTAAATAAAAAAAAATTGGGGGAACGAAAAATCAGCAATTAGGAACCTATATATGCAAATGAAAACAAAATTTTTCATTTTAAATGTGACCTGAAAGTTACACGGGCCCATAGAGGGTTAAAAGGACCTTTGGGCCGGTGCCCCCAACCTACCGCCATATTCTTGCAATTTCCGATTTACTTAAAATTAACCTTTTGCACTCGAGACTTTGCCATTCCAGTTGTCAGCGGTGACTGAGTCACCTCTCGAGTGCAAAGGGTTAAGGTATTTTTCTTCACCTATCCAGATGCATTCGAAATTCAATTATGCGGATTCATTATAATCAACCGTACCCGTTAATCGTCAGCTGTCCAAGCGTTCGCGCATGGCGTGCATGTCGTGTAATTCAGTCATTTTATAAAAGTATTTAAATATATATTTACGATTAAATTAAATTTTGGTCGTGTTTTTCCCTTCCAACCCAGACGTCACACCTGGTCTTTTCCTTGTTAAATATCTTGTATAGATCTTTTCTATTAAATATCTTGAATTTTCTTATTCTCTCAAAATTCTTCATATAAATATATTATTTCATACAGTATAACGAGTCATAAAATTAGAATTGAGTTTCTTATAACGTTATGAATAACCACGTAAATAATACAAACTACCAATAATAATTAGATGATATATAATCGTTCTTAACTTAATAATAAACTTTAAAATAATCGAAACTTACGACTCTCGGAGGCTGTCTGCATCCCCTCGGTTCCACCTCTAAGCTTTTATTATACAAGTAGTTACTAATATCAGCATCCTTCATGTTCGGGTCAAACGGACACAAGTTTTCAATAAAATGTCTTATCCTCGGCTCGACCGAAAGACAATAGGGCTGATTTTGGTACTGCTGGATTTCTCCAGTTATTTCGGCTACCTTCCGCCGTTTGCTAAAGTTAATAAGCTCCGGACTTCCTGGAAGATAATCCGGGTTTCCTTCTTCGATGTGTAATATATTGGTCAGGTACATGCCTAAAAAGGAAACATTTAATTAAAACGAATCATTTACATTATTTTTAAACATTCACGTTTCCAGGGTCCAATAAAGGCCAATCGGCCATTTTGAATTTATGACGTCAGATGCGAGATAATCACGTAAAATTCCCAACCACTATTCTGCGAAACAAATTACATTTACCTGCAAAGACTAAGCATGGAAAAAGCTAAATATTCACGAAATGTGTCAGTCGGTCAGTTTTTAACAAATCATGCCCTAGAAAACGAGATATCGTTATCCTAGCAAGCCCAGCAACAGGCTCGTGATTTCGAGGCAATAATACATCGATAAACACGGTATCATACAAACACGGACCGGTTAACACATGTTACGCATCAACTTTGGCACCAATAACTTGACAAAAAAATAAATAACCTGGAGAATAGTGGACGGGAATTTCCCAATGCTCCAGCTGTCATTTTTCACGCCCTGAGCTTACAACATCTACTTACAGATGGCAGACTAAGTGCCACAGCATAGCTACTGATCACTTACTTAAATATTATATAAATGAAACCAGAAAAAAAATATATAAATCCATACTGTGGGAAAATTGCATAAGGCGGTCGTACCGTGTGATAGGTCCAAAAAGTTGGAAAATATTTTATTTGCCAGATTGCTTCTATAATGTGTCTAGAATACGTAAAGGATTTTTCAATATTCGAAGTCGTTGGGTAGTCACAGACGTAGAACGGAGCAGGTGGACACGATTTCTCAAAAACTACAAAATCGATTTTGTTCTAATTTATATGGTATGTTCGGTACTCTTATAGTTCTCGCTCGACTAGGATAATTGTGATATCTATCATAGTTTTTTTTTGGCAAGCTTAGAGTCGAAACTGAGACAAAAATTGGAAGTAAATTTTCAAATCCATGACAAAAATTTAATTTTCAATATTTTCATTTAATCCTGGTTCCGGCTATAGCCGCAGGTCTACGGATTAAAGTGCTATTTCACTTTTTGAATTTCCGATGAACGAAACAGCCGGAATCACATAAGCCGTCGAGCTACTTATTTTTTACATGTGTCTTTTGAACTCTGTAAAGCTGATTCCAATTTATACTTTGGCTTCAAAAAAGTCTGAGTGACTGTATAACGGTTAATAAACGTATTGTAGAAATTCCAAGATCCAAGAAATCCCAAGACCAAGGGGTATTTTCATGGTTCGTTAGAAAAAATTCACAAAGAAACCGAAAAAATACAGCCGTCACACGGTACGACTGCCTTAATACGATAATAGTTCATACCGATTCAAAAACGTTTTATAAATCACACGAATACTATTTTGTTTGATCATGATGATTGAAATATGAATATTATTCCATCTAGTTGATTTATCACGTGGTATTTTTCGACCTAGAAAATTTTCCTCCCTAATTGAAATGTGAACGCATCAAAGTTTCATTCAATGATATAAATTGAATACCAAAATTAGGAAGCAACTGAAATATCGGTATATCCACTAGATCATAGTTGCTTCCGAACCCCATGAAGGAGAAAGTATAAATAAAATCCTAGTTCTTACCAAAAAATGGTACGCAAGGTGGATTAATAGAGCGTAGTTTCTCTTGGTATTTTCGAAAGTGATCATTATTCAGTTCACGAGCTTCTTCGAGCGCTTTCTCCAGTCTTGCTGGAATTTGCTGAACATATAATAAAATAGTTACGTTAGATGTCGACATAAGTTGTTTTCTTTCAATTGCATCATTTCGATAATTATGAATTTAAACCAACAAAATTAAGGTTTGTTCTCACCTGGAAAGTGAATTTTAACCTAAAAACGGACGCAGAGCCCATAGCACTGACAATGGCTAGCACTCCATTGAAATTATTAAGATCTTGCAGCACCATCATGACTTCAATCGCTCGAGAAACAATAGCTACCCTCTCTTCGAGATTTTCCGCTTCAACTATCGTTTTCTCAAGCCATCTTGTAAACTACGAATAAAAAACAATAGATATAAAGCAATTAATGGCAACACGGATGAAGATTATTTAAATTACACATTGTCAGAATTTATTAAATTCAACTACAGGGTCGAATACAACAAAGACCCACTCTTCATCGAAGTGAAATGATCATTTACGATAGAAGTATTCTTAAACAGATCATCCAAATTCCACTTTCAACTGTAATTCACTGTTTGAATCTAAATGATATTATTTCAATCAGTGATTACATTACTGTGAAGGTAATTTATTATGCTCATGCCATCAGAAAATTAAATATTAAACCAATATGACTAACATTAGTTGTATGCTTGATCATCTTGAGCAGATTCGGAGATGTCTGCTCTTTATTTTTTTTCGTCCACACCGATCCCACTAATTCGGAAGGCTTAACAGTTCTATACAGTTCGAACTCCAGTAATGTCAATTGTCTTGCTAATTCAATGGGATGCAACTGAAATATATTCAGAAATATACGATTATTCATGGATTAATTTTTTTTTCTCTCTTATATCGTTTTACTTAACCCTTTGCACTCGAGGAATTTGTTATACTTGGTGAATTTCATCTAGCTAACTTAAAATGATTTCACATACAAATTAACGTATAAAACTATTATACTTTAATATTTTATGTATTCTTACATGTGAAAGAAGAAAATTTGTTAAATATTAAGGATTGTATCGTTGCTTTGTACGTTATTTTATAAAACAATCGCCAAGATGCATCCTCGGCTTCACGGGGCAATTATTGCAGTAATATGTTGTTTGATGTCTTTCGCCGGGCTTGTTTCGTTGAGAGGAAAATTTGCATCTCTTCTTAACTCCTGTTAGAACGACACGTCGCTTTTAATTCAATCGAATTTCGTCGAAACGAGAAGTCGAAGTAGTATCCTACAGATGATTAAGTGGCTGTTCGTTTCTCTGCTTTTTTATTGATTTGTAAAGAATATAAGAATTAACTCAACAAATCTCTAAAACCCCCAAAAATAATTCAAACTACCGTTTCAAGGACTTTCTTAGAAAATAGTACATCGAGGCATATTGGTCCACTCGATTAACGCCGCCGACATATTTTATATAGTTTATAATAAAATTGGGTCTTTTTACAGGAACTTCAACACTACCTCGTAAAATCCTTTTTACGGAAGTTATTCCCGCATTATTCCAAGTGGTCAAATTCGTATATAAGATGTGACAATCCTTTTGTCTTTCCATGCTAGGAATAAAGTATTACCTTTGCGGGATACTCCCGTGGATTTCTTGTGGATTTTTTCTTTTTTAATTAATTAGACGTGGCAACTTCTTCCTATTTGTTAGGGTAGTCCCGGTTAAATGATAAGGGGTATCATTCTATCCTTCGTCAAAATATACAAACATATATATCCATCATTGACGATAGGGTTTCCGAATCAAACCAAGTGGTCACTGAGAGCCACCTCTCGAATGCAAAGGGTTAATTACAACCGGAACTATTATACTTAATTATTTATACAAAAACAAATAGAAACCACCATAGGTCTCATTTTTATAGCGTGATTTGATTTTTAGTATTTCTTAAGAATTTAAATCGTATAGGCATTTTTGCATGTTAATTTACCGTGAGTATTCCCCATTCTTCTTCAGGAACTTTCAGATGCCACTCGATGGGAGGCGGAGATCGTTCGAAACTAAATGTAATAGGCCGCTGCTCCGACGGCTCACATTTTCTTTGTACGATTTTAATTACCGAATCTACCCACTTCCTCATAGATTTGCCGCTTACCGTGTCTAGAAAAGACTGTAATCTTTCTAGAAGATTTCTGTCACGTTCGAAATCGTAGAAGTGATGATCCACCTATGAAAAAAAAAAAGAATTTTTACAATTCAAGACATACTGTACACATAAAATGTCCGAAATAGAATAATAGAACTCAACGTTTTGATTCGGATACATTCTTTTAATATTTTATAACATTATATTTTATATTATAAATGGAAATGAAATTAAAATAACTGAAACTGATTAATATCAAAATGCACTTACCCAGTGCCTTAAGACGTTCAAAACCCTAAATTGCACCGGTTGACAATATTCCTTTCGATACCTTTTCCAATCTTCTCTTGCCGTTGCTTTGCAACCTGATGGTTTTTCTTCGTCTCCGTAAACTAATGAAGGATCCGGTATATCAAACCTTTCAATCAGTAGGGTTAGTAGTTCCTGAGGTGAGCAAAAACTCCTGTAAACAAACAGCAAAACTTCAGGTTAAATTGTTTCTTTCATTCCGCTTTCTATTTTTGTTGTATCTCCCTCAACATTTATAAAACCCTATCGTCAGTTTGTTAACGTTTATTATCAATGTAGTATATTTATCAATACTTCACGAATTATCAATGCATCATTAGTATTCATTAAGGGGGAATGGTACTACTCGGCAAACCCCGAGTTGACCGTGCTGCCACGTAACGGCAAGCAGTGGAAACATACGTGACGTCATACGCGCCATTGCTGCGCCGTGCCGTGGAAGAGGCTTCGGAATTACAATGTCATGCAACTGTACCCCAGTAACGTCGAGCGTTAGTCATACAGCATCGGAACTCAATAAAAATTTCATACTTATAATAAAAGAACTTCTCCATTACGTACATTTATGCTTGGTAGCCGTTAATCATCCACTAATATGACCACTTTTTCTTTCTAACCTATCACTCAATCATTTCTGGGTGTTCTTTGTGAAGCATTATTTACTCAGAAATACGTATTCAATCGCGTACTTTTCTTATTTAGGCTTACCTATAAGTAGTGAGGAATGTTCTTACGAAAGCCGGGTCGGCATAAATATGATAAGTTAATCTTTCGACGAGCTTGACCAATGTCGCCCCTTTGATCAAGGGTACACCTCCGTTTTCTCTAGCTTCCAAAACTATATTTTCCGAAGAATCCTGCTCCGCAAATTTATACAAATGCGGAGGTGGCAGCTTTAAAGGATGTTTCCTTTCCTCATCCAAAAGAATGCTATCCAATGTCCTTTCCAACATACTCTTTGTATTTAACATAACGAGGTCCGCCATCCAACTGTTCTTATCTTCGACGGATTTTGCTACCAATGTTACATTAGGATGATCTCTTGGTGCGATTTCGAAAGCATTTTTCAGTTCTGTTAAAGTCACCGATTGACATAAATACATGTTTCAACACAACAAAATGAACAAACATATACATATAATATAAATACATATAAGATCACTGATTATCATATTTCTTATATCTATACCGTATTAAATAGATCAAGACGTTACCCTGGAGTTGAATGTTACAAATGTATATAACAATTCCCCAAATAATTAACGCGTACTGCAATTAATTAATGCAAAAAATATAACCAATACAACCAGCAATCTACACAAATTGCCGTGATTTGGCCCGAATTCAAGAAAACATTCCGTTACTTTTGCATTGTATGGATGCCAATGTTACAAATACTATTACAAGCAGATTTTAATGCTAATCAATCACAGAGGTGTCTTATCATTTCTAACGATCTTTTGTAAATACTAGATATGAATTAACCGTTTCTAGAAAAAGAAGAATTCATACAACGTACCATCTGTATCTTCCCTGTCGATGATGTCAACTTTTCGTATAAAAAACCGTTCCTTTAATCGCAGTTCACCTTGATGCGTAGGATGACTTCCACCGACTCCAACTGCGGCTACGCTAACGCTAACACGTTTACCTCCACTGGGCTTACACAAAACTAGCAAGCCGTCGAACAAAAGGGCTCTCCTTTCCGTTAACCTTCTACCGTTGCTTCCCACTTTACCTAGCATGTCCTCTGAAGACGATTACATAGGAATATATATTTTACATTAAGATATTTACTTGCTTTAGATTAAGTGACTAAAGGCGAATTTACACGGTACCAGTGACTCGTACGAGTCACAAAAACCGAGTGCTTTGCAAGATAGTAGCGTTTGTAGTACCAGCCTTCTAGTACTTGCATAGTAGGAAGCAGAAAGTCATGTGCTATAACCCAAAAACGTCGAAGGGGCGACGCAATGTTAAACATTTTACGAACAAAATGAGTAAATAGTATTTGAACGCGTTGGGTGAAGAGTAGTTGAACTCTACTCTCTGTTCTCTATTCTTGTCCCGTTGTAGTTTTCCAGAGGCATTCTTCCCCTCGATACAATTCAGCAAATGTCAACGTGGGTCTTCTGCCCACCTTTGGGCCATTTCAACCCAAAATTCCCTTGAAAACGCGTCTACACGGATCTGGTATACAAGACAGTAGAGTGAAACACGTGGTCGGGGTTACAACTCGCGCCAGGAAATAGGATTGTTTTCTATTCCCTCGACTTGCATTGGCACTCAGCGAATACTCCACTCCAGTACTAGGATGGCAGTTTTCCCAAGACAAGGAACACTCGGTTTTAGTGACTCGTACGAGTTACCGGCACCATGTAAATTAGTCTTAAATGTAGACTGCACGATGTGGATCAATAACTCAAATGTAGCATTATTTACTAAACCTTAGACTTCTAATGAATAAATGTCGATCAATTGATTTAAAATAAGAACTAGTACATTATGCATCTTGAAATCTATTACATATGCATCTAGAAAGTTTGCAACATACCTCTGATGAATTCGTTACAACACTGTCCAATGTCTCTCTGGTCCCAACCATCTACAGTTTTTTGCATCTCACTAGTCTTTTCCAGTGCCGCTTGCCTCCGCGCGCGGCTCTGCATTCGCAGGCCAGTATCTTTCTTTGGAAGGCTTGCTACCGATTGCAGTAATTCCATTTGCAAAGGTCGTAAGAGACCTTGCACTTGCTCCAAGGTTTCGCTGTCCTCGATATTCGGCGTACGTTTATGTAATACCTGCAATAAAGGCAACGATTTCAACTAATCTCCAAATTCGTATCCAAAAGTTGACGTATTTGTACGACTTAACTTTAATCGAGCCAAATTTTTCTGTCAGTGAAGGCAAAAAGAAAACTCAGAATGAAAGCTAGGTAAGCGTCAAACATGAAACTTTATAAACGAAGTGAATTCATGGTAGAAGACGTCATTCTAAAACAATAAATCCTGCATGACAAGAGAAATCAACATCCAGGTCGATTTCATATTGAGAACATCATTTTAGAAGAGACTACAAAGATGTTTTTAAATGAAATCCATTATTTGCCGTATAAAATTTCATTTCTGTCGGTTACATTGTTCTCATTCTCAGCTCTTAAGTGGTTTTCATTCCACACTTGTAAGTGCGATACCTTAATGTAATCGAAGTACAAAAAGCAGTGCCAAACAGGTTGTAGCAAAAGCTTTGGCAAATAGTATCTGACGGCTTCTTTGAAACCATGTCCTGCAGCGCGTAAGGCCGCGCTGGCTTCTGGCCTCGACAATAACCTAGTTAAAACTTCCCGACTAGCTGGACTGTTCATGTCCCTCGCATATCTATAACGATGAATTAAATCATTGAAAATATATTCGGACAATTACTTGATATAGTATGTAAACTTCTTAAGATGATATGAAAGGCACTGAGAAATTAGATCTACGTCGGTAAAATAAAATTCATCTATACCGTTTTTGGTGGTAACACTGTTTTGCTACTCAAGTGGGAATATAAGCTGGCGCGTCCCGTTACCGACATTTATATTTATGTTGAAGTCTTTTACACTCTGCGTTGAGAATTATACGAAATGAAGCGTTCCTTATGTTATTTCGGTAAAGTAATAATACAGAAATCGGTGTCAAACTGTTGAAATCCCGCGAATTCATGACTTTTTAACTTTAACGGACCAACGTCGCCATCTGTGACGTTTAGCTGCAACTAAATTTTTGCCCTAAAAACATGTGTTAGCCCCGGGACAAGCCAGCATTCTCTTGCAATCGTTGGTGAAAGTATTTTCCATATTTTCCCATCTGACTCTATAATATTCCATTTCTGAGGTATTCTAAATTGTTCGAGCTAGGTCCTGAAACTCTTCATTTTCGATTCTAAGCCTCCAAGAAGAGTAAAACATCGAAAACGTGCACAAACCACGTCATGTTGGTTCCAGTCCATGATAAATTAATTAATTTTTTATAAAACATGAAGTTTCGTGAGTTTCGAAACCTACTTTAAGGCCTCCATGTTCACGTAGTAAAATTTGAAACGAATCGGTACACCCAATTCGGAGAATACTTTCACTAACGATTTGACTTCTATGATATATATAGATTGACCCTTTCATATCATCTTAATCATTTTAAAGGTTCAGGACAAAACGGAACGATGCCTTATTTCTGTTTACATTGAATAAATGTATCTGAATATTCTAAAAAAAGATATGCCAATTATTAAGATTGCATCCACATATTTCAGTAATACACCAATACACTTCTGAAGAAAATATTCAAATAACAGTTTTGCTTACCAATATTCATCATTTAATATGAACTTAAAAATTTAATGTAGAATTATTAAAATACTACGAACTAATTAGCTTTTAAGAACCGACAAGATATTCTCCTGAGCCTTAAATTCACTGTACAATTAACAAGTCGTGACATACATACTTTATATACACGTCAAACTCTGCCGCTTCGGCCAACTCTTCAAAACACGATCCTACAGTAGGTGTTTGTTTTTCTTCTGTTATTTCCATAATATCTTCCAAACTACCGAGTAGCGTAACTGTAACTTCATAAATATCCATAATGTTGCTGAACAATGTTTCTAATTCAGTTCGATCCTGGGCTAATTTAGCAATTTCCTCTCGAAACACCTGCCAACAGAAATTGAAATAAATACATGTAAAAGACGAAGATTGGTGTCATTTGGCATTCATTTGGCACGAATGATTATTTAAATGTTTGAAATTAACACATTTGGACATTTTTTTTATTATTCTGTCCCACTTAGCAAGAGAGGAAATAAGAAATAAGAATTCAATTGTTTGTAATTTTACAAGGATTCATTCTTATTTATCAGAATGCGATGTACGAAAAATCATATGCAATCGTTTCAAGTTCGTACTTTAAGGGGATGTGAAAGTGATATCCAAGGGGTCCATCGTTCATGAAACTTTTCTCCGAACTGAATGTACGGAATCGTTTCAAACTTTACAACTTGAATATGAAGACTATAAGGAAGGTCCTGACATCCATGAAATTTCATTTTTAATACAAAATTTAAACAATACCTATAAACAAATTTTTAAACAATACAAACTTCATGGGTGTCAGGACCTTCCTCGTAGCCTCTATTTTCACATTGTAAATTTTGAAACGATTTGATACACTCAGTTCAGAGAATAGTTTCATAAACTCTCTGTGTTTTACATCACCTTAAATGCATGTTACAAATTGTAACCTATTGTCATTATCATATACAGGGTGTCCCATTTAAAATAATACACCTGAATAATTTCTAATTGAGGGTGGTAATCGAAAAATGTTTCCAACGAAAGTTGTAGAGTATGAAGAGGGAAAACTTATGAAAAGAAAATTATCAGCATAACTGCTTGTTTTTATGTTACATGCTATGCGTCAATTTTCTTAAATAACAGTAATTTTCATCCCTCTAAAAATTGTTAGGCTTGATGAAACAAGTTCGACGATATCATTTGTTATGTCATTTTCATAATTTTCAGGCGAAATTATGCATAAAAACAACTTAGTGGACATATCGACAATTTAGACTTTCTTAGCGTCATCCAGAATGCACCACGTGGAGAAAGTGAGAAACGAGTAAAGGTTAATGTTTACATTCGACAAACAGTTTTGTTTTGTGATCTGGATCTGGACCTTAATGAACTCTAAATTGTCGATGTGTCCCTTAAGTTAAGTTTTTATGCAAAATTTCGCCTGAAAATTATGAAAATGACATAACAAATGATACCGTCGAATTTGTTTCATCGAGCTGAACAACTCTTCGAGAGATGAAAATTACTGTTGCCATTTAAGAAAATTGACGCATAGCATGTAGCGTAAAAACATAAGGAATTATGCTGCAAATTTTCTTTCCATAAGTCTTCCTCCTCCATACCCTACAATTTTAGTTCATCAACATTTTTCAATTACCACCCTCATTTAGGAATTATTGAAGTGTATTTTTTTTAATGGGACACCCTATACATTTTTCTAGAGTAACAAAAAGGCAAAATTTCTTTTTATTTTATAAAAACGTACATGACCATTAGGTTTACCTTTATGATCATGTGAAGATCGCGCAGGTAGTGTCGTTCGTCATGTATGAGATCTCGAACGGACTCCTCATATGTTAGCGAGACTACAGCGCCCAAGCCACTTTGTGGACTTTCCGTGCAGTCATCTTGATAAAACATATCCATCAGGACCTAATCACATATAGCGTATCAAAAGTTATGTACAAGTCATATTATATTACTACTCTAAAGTTCTATTATAATTCCTTAAATTGCATTTTCTTGAATAATACTTGCTGGAAATAAAAAAGTTACTCTCACAATCTGTGTATTCTGAGTTAATACAAATGTATGGTCTAAAAGTAGTGAACTTTAACTCCATTTATTTCATTCAAGTAATTTAAATAATTGCCAGATATGAACTTTGGTTTTAATAGCTTGCAAGTGCAATATAGTATTCGGATTCATTTTACGTACATGCAGAATTTCATTTCAACCAAAGTGAGACATCTGGAATCTTCTCATGTCATTCATTTTTTTTTTTTGTAGTAATATAATACATATGTATTTAGTACATTAAAGAAATATAGAATTTCATACTACAAAGTAAATATTTTATTTCCACATCCATTGGAGGTATCAGAAAAATCATTTTCACTGTTTAGCTTTTAACATGCATTATTATATTATTTTTGAAACAGTCGGGTAAAAAAAAAAAAAATATAACAGAATCACGGATCAATCATCTCACTTTGATTCTAATAAAAATCTGTCTAATGATAGAGGCATCATTCTGACTACTAAAATGATAAAAAAGAAGTATGCACCAATTATCATGAATATAATAGGAGCACACTATAGGCACCAAAACATTTAAAAATAATTTGTTACCATGTCTGCATACATCGCAACTCTAATGTCTTCACAGGAAATTTCCACATGACGAATGTTTTTGACGTAATTACCGGCTAGCTGAAATAGAAACAGACATGAACATTTATCGATAATGCTGCAGGAAAGACACCTTATCAGTGTTGATATACGTATGTGCGTTTGAAATAAAATACTAGAATAATCATTTCTTAAGTTAAATGAACAAATTACGATTAAAATTAGATTTCTTCGGTTTTTCCGAAAAATAATTTTTAAGGAGACTAGTTTATATTTTTAAAGAATTTAAATTTAAAAAATTTGCCACATAGATAACTAAGTAATGACTGAATATTTTCATTACATTAAGGTGTTACGAAAGGGTCTACCTATACATATCTGCGGTCAAATCGTTCCTGAAAGTATTTTCCAAATTGGATGTACCAATTCGTTTCAAATTTTACCAAGTGAATGAGGAGGTCCTAAAAATCATAAAATCTCACTTTTTATAAAAGAATTTTGTATATGTCATGAACTAGAACTAATATGACGTCGTCCGCGCACGTTTTTAAAGTTTTAAGCCTTTTCAATCTTTAGAATCGAAAATGAAGAGTTTCAGGACTTAACTGGAACAATTTAGAATACTATAGAAATGGAATATTACAGAGTTAGATGGGAAAATATGGAAAATACTTTCACGGACGATCGTAAGAGAATGCTGGCTTGTCCCGTATATATAATGACCCATTCATAACACTTTAACTTGTTATTTAACACCACCGACTCTTTGGGAACAAAGCAAAATCAATAAAAACATATACTGACTTGAGTTTTTTAGTCAAATATTTTTGGCTATATATTTTCTCTTTACTATAACTTCGATTGGTTTCTCAGAAATTGTAGGTATGTAAAAATCAATGATCTATGAATACTAACTAACTAGATCTAGTATTTTTCCACTCCGTCATTCATGATTTGGCCTTACGCCTTACAGATCTTAAAAAGTTGGTCCTATACCTTCAATTTAATTTATAAATAATATATAGAAGCCCTTATTGTTAGGAACAACAAACATCGGAGGTTAAAAAAGTATGCTAACCTTCAATATATCCGCAGAGATGTACTCCAAAACTCCCACAACGAAAAGACTAACCTGGGAGTCAATTTTGTGCTGTAATACTTCCTGTAAAGGAAAAAATGATATCGGTTAATACATATTTTCTGAACCTATAATAAGCATATGAATAAAATAAACGACTTATTTCTCCTCTAACGAAAATTAATATTTTTTCTCTACATATTCTTATAACATTACTTCTGAAATGTCTAATAAAACTTGCGGATAGAAAACTGGCCCTGTGAATAATTCATAGTCTTTTCAAATCATTTCTTTCTACAGGCTAAATAACCGTATTTTAAATTTACTCTACATATTTCTAGACTACTGTGTACACGAATTAACTAATACGAGAAAATTTAATATTTAATGTTTTCCACCCTTTTTAACAATTGTAACTTGATTTATTTACAGTTCTATAAAGATTTATTATCTGCAATGTATCCAAAAAAGTGGAAAACCAAAAATAGTCTGATAATCTAGAGTATAAAATGTAGATATTTTCGATAAAAGTATATAAATGTTTAACAATATACCTTTTGCAATAGTTGATGAATTCTGTCAACAGGCAGAACAAGAGGTGATTTCTTTTTCCCTTTCTCCAGGGCCTCTCTTGCGTCTCGGAGTGCCCATCTATCGATAGGAGTAGGAAAAGTTCGTCTCACTCTCTCTTCTACATCTTGGGGAGTGTGAGGAGGTGGATGTCCACAGAGCATGCCCAACATTCTTAGAATTAGGCTTTCGACATAGTCTAAAGCATCCTGACGAGCTTCGAGACTAGGATGAACTTGTTCCAACACCTACAATCAAATTTTTCATACATTACATATACTCGACAGAAGTATGTCAAATACCTACACTGTATCAACATGAATGCGATGTATTTCTTCCCAACATATTGGTTTACGTGACATTAACATTAATATATGGTTGAGTTTTTATCTATTTCTATGGTATATGTCAGAAATAATCAACATTATTTTGACAGATTTTCACCAGGCTCATAAAAATATTAACTTTCAAATTGTATTTATAAAGCATATATGGTAATAATTACATTGTTTAATTCATGTTCAAATTTACAAAGAAACATATGTAACTATTTAAACCAGACATTTAATGGACCGGGAAAAAAAAGTTGGTCTGGCAGCGTAAAATTCTACAATAACAAGTATTACAGCTCATTATTTTATTGTCCATCACTTATCATGATTATTTCATAGGATTCGTGCCCATTTTTAAATTCGTACCGACATATTTACATAATCTGTCCATACTTTATTTTGACTATAGCACTTATTTATTATGCATTCAAAATACAAAAGTATCTGTTATCAGTAAAAAATATACTTTTACAGTCACTGTATTCTCTTCAAATGGTCTCGTAAACAGCATTATACATATTATTTAGCACTCAATTATGTATTTTACGAACTACCACTCGGTTATATACAACAGATTTTTGCTGACAAATGTACCAAAAGATGTACATCTTAATTTTAAATTAAAATTGCAAGTTGCATAATAACCTTCGTTTCTCATATTACACTTCGATTTTCATAACAAAACAGAATATTAGATGTTTCATCAAAATGAAATATTAATATTAAATAATTAATTCATGAAATACTTAAACAGAGAATAAATGCAAATTCTTATTTTATACAAAATTGTAATATAATTTTGAATGCATTGTTATTATTGTACTAAAATGTGGCATAAAGAGAAATCACAACTTATGTTTTCTTGACTTCCATTAAAATTATTATAGGAAGCTGTATTATTAATTCAAAATATTCTAATTCAATAAGTCGCATTTGTAAATTTTATCAGTATATACGTAGTACCTACAGATCCTCGATTACAGAGACATTTTTTATGTAAAGAAAAAATTTTTGTAAAGAATGAGTCGTCGAGTAATGTTACAGAACAATAGACAATCATAATTCATTGTTATATTAGTATCGTAATGGTAGCTTTCTTTCGCGACCCAACCACATAAATATTATTTATAAAATATATTTGTATATAAATGATGAATTGATACTCATTTTACAAAATGTTTACACACTCCTCTTCCATTATCCATATTTGCATTTTTGTCTTAATTAGTACAATAGAACCAAATAACTTGCATTTGTAAAACTTTACAATATACAATTTCATTATATTCTCTATGTTAAAATATTCAATGACAATTAATATTGCCACAAAATATTTAGTATGACTGATCATTTCTAACTAAAAAAAAAATACATTTTTGCTACTATAAATAAAAATAACAAATGCAATTGGAATTTCATATCCCAGTCTTAAAAAAATGTATAAGATATTTCCTACTTTTCTTATAATCTCAACGTCGTTAATGTCATTTTCCAAGGAGCTTCAAATTAAATTCAATTTCTAATAAATTTCCATGGACGAAAGGCAATTTCTTCCGACATCGATCCTGCAAAGCTACTCAAAGTTCTTTCTCTAAAATGATTCGCCTCGATACAACTGGACTCATACATGTATTTAATTCCTGAAACAATGTAACAGAATATAATAACAAATGGACGAAAAGGAACACACCTTACGCAAGGAATGAACGAAGACTCCCTTCCACTTGGCGGCATTTTCCTCTTTCTCGAAGTCATAACCCGACGACTCGCCAACGACTGATGCCGGGTTAGAGAACATCTCCGCAGTGGTTCCAGCGGACACACTTGGAAGTTAATAAAACTAAGTAGAGGGAGACCCCTGGGCGAAAGAGTACTCGCTGACCCAAGTCAGAGAGAACAGGCGACAGTGTCCTTAGGGTGTACGAAGAGCATTGTCAAGAGTGAGGGTGACAAAAAGCGGACAGAGAGGACTGTCCTCTGGTCGGTCGGCGAGCTCTCTCAGGAGACGAACATTTCCGAGCGTCGAATGTCGGCGAGTTAGGCCACCGTACGGTACTGGTACTGACGCTGGATCGCGTTCCTCCGTGGGCCGCGTTGATGGCTGCATTGGCTCGATGTCCTCGGTTTCGGTCCCAGGTGTTCCCCATGCGGCCTCCGGCACCCGAGATGACGCATCTTACGCACCCGGGATACGCCTTGCGTTAACCTTTCCGTTCCTTAGGATTGTCCTAAGAATGAGCATCGACCTTCGCCCAGACCCGTGCGTAGCCCACCATCGACACCTTACGTCCACCAGCTACCATTGCACTAAACTTGCCATTGCCAGACAGCAAGCCGACCGCGACCTACAGCGAGTCAACCTTCGATCGATACTAAGATAGATGGGACTACCATCGCGCGTCAACGTCGAGCTTCGGATAAAACAAACAATTCGAACACTGACTACGTCTCCATCGTATTCGAAATCCGGGATTTATCGGCTTCGGATCCAGTGAATCCGAATTGTAGGGTCGATCGAGACGAGGGTAGGGTCATATAATATATTACATTTGCTTCACCATTTCGCGGAAAAATTTATGTCGAGCCGGTTCATATGAATGGTCTCACATTTTCACCACCAAAAACGTTCCGTAATACCGTGGGCTACTCATTTTTCACATTTTCGCTCAATTTGCTTTACGTAATAGACCCCCTGCAAAGAATTCAGAAGTCTCCATAGAAGCCCAGAAGGATACGGACGTTCGATGCTCGATAAATAGTATGTTAGCCAACGGATGGCGGCGCTGTAATCATCTCTCCATCTCTCTTAATCTTATGGCGATATATAGCAATTGCATTCTTTCTTTATCTTACACCCAATACTCGCCTTTCTATATGCGTCTCTCTTCCTCCCGTACGTGAGATATCGTTGGCTAACACGTGCGATCTCTTTTTTACCCCCACTTCTGGTTTGTTAGCCAACTTTTAGAGCATCAAGCGCTAACATAGGATCTGGGCTTCTATGGGACTTCTGAATTCTTTGCCCCCTGGTCTAAGATGGGACTTTAGGCTCCGTTCATATATTCTTAGGTCCATGATGCTAGCGAACCATGGATTTATAGTTGGGTTAACTAAAGTTGTGGAATCGAGCTTTAAATTTGGTAATTTCTGGTGATTAATCGTATAAATTCTGGTGATATAATTTTTTCACACCTGGCAGCCCTGAAGTATAGCATGTGATCGGTCAGGTGCGTGCTCCTCTTCGTTGGGTGTTACTTCTTTCGAATTGTCTGAGTTCGTATCGAAGGGAAATACTGAGTCCTGTAATAACGGTAGAATCATGCAAGTGGATAAGTCCCTTTCCATTTATGCATTCGCACTTTTGCTCCTATTTCAAATCCAGATTCCAGGCGTTATATCGGGCAATACTGTCCCCGTATTAATGTGGGGTGGAGGAGCCCCCGATCATTTTATAGGTAGCAGGAATCCACTTCAAAAAACCCCACAGTATGAATTTGAAACATTTATGAAAAAATCAGTGGCTAAAACGCAGCCACCGATTCTCGTATACGTCAAGGATAATCTCTGCGTAGAGGACCTTACGCAACATAAGAAGGTATGTCCGTCTCATTCTGAAGTTCATACAAATGATGTTTAACGATAAGGTATTTAGATCACGAACATCTTATGCTTTTGTGTAAAGGAAGGATATGTTTCTGTATTTATCGTTTCTTATGAGGCATTTATATGCCTCGTCTTTATGCATATAAAGTCAAAGATAGATATTGAATTGACGATGATTATCTTACTTTAAGAAGCAATTATTTTACAAGCCCGTGCGCGTAACAAAGTAGTTTAAAACATTTTATAACAAGTGTAAGTTTATTGTTTATAACGAATTAACAAATTTCTTTGGTTATGTTCAATTTCTTATTTTATGTTGAAAATGAATCTTTAGGGAAGAAATCAATGAATCAATTCAAGGACATTTTGCAATTATGAATGACATTCTGCCTACATCTCAAAAATTATTTAAAAACAGCACAAATGTAAAATAGGTAATTCAATTTAATGTAATTATAAAAGTTGTAATTGAAACAAAAGTATATAATTATTTGAAAACAAAGTGATGTAATATTTTAGCAAGGAAATTTATTTAATTGACATTAGCCACAAATATGCAACTTGCAGTTAAGATCGGTAAGAGCATGCTACTATAATTGTCAGTATTAGCATTCTCAAAACTATTTTAACCTATAGTCTCCTTTTTAGACATATCTATGGCAGAAATTTATTTAGTTTATTAAATGTCATCTTCGGTATGTCACTTTTTGTCAAATATCATTATCTGTCACTTTACATGCATTTATAAGGACTTTAAGGTGAAGCGAAATCTCCCTCAGTCGACTCGAATAAGACACTTTTTTTTAAGGGTATTGGATAAAACTATTTAAAACTTTGACACATGACTCGTGATTTCCTAGGAATTATCCTGACACTTTCAAAATTTGGACGTTTGAAAAAGTTCTTTATAATTATTGTACAAAAACGACAGGTGGAGTATGCCATTTAGTACAATACCCAATATAATTCTACATAGCTGTCAATATAAAAACGAATGTCGGCAACGTAGGTATGTAGAAAAATGTTTGTTTCCGATGTCAATTAAGTTCCTCGATGAGTTTCACTTCACCTTAAGGCTTTTATTCTTGGGTAGATCTCAATGTTCTTATCTGAAACATTACCAGATTTCTTAATCACAAAGATTCCTAAAGTTAAAGAACAGTTTATATAATAAAGACTTTATTTTTAGGTTCTGCTTCAGTTAAATGATACAGGTTCATTAATATACTTACCAGGCGTGGATCTACCAATGCTTGTTTTCGAAGAGCTAGATTCATACAATTGGTCCTCCAAAGTCCCAGATCAACCAGAATCTCTTCCCAACAGAAACGTATTCGTAACTCATGTAGGGGACTTGGATGCAGTTCCTGAAAACTTCAAAATGATCAATGAATCTACTCCATCTGTACTTGCAGTGTTAACTGGCAAATCATGCATTTACAGTCGTCCAGATCGACGAAGAAGGTCGGTTGGTGCTGAAAATTCAACAGACTTCATTGTTTCTACCGACAGGGTTCTGCTATACTCTAAAGAAGGACCTTACATTAAGGTATGTTTTACATGGATTCTATTGGTATTACCTATTGGCTCAAATATTTTAGAAACTTACAAAAACATTATCCTGCTTGATCGAGACCATAATATTACTTTGTAGTACCCTTAATTAAATATTACTACTTTTCTATCCCTGCCTATATCATTCAACTTGTTTTACTTTGGTATCTATGTTTTTAATATTTTACTCAAATTTTTAATTAAATTAAGTGAGACTGGAACGAACAAACTGTAGAAGTGAATACCTTTTTCTAAAAAATGTTACAATTCAATTTAACCGCCAAGAAGAATAGGATGATACTTAAATTGTTAGTTTACTTAAAGTGAATTTTAGAGAATGATTCAGTAGTTGAGGCTTTTTATTTAATTTGTTTTGCCTACTGATATAAAGCATTAAATCTCACAGGTGCCAGAATCGGAAGACTACATTCAGTTAGGAAAACCAACTAAAGCAGATTCTGAAGGTGAAGGAACAGCAGAGAATCCACTACAGTTGAGGACTGTTTTTTCAGTCAACTCATCCAGTGTGTCAACGATACAACTTCAGTTTATGTTTACCATCGTTACTGCAGGTTATTATAAACTTGACTATGTTAACTATAATTCTTCTGGAGCATCTAATGTTACCGTGCTGTCACCAAAGAGTGACATAGTATTTCCTTTCAATTTTTCCTATCACTGTTCACAAAACACAGTATTCATTAACAAGAGCGCAGTGCTTAATATTACTAATCTACAAGTCCAAATTGATGCAACTAAGTTTAACGATGCATATGATTGTGTTGGATTCACTACAATTCCTATTTGGACAGGGATCTTTGTTACTATCATATTAGCGACAATTATGATTTGGGGGCTTATTATGATAATAGACATTCATACGATGGATCGATTCGATGATCCCAAAGGGAAAACAATCACCATTTCCGCACAGGAATAATGTATCATAGAAAATTTCAAATTATGAAAAAGTATGTCATGCGTGTAAATATACAGTCTGGATTTTCATAGACAATACATTCGATGTACCATGTTCTATAATTGTGGACTTTTGTAGTGCTCATAATCTACACCTATTACGATACAGTGGTAATTCTAAGCCGTATTTATCTGGAAATAGATGAGATTAATGGAGTTCATTAAAAACATTTGATTTAATTAATCCTTTTAAATTGAAATTGAGTGTTTTTGGTAATATAGATATTTTTTTAATTTTATTGCCACGTCAGTGAATAAAGGGTGTAGCTGCATAAGCACGTGGAAAATGACTACACCAAATTAAACATTGTATAAATTAGTCTTAACTTTCTTTGCCACACTTCGATTGCTTGTCCACTCATATTTTTGCTTCGCTTTATTCGCGTTCGTGCTCAGTCGTGTACCCAGCTATATAAATTTGTCATGTTGAAAAGATGAGTCGAAAAAGACAGCTTTTCGTCATCTTTACGGTAGATGTGCTATCCGGGTTCATACTGCATGACTTTACCATAAAATTGTTTAACAAAATAATGTTTATCCACTTGTGCACAATGATTAATAGCACAATGGTTTTGGATCTCTCTGGAACACGTAGCGACAAGCAAATTAAATACTTACAGTTGGTCTACCTTCCCCTTATCCACATAAACTACCATTTTCACTGAACTTCCAGCGTATTCGAATAGGCCAGTTAAAAAAGGCGAAAGAATGATAGGAGAAATTTAACGACTAATAATGTGTTAACATCGATAATATTAACTGAGAGTAATAATACCAAGCGTGACAAGTTTGAAATATTGTGCAATATAATTATTGCAATTTATAAGTGTAACATTCCAGAATTATATTGCATCCTGTATTTGCTTCGAATACGTATGTAAATGTTTAAGGTATATCCGAAAAGTGGATAAACCTAACTACTCGGATAATATGTGAACTATCCAGTTCCAAGTAGATAAAACTGAATTGTGTTATATTAAAAACATTGTTTTATTTATTAATTTTATAAAAGTCAAAGTATATTTGACAGTAAAGGAATTGTCAACGTCACCGAAAATTATAGGCATTTTTGTGAAGTATAAAGTGTTGTGCATGCTCGATATTATTATATAAAAAGGAACCCATTTCAGCTTTACTTAACCTAACCTAAACCAAAATGTTAAGGGTAGGTTAGGTAATAAATCACATTGAAAGTATTACCAAAGTATACCAGAATCTTACTCGGATAAATCCTCAGATTTCGTTTTATTTCTAACCGATACACGACTATGCCGGTTATAAAATATCCGGGCAAACTTAGGTTTATCCCATGGACATAAGAATATAGGGATTTACTAACGTTATTTTTCATTCTGAAAATGTAATGATAAAAGAACGACGATGTATGTTAGAATATATATGATTATCTATTGCTATTAATTGTACAGAAAACGATTAAAAACCTAACCTAGACTACAATAGTTACAGCTTTGGGTTTAAATTTTATTGTTTCTTTTTTTCGTTTTACTCTCAATTCCTATGTCCATGGTTTATTCTCATTTTTGGCGTTACCTATAAGAATGTATGTAAATTAAACGATAACATTCACTGTGTATATGCTTATATTGCCCTCCTACATAATACTGGATAATTGCAATAGTTTCATGAGCTTTAATATCAGAATGTTAATTATCATTTAAAGCAAAAATGTTGAACAATTTTGCAGTTATCCAGTATATGTAATTTACAAACGTTCATATAAATATGTTAATAATTATGAGTACATAGATGTAGCGTGTATCGCATATTTAATACGTGTTATGAAATAAACTAAGTCTGAAATGAAATTATTTTTGGCTTTCGTATCTTATTTATTTCCAGTTGTCGAATTTACAATAATTAATGATTATGTAAGGAAAAATTAAGTACCCCAGTTTTCAAATTATGCTTCTTGAAACTTGTAGATGACCTATTCAAATGCCAATTGTTGCCTACGAATACTCGTCCTATGAGCATTTTCCTAACATTTGTGAGGAGTTTTACAGTGTACAATTTACAATTAAAAAAGTTAACATCCATGAAGCCAATATGTAATCCGTTAACCTTGTTCAGGACATTCCGCTGATTGTATTTATACCAGTTTTATATAACATGAATGATTGACTCTAGAGAATTTAATAATTATTTGCGATGATCCGTAGACGATCGCATCTCAGCTCATTCAGATTACGTCATCTTCGCACCTTCGTTACCTTTTTAGACGGTGGATGACGCTAGTGCAGTGTTGCAAACAGTTGCCAACTTCATTTCTGTTTACTCTAGTAGAGTCAGATTGAAATAATAGTATAAATTATGTTTGCCTTTGCTATTAATGTAACACAACATGAAAAGGTAACCTGCTTCTTTATTAAGACTTCACATTACATACGATATCACAAAAATGGAACTTCAGTATCGTTGTCCCCATCTTGTTCCGACGTAGGAACCAATGGATTTTATAGCCTCAAATGTTTCAATTCCAACTGGTAATATTCTGTTGGGTGGAGGGTTGAATCCGAATATTCCTCCTCCTGGCAATTCAATGGTATATGAAACATCAGCTCCGGCAACTCCCATTGCCCAGTCATCGCTTCCACCAGCAGCAGCATCTGCGGATCAATTGTGATGTATGAAACTAATGAAAATTATTATCAGTACACTTTTTTAATGAAAAGAACAACTCGGGAAATTTTGTTAGCCAAGTTTCCGTTAATCGTCAGTTGTCGAAGCATCCACGTACGGCGCATGCTGAGTACCCCGACCATAATTCTTATCAGAGATGATCTCTGTTCTTATAAAATTATACAAATATATGTTTACAGTTAAATTCAAACTTGTTTGTGATTTTTCCTCCCAACCAAGACGTCAGGCTTGTTTATGCTGAAAACGTGGTTTCTTGCATTTATTGAAATTAATAATAAGTGACGCTATAATAGACAATGTTACTAATACTGGCAGAATTAATATTACAACGTTGTTTTATCAGAATGTTGGTTTTGCTGTAAAAACATTTTCTGTCATTGTTTGCTTCAACATTTTTTCAGATTCATGCAGCCTTGTGTATGTGCTCGCTTTTTATACATTGCGAAGAAAAATGTAACGGGCAACATAATTAATTCAATATTCTTAGGCATATTATACAAAAAAATAAAAAATATACAGATTGTTAACAAGGTAACTTAATAATAAGACATTTTTTTGTATACTTACATAAGACGTTAGTCGATGAGCCAATAACGTAGTGAGTACCGGATACTGATTTTAGGGCTTTGGCTGCGTTTTCGGCGACATATCGCTAAAAAAAAATGTATCGTCTCGTATATTAAATCCGAGGTTAGTTATGAAAACGCATTATGGGATGTATTATAAAAGCAAATGTGGGTGTATATATATATACTCGCATTTGTTTTTATAATACATATATATATCACAGATAGCGCAGGGCGACATTCTACAGTCAATTAGGAAATGACAATTGGTGTTTGCCATTTAAAACAATACCCAAAATAATTCGACATAGCTGTCAATATAAATACGAATGTCGGTAATGCAAGTATTTAGAAAAATCTTTTTTACCCACGTCGATCAAATTTCCCGACGGGTTTCATTTCAAAGAGAACAAATATAATGACTGTTTTTACATAAAAAGGCAGATCATTAAAATTGTAAAGAATTTTTAGTAACTTACAAGTGTTGGCGCATTTTCTGGTAAATCAGATGTATAACCCCATGGGTGTAGAAAATACTGAGGAAACAAGTTTGAATACACATTAGTATCCATCTTTATAATACTTGGTGTTTACGATGGTACGCCTCTTATTGAGATAATAACAAACCTGGCCATATGAGTGTAACGTCAAGTAAGCTTTGACAAGCCCTTTCTTTGATAATGCAAAATCGCGCAGAGCCTGAGTTTCTGGTTCAGAAAATGGTTTAGGTCCTGCGTAGGTATCGCTGCAGGGATTGCTGGATGCTCCAACAGCTGCGAACGATCACAAAAATTTGTTAACAAAATTACTTACAATTAATCATATTATATTTTAGATGAATGTTATAGAAAATTTTGATTATCAGTGGGACACATTACTTTCTATATTTAGAAGTTTTTAAGGTGAACTGAAATCTCAAATCAGTCGATTCGAATAAGACATTTTTTTTTAAGGGTATTGGATTGAACCATCTGAAACTTTGACACATGACTCGTAAGCACTTAGGAATTATCCTGACACTTTCAAAGTTTAGATTTTTCAAACAATATTTTTAACTTAGCCCAGACCAGAACCAAAATAATGTCGAGCTCTTACATTTCGAACAATCTACGATTATTGGAGGCTCTAATATGAGAAACGATCGTGTCAGGACAACTGTACGACAATTTAGGACACTCTGATAATCGAGCAACTTGCATTTGAACGGAATAAAGACAAAAAAAGTGTCTTATGCACTGCTATGCTAAAACGATGGTAATATAAGGTCTCGAAGTGAAAATTTAGTTAACATGGAATTCGCAGATGGCGCAGGGGGTCCCTCTGTAGTCAATTAGGGCCTCAGAAACCATGAATTCAGAGGATTTCTAGAGTTTTACTTCGATTTTTTTATAATTATTGTACGTAAACGACAAGTGGAATATGCCATTTAGTACCATAGCCAATACAATTCGATACAGTTGTCATTATAAAAAATGGACGTCGGCAACTTAGGTATTTATAAAAATCTTCTTTACCGGCGTTGATCAAGTTCCTCGACGTGTTTCACTTCACCTTAAAAATGATTTGAGCTTGTTGCACTCAGACTTACGCCGGTCGGGTTAAATGTGAAAACAACAAATATATTCAATAAAATGATCTTACTCATCCATTTCAGGCCAAAATTCCTGTTCGCGTCTACTCCATAGCAGGAACTGAAGTTGTTTACAGACCTTGTTTTCCTCCACATCCGGTACTGTTAACAAGCATTGATAAGTGAGATTAAAAGTAATCAAATCTATACTTAGAATAATCGATTGGTGCAAAGAAAAAATGTCTGAGATTCAAAATTCATTATTTAAAAATTTCTATTGAATGTATATATGTAGATATATACAACAGAAATTGATATACGAGTATTTTACGTCTACTATACATTCAACGGTTATGTCAAACATATGTTATAAACTTTACTCCAAAATTTAATTTTTTTTTTTAGCAAACCTTGCTGTAAATAGGGTAAAGCTGTAAATAGAAAAAAACGTTAAACAGCATTTTCATGACATATTTGTTTGATTATGATTAATGATCGGCAATGTCGGGTAGTCCTATAGAACTTACATCTGTGTGCGAGAATTCATATCCGTCAGGGTTTAACGAAGGGATAATGAACCAATCGACATTTTTATAAAGATTGGAGTTGGTTTTGTTTTCGGCCAATTGTGTGATCGTGTATAAAGCAGTAGTTGGTGCAATCCATTCACGTGCGTGAATTCCAGCGTCGATGAGAACAATGGGCTTTGGCGTGGCACTAGATGAAATTTTCACTCCATAAATGCTTCTGTTTTCATAAGATTTACCGATTTCAATTAATGTGACGTGTTCATGTTTTTGGGCAAGGTATTTCAGATGCTGTACAATCTGTAACAGGAAAATGTTACATTTATGATTAAGGTGAAGTGAAACACGTTGAGGAACTTGATCGACGTCGATAAAGAAGATTTTTCTAAATGCCTACGTTGCCGACGTTCTTTTTTATATCGACAGCTGGGTCGAATTATATTGGGTATTGTACCAAATGGCATACTCCACCTGTTGTTTTCGTACAATAATTATAAAGAAATCGAAGTAAAACTCTAGAAATTTTCTGGATTCAAGCTTTCTGGGGCCCCAATTGACTGCAGAGGGACCCCCTGCGCCATCTGTGATTTCCAGGTCAATTAAATTTTCACTCCGAGACCCCGTATTTCCATCGTTTTAGCATAGAAGCGCATACAACCCTTTTTTTGCCTTTATCCCGTTCAAATGTAAGTTTATCGATTACCAGAGTGTTCTAAATTGTCGTAAAATTGTCCTGACCCTTTCGATTCTCATATCGGAGCCTCCGATAATTGTATATTCATCGAAATATGAGAGCTCGACGCCATATTGGTTCTGGTCTGGGCTGAGTTAAAAAATTTGGTTAAAAAATCCAAATTTTGAATGTGTCAGGACAATTCTTAGATGATCAGGAGTGATGTGCCAAAGTTTCGGACAGTTTGGTCTAATACCCTTAAAAAAAAGTGTTGTATTCGAATCGATTGATTTGAAGGGTGCTTCACTTCACCTTAACCGTTTATACGTTGCTTTTATACATCTTGTGCTTCCTATTGTCACGACCTGGCGATCTTTTATATAAGAAAATAGGGATTAGCCCCGGTAAAGCACCGAAGTGCACTTTCCAACACTTGCTTTATTTCGATTAGCCGCGAATACACCCTAGTAGCACAAAATATTTGTTCTATATTTTATATATATTCAACGAATATCGTACATTTTGTAAATGTTTAGCAGACATTNCGAACGTCGGCAACGTAGGCATTTAGAAAAATCTTCTTTATCGACGTTGACCAAGTTCCTCGACGTGTTTCACTTCACCTTAAAGCACCAGAAAGAAGTTCTTAACGAAAGTCAACACATGTATTTTTAATCTTCTTTAATATCATAAATTTAACGAAATCTGTATTTTATTATATTAAATAGTATTAGACGAATTCTTGGTGGAGTCTACGACGTATAGATTACATTTGATAGAGAGATTTCGCCATTTTATCAATCAGCTCTTCACCCAGATAAGATATTTCCGTGAGAGACAGATCTGAGTGGAAATCAGTGCTTTGATTGAGTACTTCCATTTTACGTTTTATCATCCTCCAAGAATGAGTACAGCTTGAATAATTTCGACATTCACTTTTAATTTGATTCACACTTTATCGCAATAGTCAATAAAACTCAGATTGCTCCGACTAATAAGAGATATCAACGATTTACGTTAACGAAAGTACTATGAAATGACATTGCTGATCTCTGGGTCTTTTTAATCTACACAAAGTAAATATCAGAATTACTTGGTAATGAAAATATCCAAGATTGATTGCATTCTTTAACCTGTGGCGTAAATTTAGAAAAAAATCTTTGGTTTGTCTAATCAAATTGTGAAATACAAACATTCCATTTCGTCGTTTTGACTTCAAAACGTTTATGAAAAGTTGTTGCTTGTATGTGCCAAATGTGTCCATCAGGATTAAAAATAAAACTGCTATGTGCAATGAATTCATTGAAGGACAATTATTCTAGCAAATTTTCGAAAATAAACATGTGATTACGGAGGCTCTAAGGCCCATGAAATTTCATTTTTCGAAAATAAATATCTTTTTTCGGTCCTTGTCCGAGATAAGTAGAACATTTTTTTCGAAAAAAGAAATTTCACAAGCGGCGCGTTATTCCTTAGGGCCTCCATAATCACGTGTTAAAGTTTCAGATAATTCGGTGCACCCAGTTTGGAGAAATTTGTATAAATATTTTGATATAAAATACTTTTATGTCGCCTTAATTACTATAAATAATGAAGGTAATTAGAGTACCTAGTAATAACTTACCCATGGATTGACGGTACATTTTCGGCATCGATGCCGCGGGCCAATGACACCGCGGCGATGACTACTAAGAGCAGACGCGCATACATGATGCAATGTCTCACGTAGTACTGAAGACGCGCCAATGCTGCGTGTTTTATAGACCTGCGATATCCCCATCATAAGATTACCTTGTCACGGTAGCAATCAATTATCATTTATCTGTAGTAACCAGAGCCGTTGGAGTGACCGTTTCGACAGATTCTACGAAAAGACATTTCATAACTTATTAATTATTAAATATTCCCCCGATAAGAACTAGGAAAGCGGCCGCTGTTCTCTTGTAGAACAAAACTCTTACTACTGGCACTCGAATGAATGTCAAGAAACACTCATTCGAAAGGTATTTCACAGAGTCACGGAAGCTATAAAATCATTTATGTAAGTTTATTGTATGTCCGTTGAGACTTCGATTATAAAAACGTTTGAAAGATTTTAATTCCTTGTTCCTGCTACTCACTGTGTCAGAAAAAGCGTATTTTTTATATTTTTGCGTTTGTATGTCACGTTCCATCATACAAGTACGCACAATTTACTTAACATAAAGCCCATGATAGGTAGACGACGTTATTAAAAAAGATTTTTATTGAAATATTGAAATTCCCCTTCGTATTTAGTAATTGTATTTGTTATCTCTATTTTGTATAAATACATAAGAATATTTGAGTTATTCATACCTGATTATAGCGAGGGAAAAAGTCAAAAGAGTAGGTTTTGGATGTTGGACGGTTTATCAACGACAACTTTAATGCTTGATCTTGATTCAAAAGTCCACGTACTGCATTCAAGTCATCCAAAATGACAGTGTACTCGATTTCGTATGCATCGAGAGCACTTTTGAATGACTTTGCATGGTCTGCAGTAACCAAGACTTTTACCGGACTATTTACTCGTTTTTTGATTTCCAAAAAGTCGAATCCTGGCAGACGCTCATGTTCCTGGACAAATGACATTTTTTCGACGGTATCGGGAATAACAATCAGGTACTGCATTCTGTAATAACGAAAAAACAATATTTCATTTATTATCCACAGACTCGGTCGAGTCTCAACCCGAATATAGACCATTAAGGTGAAGTGAAACCCCCTTCAAATCAGTCGATTCGAATACAACACTTTTTTTTAAGGGTATTAGACCAAACTGCCCGAAACTTTGCCACATCCCTCCTTGTCATCTAAGAATTTTCCTGACACATTAAAAATTTGGATTTTTCAAACAAATTTTTTAACTCGGTCCAGACCAGAACCAAAATGGCGTCGAGCTCTCATATTTCGATCAATATACAATTATCGAAGGCTCCGATATGAGAATCGAAAGGGTCAGGACAATTTTACGACAATTTAGAACACTGTGGTAATCGATAAACTCGTATTTGAACGGGATAAAGGCAAAAAAAGTGTTGTATGCGCTTGTATGCCAAAACGATGGCAATACGAGGTCTCGGAGTGAAGACTTAATTGACCTGGAAATCACAGATGGCGCAGGGAGTCCCTCTGCAGTCAATTAGGGCCCCAGAAAGCATGAATCCAGAGGATTTCTGGAGTTTTACTTCGATTTCTTTATAATT